AAAAAAAAAAAAAAAAAAAAGAAAAACCCAACCACTAGAACTGATACATTCAGATGAATATCCTTCAGTGTAGTCATCCTAGGAAAACATATACTTTATCCGAAAATATATACTATATCTGAAAACATTTTGGAAATCTCTATTTGGAATAGTCAGTTCATGAACTACTAAATTCACATCTGCCCTTAACCAAAGATATTACTCAATTTTATCATCCAAATTATTCCTATTATTTGTCTCAGAATGACGTCTGGCTGTTGTTTCCTCAAATCAATCCACCTGAGAAGGTAAAAAGACTATTTTAAAGAATAAGTCATAGGCTAAGAAAACAATTTCAAAAGCAGATATAACATTTTTCGCTGTGGCAGCCTTGTGTACGTGAGCTTCCTGAGGTCACTGCTTTGAGGATGGTTTATGGAAGTATAAACTGGTTTGTGTGGCAGACATGTAGGGTTTTGGAATTAGATCTGGATTTGAATCCTAGTTTAGCTGTTTAGCTGCTGAATAATCTTGGGCAAGTTGTCTCATCTTTAGGAGACTTGGTTTCCTCTTCTGTAAAATTGGGATACTACTACTTACCTCTTAGAGTCACTGATTGTAATTTGGCTTACTTACAAAGTAAGCATTCAGTGAGTTATAGTTATTTATTATATCTTACGAATGGTAAAATAGCACTAAAGTTTTTTTAGGGGGACAGTTATTTCCTAATCACTGTGGCTAGCAGAGTCTGAAGGAATTATTGGGGAAAAGGAACCCCCAAAGTTAACAGTTTTGGGAATCTTGTTTTTTGCTACCACCAGTTTGAGAGTAGATGAGAGAGCTGCAATGAAATTGAGAGGGCCAGTGCAGCCGGATGTAGATGTATACAGTAGCAACCGGTAATGATTATTCTATCTCACCTACGGGGCTCAAAGTGGCTTCACGTGTCTTGGATAATTATACATTTCTAATTGAGATTTAACCTTGTGTCTTTTTTCCTCCAGTTAGAAATCCATGTGGAGATAACAATGGGGGCTGTGAACAGGTCTGTGTCCTCAGCCACAGAACAGATAACGATGGTTTGGGTTACCGCTGCAAATGCACACTCGGCTTCGACCTGGATGCGGATGACCGCCACTGCGTTGGTAAGAAAGCGGTTTTGGGCTGACTTTCTGGCAGGCAGCACAGGGGTATGTGCTGCTCTTGGCCTGGGCCAGCTCCCTGTCATACTTCTTCACTGTGAATAAGCTTTCGGTAGCCCACCAGGTGTCTTCCTCAGTAGGCGCCACTCCCTCCCTTTATGCGCAGAACTGTGTTTGAAGACGTAAATTTCTGTCCTTTGGGACTTTAATTCCACATCTAGAGTTTCCTTGGTCTCCCCTTCCCCTTTGTCTCCTTCCTGAAATCTTTGTCTCCTTTTTATAACTATGTTCTTGAAATTCCACAGGATTTTGTTTTGAGTTCTTTTCTCTGCTATGTTTACTTTTTCCACTTTAGATGTTAGCCTTAACTTTAATGGGAAGCCCTTCCCATCACTTTTATTGACCACTCCTGAATTGCCACTTTTGCCCCTTTGAGTCAGGTAATTAAATCTTGATCCCACCTGGCTTTATTGCTGTATTCCCAAGTAAACTCCTAAACATTGGCATGGCTCATTTCCTCATCTGGTTTATCAGTTTTCAGTTCAGATTTTCTCTTTATTTCTACCTTATGGTCCAGGTTTTGTTCTCACCTTCAACACTTCCCTTCCTCCTTTTTGGTTGCCTACACATCTACTCATAATTAAGCTAATGCCTCAGGCTTAGCTGGTGATGAAATGCACTCCTACAATATTTGTTTCTCTTATTTTCACACTGACAACTCTCCTTTTTAATGCTTTTGACAAATTCTTGCTCCCCAGATGGTGCTGCTTCTGGCTTAGTATGTAAATTCTCTTATTCTAACTCAGATGAATTTGTTAACTTTGTAGGTAATCCTAGATTCAGATAAAAGTTACCCTCATTTAAAAAATCATGTGTTTCTATTATATCAACACTACATTGTCTAATAATTTTGCTTTTAATCTCCTTCTGTAATTTTTATCTTTGTCTTGGGTATACCTCCTTCATCTCCCTCTTTTCGATTTCCTGACATACTGTCACTCTCTCTTTCTTTGATTTTAAACATCACTCCTTCTTTCCTATTTCCTTCCTTCTTTCCCTTCTTTATTTCTTCCTAAATAATTTACCTGGTTGCTGTTAATTCTTCTCTTTTAGTGGTCTCAATACCTCAAAAACTGCAGTAGCATTCTTGGTATAGATCTCTATACAAAAGTTAATCCAACTTGAGAGTTTTGATGAAATTGCTATGTAGTTTGGTTAATACTGCTTTAGAAGTTAAGCATATGGACACTCTCTTTTGTATAAATAAGTCTTAAGGATAAATTTCTCAGGAAGAAGTAAGATTGTAATACTTGTATTGCTTTCATAGCTGTTTATCTTTTTCCTCTCGCATTATTTCTAACTATGTTTTCCACAGATTTATTTTTTATGTTTATTTCAGAATTACATTTTGGAATTATCAAATGTGCCTTATGGATGTATAAGTAATTTCTCTCGAATTCAGAGAGGGCAGGAATCATGCTGTGGCTGATTGTGCTGTATATTTTTCCCCACAGCTGTTAAGCAATTCCTGATCTTTTCATCTGAAGTGGCTGTCCGTGGCATCCCGTTCACAGTCTCTACCCAGGAAGATGTCATGGTTCCAGTGACAGGAAATCCTTCTTTCTTTGTTGGGATTGATTTTGATGCCCAGGAGAACACTATCTTTTTTTCAGATACATCAAGAGACATGATTTTTAAGCAGAAGATCGATGGCACAGGTGAGAATGGGTTTTAGAAATTTTTTTGCTTGTTTTGTCCGTTTTCAATAAAAATACTAATAATTTGCTCAGTAAAACTTTGTATTCACTTCGTAAGCAGAGTCCTTTACTAAGCTTGCTAAATATTTTTAGATCAGGAAAAGAAATCTATTGCTTTTCTTATGAATTAAGTTAAAGCAAACACTTTTCCTTTATTTTCAAAATAAGTTATAAATGAGAGTGCATTTTTTATTTATTTATTTATTTTTTATTTTTATTTATTTATTTTTTCTCCCCTCAAAGCCGCTGTAGATAGTTGTATGTCATAGCTGCACATCCTTCTAGTTGCTGTATGTGGCACGCGGCCTCAGCATGGCCAGAGAAGCGGTGTGTCAGTGTGCACCCGGGATCTGAACCCGGGCTGCCAGCAGCAGAGCACGCGCACTTAACTGCTAAGCCACGGGGCTGGCCCAATGAGAGTGCATTTTTGACAGTGACAAATATTAACATAAAAGGAGTCAATGCTCAACAAAAGGAGTGTCAAGTGTATGAAAGCCATTGATGGATTAATTGACTAGAGGCTGTTCCTCATATTCAAGGAACCGGATTGATCCAATGGGATGACCTCTCTTTAGGGATGCTGGACTACCTAAATGCTGGGCTTGGAATAATAATAATTTTTTAAAAGGCATGAATTATATGTAAACATGGATTGACTGTAAGTTTTTGATTGATTGGAATTCTGTTAAAATCTTCATAATAATCATGGAAAGACAAATTATGGTCAGTCACACTTTACCATTGGGTACTTTATTGGATCATGGCATGATCCTGTACTCTGATTTTACAACCCACTAATGGATTCAAACCTGCAGTTTGAAAAAATTGGCAGCCAATGTAACACAGCAACTAAGAGGGCCAGCTCAGGAGCTAGACTGCCAGTATTGAATCCTAGCTTCTCACATTTCCTAGCTATGTAATCTTGGGGAAGTTACCTAATTTCTTTATACTTCAGGTTCCTAAATTTGTAAAATAGGAATAATAATAAAAGTGCTACATAGCTCATAATGTTCTTGGAAGAATTTTAGGTTAATACACGTGAAACACCTGGAATAATGCCTGGAAAATAGTAACTCTTCAGTAAATGTTAGCTATTATTATAGCTGTTATCAATGAAAAACCATATTACCCTGCTCCTCCCTGCTCCCAGCCCACTCTCCAGGGATAATTGCTTGCCATTCTTTTAGCTGTTTCTTCTATTATGTGTCTCCATATTTCTAAATACTTTGTTTATACTACTTTTTCTTGATTTGTCATGTTAGACATTTATTTCCTTGTTATAGGTAAAGATTTAGCTCTCTTATTCCTCTCCTCCAACTTCCCTCCCCTCATTCTCCCTAAAAAGCTGGATTGTAATTTTTTATTAAATTAATAGTAGGTGTATATATTATAAACATGATATAAATATAAATATTGTTTACTGCTAAGCCAAATAGTATTCTTTGATGACATTTCTTGAGCAATTTTTGATTTGCTTCTGGAGTTAATAATTGCCGCATCTTCATTTGCTTAGTTTTCTCTATAACTATTATATATTTTCCCCAAATGCTCCAACAGATCTTTCAAATGCCTATCTATCTTCTATCTTTCTATCTATCCATCTATCGACCTATCTATCATCTGTCAAATGCAAATGATCTATAATTTCTTTCCCCTCTGGAGACTTCTATCTCCTGTTCCAGTTGGGACTCATTTCTTTCTGGATTCTGGTGCACAGCTCTTGTCTTTTGACTTCCCTTTGCCACTTCTCTGTGCTGGATCTTCTCTTTCTGGCAGGCCGTTTATTTCTCTTTCCAGATTTATTTCCTCATTTTGCCAAAACACATTATATAGTACCCCCTTAAGAAGAATGAGTAGGAGGGAATATTTTTTGAGTCTTTGAATGTCTGAAAGTGTTTTTTATTTTTTTTTTTATGATTTTATTTATTTATTTTTCCCCCAAAGCCCCAGTAGATAGTTGTATGTCATAGCTGCACATCCTTCTAGTTGCTGTATGTGGGACGCGGCCCCAGCATGGCCGGAGAAGCGGTGCGTCGGTGCTCGCCCGGGATCCGAACCCCGGGCCACTAGCAGCGGAGCGCGCGCACTTAACCGCTAAGCCGCTGGGCTGGCCCTGAAAGTGTTTTTATTTTGCCCTCCCTCTTGACCGTTTGCTGGGTATAGGATGAAAATAATTTTACCTCGGAAATTTGAAGACATTGCTCCACTGTCTTCTAGTATCCAGTGTTGAGAGTCCTACGCCATTTGGAGTACCATTTCAATGTATATGACTTTTTTTTTTTGGTTGCTATTGTTGTTTTGTTTTCATTCCTTTCTGGAAACTTTTAGAATCTTTTTGTTATCCCTTTAATCTTGAGGTTTATGTCCTTCTATTCTGGGAAATTTTCTTGCCTCTGTTTTTTCTATTCTCTCCGTTTGTAATTCTTTTTTTTTTTTGCAGGGGAAGATTTGCCCTAAGCTAGTATCTGTTGCCAGTCTTCCTCCTTTTTCCTTCCCTTTTCCGCCTGAAAGCCCCAGTACGTAGTTGTGTATAGTTGTAAGTTTTTCTGGTTCTATGTGAGCTGTCGCCACAGCGTGGCTACTGACTGATGAGTGGTGTGGTTCTGCGCCCAGGAACCAAACCCTGGGCCGCTGAAGTGGAGCACACCAAACTTTAACTGCTAGGCCATCAGGCTTGGCTCATCTCATTCTGTAATTCTTAATAGTAAAATGTTAGATTAATCACCTATGTTTTTCTTATCTTGTCTTGCCTGGTTTTCATTTCTATCATTTTGTTCTACTTTCTGTGAGATTTTTTGGTATTTTAGTTTTCAGTGTTTCTTTTGAATTTTTTATTTCATTTGTACGATATTCAGTTTTGAAGAGCTCATTCTGGTTCTTTGATTATTTCTTTTTTCATAAAACCTGTTTTTGCTTCATAAATTCAATATCTTCTTATTTCTATGAAGATATAAATTACATTAAAAATTAATCTTCCTCTGTTTCCATTTTCTTTGGGTTTCTTTTTCCTTTTGGTTTGTTTTCAACCTTCTTTTTCATGGAGGAAGATTTCTTCAAATTTCTGTGGCCCTTGTTTGATATCAAGGGCAAAGCTATAGAAAGCTGGCCAGAAAGTCTGTAGATATGGATGGGTCTCATCAGTTGGTGAACTTCAGGTGATGAGGCAGCCTTTTCATTGGGGAGCTCCCAACGTCATTATTAGTAAATCTTTTCTGGAGATAGTCAATTTCTCCTTAGTAGATGCTTCCATTCTGCTTCTTGGGGTGGGGAGTAAGAGAGGAATAGTTGATTGTCTGTGTCTGGGAGCAGAACAGAGGACAGGGGGAATCCTTCAGTTCAGTATTCACATAATCCCGCTGTACTCAGTTCTGTGTCTGTTCCAGCCCTGTGTTGTGCATTGTATTATGAACCCACAGCTTCTCTGCTTCAGTTCCTCTAGAGAAGAAAATCTCTGGTTTGTTAGAGAAGGTAGATGGAGGGGAGTGGCAGAGATGCTCAGGGTCTGGGAGGGACCTGGGGGGGTCTAATCTCTGCTGATGCCAACTTTTTAAAAATAATTTTATTTATTTATTTATTTTCCCCCCAAAGCCCCAGTATAGATAGTTATATGTCATAGCTGCACATCCTTCTAGTTGCTGTATGTGGGACATGGCCTCAGCATGGCCGGAGAAGTGGTGCGTGGGTGCGCGCCCGGGATCCGAACCGGGCCGCCGGCAGCGGAGTGCGCGCACTCAACCGCCAAGCCACGGGGCCTGCTGATACCAACTTTTAACTAAATCCCTTAGTTCCTTGCCCCTGGCTTTTGCAGAGCCTGGTGCCTTTGAATGCAAATATGCTGAGGCTTCTGCATGTGAGGGTGTGGGTTTCCCTTCTGCTGGCACTTAGTTTGTAGCTTTCTCCCCTGCCAACCCCAGCAAGTTACCACTTCTCCAATCCCTGTCTTTTCCAAACTTTGTGGAAATCTCTCATCTGCTATTCTTTTACTGTCATTTTAATAGAGTTTGGAAGGAAGAAGAGTTAAACACATGTGGTCAATCTGCTACTTTGAACCAGAATGCATCTTTTCTGAGGACTAGGATTAGGTCTGCTGAGCTTGGAGACCTCCAATCAATCTTAGCTCTCACAAAAGGCAGTACCGGGTTTTTAAGCCACATGCAGGCTAAGTCTCCTCTGGGCGCCTCCACAGGTCAGCTTCCTTCTGCTTTGGCAGATGGAATTCTCATCATGTTTTTTATTTTTTTTTATTTTATTTATTTATTTTTTTCTTTATTTTTATTTTTTTATTTTTTATTTATTTTTTTTTTTTTTTTTTTATTTTTCCCCCAAAGCCCCAGTAGATAGTTGTATGTCATAGCTGCACATCCTTCTAGTTGCTGTATGTGGGACGCCGCCTCAGCATGGCCCGAGAAGCGGTGCGTCGGGTGCGCGCCCGGGATCCGAACCCCAGCCACCAGCAGCGGAGCGTGCGCACCTAACCGCTAAGCCATGGGGCCGGCCCCTCTCATCATGTTTTTTAAAAAATCGACTGCAAGTCCACATGCTGAGCAAGTTGCCTTTTAAAATATTCTTATAGTCAATGGTTAAACTCTACACTTTGGTGAGGGAGATATTACATTGCTCTGTTTTTCGAAGGAGAAGATTATCAATCAGTACATGTGCAGAAAATGAGTTGTCAGAAATCAAATTAAAATCAAGATGGGCTGAACGAAGCCCTCAGGGAACTTGCTCCATCCCTTCTCTTCTCCAGCTTCTCTGTTTCTCCTGACTTTTCCCCATCAGATACGCTCAAATCTCTCCCATCCTAAAAAACTTTCAACCCACCCTCCACTCTAGGTTCTTCTCTAGTTACAGCCCTCTCTCCTTAATTTCATGGACAAGCATCTTCAAAGATGCGTCAACACTTTCCTGTCCCCTCTTCCACATTCTCACTTATTCCTCACCTCAACGCAATCTGCCCACTACGTCACTTGAAGCACTTCTCATCCCGGTCACCTCCAATCTCTTTGTTATAAACTTTTAGTCCTTATCTTTGGCACTTTGATCATCTTCCTTAAAAGCTTTCTTCCATGACAACACTGTCCTCTGGATTTACTTCTATTTCTTGACCTTTCTTTCTAGTGTTCCTTAGAGGTCTTTCCTTCTTTGCCTGTCCTATACATTAACTGTGATCTCTAGTGTTCAACATTGGTCCTCTTTTCTTATTCTGCACAGTTTTGCACCTTCCGTGTCTTTGGTTATCATCTATGTAGCAATTATAAATCAGTGTGGGGAGACTTAAGATAGGGCATTTCCTGAATGTTTTTCCTCCTAACCTGGGGAATGAGAGAAAGGTCAGGAAAGGCTTCTTGTAGGTGATGATAAAAATCTCCATCCAAGTTCTCTCTCTGAGGTTCAGACCCATAGTCCAAACTGCTGTTTGGATAACTCACCTGGATATCCCACAACCACCTCAAAACCAATAGGTCTAAATGGATACCTTTATGCCGTTTCTCACAGACCTCTTCCCTTAGGGGAAGAGCACGACCACTCACTTCTTCCCCCTCTCCACCAAATCTCCTCCAGAAATCTGGTGGTCACCTGAACTTCTCCCTCTCTTTTAGCCTCTATCATTAACTCATTAACCTCCAGCCATGCTCTGGAACATGTGGAATTCTTAATGTCTCTCCTTCTCACTTCTAAGTCTTTGCTCTCCTATAGCTCCCAATTTACTGCTTCCTTTGGAAAACCTCTCCATGCCTCCTTACCATATGCTCCATTCAGAATCTGTGTTCTCATACCATCCTGTGCAGACCTCCATTACAGCACCCATTACTCTTTTATTTTTGCTTCCTGGCCTAATTACCTGCTCTTCTCCTTCCCACTTTATTATAAATACCTCGAAGGCAGTGTCCACACTGCTTCACTTCTCTATGACTCAGTTTCCTCGTCGGAAAAAAGGGATAATAATAATACCTACTTGTTGAGAGGATGGATGAATCCATGTAAAGTACTTGGGCCAGTTTCTGGCTTATAGTAAGTGCTCAATATAAGCTATTATTATTAATACTATTAGCAATATTATGTTTCCTAAATATATAGTGTGGTATGTAGCACATAGAAGACTTTATTTTTACAATTTGCTGAACAAATGACTGGAAAAAGCACTAGGATTGTTTTTCTTACTTCAAAAGAAAGAGGTGTGATTGTATACTCTGATTCAGATTTTCTTTAGTGAAAAAAAAAAGAGAAGGAAAGGCATAAAAGTTTCATAAAGAGGAAAGTAGTCTTTATTCTCCTGTACCCAGTTCTGATTTTCTTTCTAGTATCTTTGCTGGTCTATTCTAAACTTGGCAACTTTGTGGCTATGAAAGACTGTTGATGAGAGGGTTGGGCTGTAATACCTCAGAGATACCCCCTAGTCGTACCTGGCGGTGTCAGCTTATCAGAGCTGTCTGTGGGTGGTGTTTGTGAGTATGTGAACTCAGGTATCTTTTCTTCAGATGTTCTGCAATGAGAAATTTTTTCTGGAAGGGTGAACATGGGAGTAAATCCAGGCCATACCACTCCTGGTTCTATTTATCAGAATTATATCTATTCTTTGAGATCCAAACTTTTGGGAATGGATAGATTCTAGGTTTATCTCACATTGTTGCTCAGCAGTTTACAGTTGTTTTATTTTTTAAAGAATTCCACATATATTACTGAAATATGCTCTAACTCTGGCACAAAATTTATTTTTTTAAAACGCTCTGTTGCGTGAGAATGTCTCATAATGAAGTTTTTCTTTTTCTCTCTCTCTCTTTTTTTTTTTTTGTGAGGAAGAGTAGCCCCGAGCTAACATCCGATGCCAATTCTCCTCTTTTTGCTGAGGAAGATCGGCCCTGGGCTAACGTCCATGTCCATCTTCCTCTACTTTATATGGGACGCCATCATGGCATGGCTTGACAAGCGGTGCGTCCGTGCGCGCCTGGGATCTGAACCTGTGAATCCCGGGCCACCGCAGTGGAGCGCACGTACTTAACCTCTACGCCACCTGGCCGACCCTGACACAAAATTTAAATATGTAGTAGTAGAAAAATGTATGTCTTATTAAATAAGCTTAGTTTAAACCATGTCCATGTTTTAATTTACAGGAAGAGAAATTGTCACAGCTTACATGGTGGAAAGTGTTGAAAGTTTGACTTTTGACTGGATTTCAAAGAATCTCTATTGGACAGAGGCTTCTTACAGGAGTATCAGTGTCATGAAGCTAGCTGATAAATCGAGGCGTGAAATAATCAAGAATTTAAATAACCCACGATCAATTGTAGTTCATCCTATTGCTGGGTGAGTGTGTTCATGTTTTCCTAAGAGCTTGAAACTATATGTCTTTTAAAGTTATTGAAAAGCGATGCCACAGGGATTTGGCAAGTTCAGCAAATATAGGATTGAACTATACAAATTGAAATCACCTTAAATATTTATCCCTTTAGTATGAGCTTAAGTAATCACTTTATTTCCTTCAAAAAATTTTCTCCTTAGTTTCAGCTTTCCCAGTCTTCACTGGGTGTGGTTTTTTCACAGTCGGAGAGGACCAAACAATGTGATACAGATTTAGTAGTGAAGGAACGAATATGCAGCAGAATTATCAGGAAAGACTCAAATTCTTTCCTTGCTTTAAGGCATTGGTATAAAGCTTAGCAAAACTTGTTCAGTAGTTTTCAGAATAAAAAGTCTTTCAGACAATAGACAAAGTTTTCTGTTTAACTGTTCCATAATTAGTAGTGTCGAACAAGAAAAGACAGAACAGTTTACACTGTTCCTTTTAGGTTCTTTTCTTCCTTATTTAAATATGTTTAAATAATAATAGCTAATATGTTTGTTTAGAACAAGTCTGAGCTTGGTATTTGTATTTGAATGGAATAATAAAAAAAAAAGGTGACTGGTGATTCTCTAAAGCCTAATGCACTGCGGGCACATAGCAAGCACTTTACAGATATAATCTCGTCTAATCCAAAATCTAGTTTGTGAGCGACATATAAATAATATCTGTTTTAGAGATAATGAATCTGAGGCTCAGAAAGATAAAGTAACTTGTCCAAGGATCCACAGCTATTAAGCAACAGTTAGTATTCAAATTCCAGGCCTGTCTGACTGCAACGCCTGTGTATCTAACAACTTTGTATGCTGCCTCTAGAGTGTTTATGTTATATTTTATTTTTCTCCTTGTGAAATAATATAAGAAAGATTTTTAAACTGATATTATTGATAAGAAATTTTATTACTGTATAGAGAGTTAAAACAGTTGATTTTGTAATGAATTTATCTTAAACTAAATCTTTGGGATTTGGTTTTAAAAAGTCTTTAAATTCCTTTCTTAATGACTCCTTCATTTAAAGTAATATGAAGTCACATTTCAGAAAGTTACCATTTGGAAAAGACTAATTTTAGTTCCTAAGGCTCATATGAAAGAGAAAAGTTTTATTTTTTCCCTACACTTATCATTTTGTCACTCCTCAGAGTAAAAAGGATGCCTTGGGTAAGATACTGTTTAAGAGTTACGTTGATTTGGACGCATTCTTCATCAAGGATGTAATGCTTTTTTGCAAATTTATCAATTCCTTGTGGAAGATGAATAAAGAGCAATCTAGTGGATCCTGGATGATTAATCCAGAGAGAAAGGGAGAGATTAAAATCTGTTTTCTTGCTCATAGTTTATTTTTTCATTTGAACAACATGGAGTATTTAAAATGTAACCAGAATTGTGTCTTTTTAAAGAATCAACTTGGTGACATTAGTTTTAGGTCCTAAGTTCAGCACAGTGGTTCTCTGGTCTAGATGCCCATTTTAATGCCATTTGTATTTATTACTTTGGTTACATGTTGATAACTGAACTTTTAATTAAAAATTAGATCAGTTGTATGCTAAATCTCCTTAAAAAGCAGATTTTTTTTCTATATAAGCCAAAAACCATATACAGAAAATGAAATTAGTTGCAGCAAGTCTCTGGAGAATATGTGTTTGTGCTAAATCTCTCTAATTCACGTAGTTTGTCCCAGTGTTAACGTCTTTGATTTATTACCTCTTTTCCTAGGTATATATTCTTTACTGATTGGTACCGTCCCGCTAAAATTCTGAGAGCGTGGAGTGATGGATCTAACCTTGTACCTATAGTAAACACTACTCTTGGATGGCCCAATGGGTTGGCCATTGATTGGGGGTAAGTAGAAGTCATCCTGAATTATTGAGTTCCCACTTACTGTGGAACACATGAGGCAATATGTGGAAATATGAAGGAATGAGGAAACTGGTATTACTTGCCCTCAGATATTTTTACGTCATTGATTGGCAGGGGGAGAAGGATGTAGAATGATATAAGAACACAAAGAACACAAACATAGTTGGCTAGCTTCTGCTGGGATGAAAACTAATGCATTCATGAATATTCTGAGGAAATTGCTAGAGGAAGCAGAATGGTAGGACCTTGTGAAAGGTCAAGATGGAGGAGGCAAGATCCAAATTCCATTAGAAGTAGGATAGGGCTAGAGGAAGTACAGGTCATGTGTAATTTTTACAGGGGGCATCTTGAGAATAGAAAATCTTTGGTGTCCATTAACCAACAAATGTATATTTGCCTGTATGCACTCTGGGAGAATTTTTGAAGTGTAAGATATAGTTATCAAGAAATTGATGATCTATCTAGGAATATAGGAAAAGGTAAGGGGATAGATAAGCTTACAGATGTACGGAAGAAATGTATTTAACCTTTTAATCTAGATTACTACCAATATTTTTCTTAACTTGTTGATTTAACAAGGAGAAAAGTAAAATTCCTAACTCGAAGATAACAACATTTCAAGTTTTCTAAGACAACTAATTGAAAATCACTTCATGAAAGCAGCTGTATCTTTCTGGAGGTCATAAAACTTTTAAATTTTTAATGAGTATAATTTGGGTTTTAAAAACTTTGTTTAATGAAGGTATCATTGAACATACTGTTTTTGAATACCCTCAGTATAAACTGTACTTTGCTAGTTTCTGAATAACAGATAACTAAGTATTTTATTATTTTAGTGCTTTACGATTGTACTGGGTAGATGCCTTTTTTGATAAAATTGAGCACAGCACCTTTGATGGTACAGATAGAAGAGTCCTGGACCATATACAGCAGATGACACATCCATTTGGACTTACTGTCTTTGAAGGTATGTTTTGAAGCAATAACTGTGGTGTTTTATACTTTGCAAGTTGTAACAGTAGATTCATCCTCATTTGACAGTCTCATATTTCTGGAAAAGCTAGTCACTTTAGAATACAAAAAATTAAAATGGTGCTATTGTGTATAGACAGAGCATTTGGTTTGTTGACTGAATATTTCACTTTTAGAGTGAAATATTTTTTTTTAGACATTTTAAAATAATAATATTGACAACTTATAAGGGTATAGCACTTTGTAGATTACATGTATTCTACAATTTAAAATCCCAAGTACTCTGTTATATAAACATCACAGGAAGAAATGGTAAATTACTGCCTTCATCATTTTCAAGAATAAAACAGCAAGACTTATTTGTAGTAAATATTGTAGCATTTTGTTCTCTGATGTTTGCAAGAACCTGGTTAGAATTTTGTGGAAAAACTATTATACATATTCATCAACCATATACTCACCAAATGTCTCTGAAGCTTACTAGTCACAATGTTGGGTAACTGACATCATCTTTGTTATATAGAAATGTTAGACTATGGCTTATGAATATTTGCAAGACATAGTTGTTTTTTCATCAATCTTTCCAAAAAATTTCATATTACTAGTGAAGATTGCTGGGAGCATAGAATTCTGGGAAACTACAGCAATAATGATCACACCAATGTATCAGTTTTCCTTCTCCCAACTCCCCTCTTGAGTGTAGGCACGCTGTTGTTAATTGAGTTACTGGGATTAAGAATGTAGTTTGGCACCATGCAACAGGTGGTTTGTTTACTCATGAAAACAGGGTTTCTATGAATGATTGTATATCTTGTGCACTGCACAAAAGTGCCAGGCCAAGGAGACGAGGAGAGACTAAATTCTACCCCAGTTCTCCTTGACAAACCATAATTATTCCAGTTAGAGGAGTGCCGTTTTGTGATCCACCAAAGGCCCTATGCATATGATAGTTGTGTCCCTGGTTGAAACCTCATACTCTGAATAATTAGCACAGTGCTTTAAAAAACTATAAATCAAAGACTTGCTCACATGCATATAGCATGGAATGAATAGCTAGTAAATATATTGCATATTTCATCCTGCTGTCTGTTTATCTGTGGAGGAGTGCCTGGTATTTAAAAATATTTTAAAAATGCTCTTGTGAGGTTTTTGATGAGTCAATTATGCTCACAACCCCCCCCCCCCTTCATTCACTCCCTTTTCACTAATGATGTCAGATACATACTATTTGCTGTCACATTGGAACATTATAAGAATGTTAAATTTTCTCTGCTCTTTGCTGGAATGTTTTGGGATTGAATAAAAATGCAGTTTCAGTATCTTTTGATTTCATCAGTATGAAAAACATTTGAGTGCATATCCATGAAAACAAAACAACATTCCCAAAATAATAATAATAATAATTAGTTTCTTTCAACATTGCCCATCATTGTGGATTTCTTATGGAAAGTTCTTTTATTGCACAGCAACATGGAAATTACGTATCTTTTTAATGAAAGGCTAAATCTGCTTGGCTGTCTGCGTACCACACAGGACTAAAAGGGTTATTGAACTCCTTATCTATTTAAGTATAGTAAGATATCTTCATGAGTTGTGAGACTGAGATTGCCAGTCAGTCTAGAGAAGATTTAGTGAGTCCAATGACCGATTGGTCATTGATTAGATGATAGATAAGGAAAACTAGTCTAATGATAAAATTTGTGATATCTAAGGCATTTTCTGGTTAGTTGGAATTTTTAGTTAGTTAAGCTAATGTTAAAGAGATAATCTATTTTGATTCAATTCTTTCTTTTGAAAGCTCTGTATATGTTTTCTTTCTGCTTCAGTAGCTAGTATAAAGTGAACATGATTAAATTTACAGCATTTAGAATCTTACATTGCCTCTATCTTACTATTTTGAGCTTCATGGAACATTACTGTCACTATAGGTGTAGGCACACTTCTGTGGATAATTTCACTGATTCTCAAACATATGCTGAAAGTCCCTTTTTGGACTAGATCTGTACCTTTCCTTCTCAACAGCTTCTTATTAAAGTTGAGTGTAAAAAATTTTTTTAATGTTCTCGTTAAGATGTGGGATATGGAATGTTTGACCTAGAAGAGAGCTTAAAAATGATTTAGTCTATTTCCCTAATTTTACTAGAAAAATGAGCCCCCACACAGCTAAGTATTTGCCTAAGAGCACTCAGGAGGTTAGTGCTTTAGCTGGGATAAGAAGTCAGTCTTATGAGGCACCATTTAATGCTCTATAGATGAATACTGAGATTTTTTTTATTTCTATTTTTACCCAGGTAAGTCTAAACCTAATTGCTATTAAATGCCATCACAGTACTCCATACATGCTTGCCTGAACCTGGACCCAAATATTATTAAATATATAGGCTTCTAAAGAGTCATTTCTAGAAAGTAATAAGTCATGGAAAATGATCACAAAAACATATTACAGATATTTATGGAAGAAGCTTCTCACATTTGCAAGAAGCATTACAAATCAATTGCATTTTCCCAAGTGATTTAAAAGTGAGCTGTGATGAAAATACTAATCACTTGTATTTCTTCATAGATTATGTATTTTTTACTGACTGGAGATTGGGTGCTATTATTCGAGTCAGGAAAACGGATGGTAGAGACAGGACAGTTATCCGAAGGGGCATCAGTAATATAATGCACGTGAAATCATATGATGCTAACACCCAGACTGGTGAGTGAGATTCCCAAGTTCTTTTATATGGATGTATTTATTTAATTTGGTGGCTCCTTTTCTCCTTAAAGTACTTATTACTTAATATAGCTCCTGATAACTTTATATTCCTGTCACCCAGGTAGTTTAAGACTTAAAATTTTTGTTCAACTCTGCTAACTCTAAAAGTGTTGTTGGGAAAAACACATTTTAGCACTTCTCCATATTTAAATTGAAAGTTATATTTGGCATGTTGATTTCCAAGAGGATGCTACATTTTAGTATTGGGTCTGAAAAATGTTGTTTTCCATTTGTTTTCCTTCATACACCAAACCTGTGATCAACCTAATGTAAATGTGCATAACTCACCATCTCAGGGCATTGCCTTTTCAGGTTCTAACTACTGTAATCGACCCACCCATCCGAATGGCGACTGCAGCCACTTCTGCTTCCCAGTGCCAAATTTCCAGCGGGTGTGTGGTTGCCCCTATGGAATGAGCCTGACTTCTAATCATGTGACATGTGTGGAAGACCCATCCCATGAACCTCCCACAGAGCGATGTGGCTCTTTTTCTTTTACCTGTAACAATGGCAGATGTGTGCCTAGTCACTACCGCTGTGATGGAATTGATGACTGTCATGATAACAGTGATGAGGATCAATGTGGCACATTTAGTAAGTAGCTTACACACTGGAGATACTTCCTGGGATGACTAGAACAGAGAGAGGTGGGCTTTAAAAAAAAAAAAAATAAAAACAAAACTTGGGTTATCTCTATGGGAAAAAATATCTTTTAAAATTTCAGATGATTTCTAGCATTGATTTGGACTATCTTAAATAAAAATTTCTTTCTGACATTGGCTGTTTGGACCAATGCAGTCATTACATCTTGGCAAGCTCCTCAAAAAGTCAAATCAAAATAAACTGTAGATAATCTTTAGTATCTGAGAGAAGAGTATCACAGAATAGATTGTTGTAGTAACAGCTTTTGAAAATCTCATGGGCTATATTCCATTTTTCCTCCTTTGGTATAAAATGAATTAAGGGTTAAATGGTGGTTTTAACCTTTACATTCCTCTTTTGATGGTAATCCAGGCCATAAAGTTGGAGCTTAGTCAATGCTACTGCAGAAGAAAAAAATATTCCATTAGAATAAAAAATACATAAAGATAGAAGACAGTTGAAATCTCAGAAATCTCTATTAAATTGAGATTAATATTAATAATAACCCGTCTTTGTGAAGAGAAAGACGAGTGTCAGATTTGAAAATAAAATGCCGACTTCTACATTTTTTTGGAAATTTCTAAAATTTTCTTTCTTTTCAGTATTATCTTCCTGTTTCTAAAAGTGCAGATGTTTACCTGAATATTTTATCTATTTGCATTTTTCAAATGACAGATTTTCAAGGTTTCTGTAGACTGAGTTTGAAATTGTGATTGGGGGAAGTACAGCTTAGGAGTAAGGGTGGGCCTTACCATCACACTAATGAGAGCTTGAATCTTGGGCAGATTCCTCAACTTCTAAAACCTCAATCTCCTCATCTGTAAAATGCAGATAACTTTATGTACATAACAGTATTCCTGGGAGGGTTAAGAGCGAAAAAAGTACATAAAGCACTTAGAATAGTGCCTGGTATATGATAATTGCTGAATAAATGTCAGCCAACAATGATGGTGATGATGATGATGAAATGACTCGCACATTTCTCCCTATTTTATATAATGCTCTCACTGAAAAAGGAGAAGAATTGGGCCTTTACAAGGTAAGAACTCAATTAAAAGGCTGTAAGAACAAATGTCTTCATGACCCATTTGTTTCTCTTGTAGATAATACCTGTTCACCTTCAGCGTTCACCTGTGGCCATGGAGGAGAGTGCATCCCTGCACACTGGCGCTGTGACAGACACTCTGATTGTGTGGATGGCAGTGATGAGCAGAACTGCCCCACCCAAGCACCCTCTTCCTGCCCTGCATCCTATTTCACCTGTGATAATAACCAGTGTATCTCAAGGAGCTGGCTCTGCGACACAGATAATGATTGTGAGGATGGATCTGATGAAAAGGATTGCAGTAAGTTTTGAACTGATTTCTCTTAATTAGTCAGCTTAGTAAATAGATTTGAACAATCAGTTGGGCTTGCACACTAGGGCTCACACAATTTTCATTATATCTTAGCCACTTCTATTCCATCTGTCAATCCCCATATCAATAGGCTGTAAGAGCAAAGACAGGGGAACTTAGAGTCCTCCTAAAGATTGAGTTCTATGGAAGCAAAACAAAGATTGTCTCTGATGTCTAACATCCAGATAGAAACTGAAAAAAAAAGATTCCTCAACTAACTATTCAGATATTTAAAACAAATTTTTTTTTTCCAAATCATGTAATCACATGCAGACATTTGGCTATTGGTTTTTCTTTTCATATTATACAGGCAAAAAAGCAATGGAACAAAGAGGCACAGAACATTTAAATTTCCATTAATCTTACCCACCTGCTTTTCCTCTTGCCGGTTCTGGTTTCCTCTATGTTGTTTGTTTCCACGTCTGCAATAATAGTTTAAGGTGGAGCAAAGTTCCCTGGACTAAGTTCTAGTCTTGGTTGCATGAGTAGGCAAGTCATTTTCCTTCTGGAATAGATGAGCTTTAAGATCCCTTCAAGCTTTCTCATTCTGTGAGTCTATATTTAATACAACTTCATGTTGTAGATGGGGCAGCCAGCACATCTGACTCTAAGGCTATATCTCTTGAGCAAGGTAGGCCCCTGGTTTTTAGAACTGTTCTGCTTAGACTTTGGATTAAATCCAGTTATGATCTGTCTATACACTGCTGCTACTGGGCATGTGGGTCACGCTGACCATGCTGCCTCGCAGCAATGGGTTCCATTGCTTAGCTTTGGTGTAGAGTCATGGGCTTAACAGCATTTATGAGGTGTAGTCCAGTCCAAGCTCATGATGCTCACTTTCTAAGTGTGGTCTGTCTTTCAATGTGTAATCACAGTTTCTGACTCTGCCGTATAATCTTTTTATTCCTGTTTCCAAAAACTTTCCTAGCTTTGAGTGCTCTTGCTGGGCTGACTTTGGCAGTGTGGCTGATTTGAAGGAATTCTGAACACATGTACCACTGAGATAACTTATTATCTCCTTAGCTTTTTTCAGTTTGGCTCTGATACACATTGAACAAGAAATAAACTTATTTGGTTTTGTTTTCGGATGATACTAGCATTTACAGAGACATGCCTACCTAGTCAGTTTCGTTGCCCTGAGCATCGATGTATTGACCTATCTTTTGTCTGTGATGGTGACAAGGACTGTGTTGATGGATCTGATGAGCATGGTTGTGGTAAGTGGATTGCTTTATTTTTATTCATGTTTGTAAAAATCTCAATGTTTAGTCATTTTCTCCTTGAGCTAATTTCTAATGTTTTTCTCTTTCATTCTTAGTAATTAATTGTACTGCTTCTCAATTCAAATGTGCCAGTGAGGATCGGTGTATTAGCAATGTATATCGTTGTGACGGTGTTTTTGACTGCATTGACAGCTCTGATGAGATAAACTGTCGTAAGTACCATAAACCCAGCGTGTTTCAGGTAAAGGGATCATTTCATTTTCACTAGGATTGGTATTGCCACAAATTTTCTCTAACTCAAACTGGAGGGAAGACAACCTGAATTACAAAGTATTGTCAAAAGAATGCAGTATTGAGCATGCAGTAAAGTTGACCAGGCATTACTAAATAATGATTTATAATATGTGAAACAAGTGATTGTATCAATGCGCACTCTCAAATAGTCTTTTAGGTAGGTTAAATATTTCTTAGATATTTTTGTTCTCACTATTAATTTTTCCTAGGACATTCCAAATTAGTGGGTTTCAAATTTTTGAGGCCCACATAATAAAAGATACTTTAATGGTTTCTTTTAAATCTCAATAGGGAGGTCAAATCACGGTATAGATATGGTATGGAGTGGTATTTGATATTGACTCTAATGAATTCATTTTTTCAGCTATTATTTATTGAAAATCTGTTAAGATGTTATACATGGCTTTTTGTCATTAGAGTCTGGTGAGACAAATTATAGAAAGTAAGAGACAATTAAAGCAAGGTAGACAGTTACAAGGACCTTATAAATGATACAGATAAAATTCTATGGAGGTTCATAGGATCAGAGGATTCAAGAAGGACTTCATGGGAATATAAATGATGTTTATATGTGATGAACCTATAATCTCCACAGGCTGGAGATCTATAATGGATACAATTTGTTATTGCCCACTTTTTGTGTTAAATAGATTTTAGACTTGTAAAAAATTGTCAGTGAGGTGGTTATTTGTTTGAATAATGGTATTTGAACCATAAAAAGTAGGTTTCTATAAATTTTCCTCCCCAATCAGAAAAGTGTTTAAATCTATGGATAAAAAGAAAAGTTAAATAAAATGCTTACATACTTTATAGATGTGTACAGCACTCAGAAATTCTTGCTCACTGATTTTCCTGTTTCGCATTGAAAACATGGAATTCTTCTGTGATGATCTGAAGTTAAACCGCCAGTTGCCACTGACTTGCTGTTACCTTACAAGGTTTCTGGGAGAGAGTTTGGGTTTACCCCTGTGAAATAGGGAAGCATTCTTGTCTATTTCTCAAGTATTGCTGGATAAATAGTGGAAAGTTTGCAAAGATTTAAGGATTTACTTTCACTTTTGTTTACTTAATTTGTGCTGGTTTCATTGGGTATAGTTCATCTGAGGGAAAATTATAACATCCAAATATATGATATTAACACATGAATTCAAAGTAACCATAGCTATATAAGCTCTATTGAAATGCTCTGGTGATTCTTTGATAAAGAGACGGATAAATTTTATTATTTAATCTGTAATTGTATGAACATTAGAAATGCAGGAAACAGAATTTTATTTTGACTCAGGGACTTATCTTCTACTCAAGAGTTGTGCATCCTCTTTTTTGTCGTCATATCCACTAATCAGACAAATATTAAAATCTCTACCACAATGTTGGAGAAGACCCTATATCATTTTATATTTTAATATTAAATTTGTCATAGTCATTATTATAAACCTACCATTGATCCAAAATCATTTCCTGTGAATCTAGGAATTATATAAAAGGGATTATGAATTGCATTAACAAGCCCATTTCCCCCATGCTTTTCTCTTAGCAACCAGGCCTTCTGGTATGTGCCACCCAGATGAATTTCAGTGCCAAGCAGATGGTACCTGCATCCCAGGGATCTGGGAGTGTGATGGGCACCGAGACTGCATCTCAGGATCTGATGAGCACCAGGGCTGTTCCCCCAGGACCTGTTCTCCATCTCATTTCCTCTGTGACAACGGAAACTGCATCCACAAAGAGTGGCTCTGTGATGGGGACAATGACTGCCGGGATATGAGTGATGAGAAAGACTGTCCTACTCAGGCCTTTCACTGTCCTGTTTGGCAATGGCAGTGCTCTGGACATAGCATCTGTGTGAATCTGAGTGCAGTGTGTAATGGCATTTCTGACTGCCCCAATGGGACAGATGAGTCGCCACTTTGCAGTAAGTTTCCTGACCACAGTTTAGGGGCCATAAATTCATTCTGAGCAGTGGCCTACTGTGCATCACCATTGTCACAGTCACCATGTAGCTTTTGAGGAAGGGATTTCAGTTCCTCTCTGAGTTCAAATCTGTGTAGCGATAATCATGGAATTCAAATAAATCATCACTGGATAATATTTCTCATTAAATCCTTTGCACTTGGTTCTGTGTTTTTACTTCTTTTTATATCATTATTTAGAAAAGTAAGACTAAATGAGGCTGTTAGATTGTCAAATTAAATTTGGTTCTATTTGTAATGTGCTCATAAGTTTTTCTGACTTTAATATTTTCTAATTTCAATCAGAACTTGCCACCAAACAAATGAAGTCCGGGGATTTGTGTTTGCTGTGATTAAAATCCTGTGATTGGCATGTAATCCTAATTACTGTCCTTTCTTTCTTTCCTTTTTAATCAATGCTCGCTCTCAGATGAACCCCAGCCAGGTATGATTGCAAAGTATTTTAGATTCTTATGATTTTATATGTGTTGTGTTTGTGCTGAAAATGTCCTAATCATTTTGACTTCCTTCCCCTTCTAGTGCATGTTTCGTATCATGAGTCTTATAAATAAGTTAGAGTAAACATAGAAATAGAAGGCATTTGCATCCTCAGGCACATGAGCTGGCATTGCCGTTTTGGCCCTGAAAGTGAGGAATGATAGCATGTTAATGGATCTGTGCCCTCTCATGTTCCAATTGCCTTTCCCCTTCCATTTATTTACTTTCATAGACCTTCCAGCCCTTGCTCTTAAATGTCAAAGTCTTATCTTTCATTTCTGTATAGGTAGAAGAATGACAGGAAGCAAGTGGGAAGTAATTTAGGTCTCTTTGCATGCTTTATCAAGGACAATTGTGTTTCTTGGTGTCAACAATATTTCCCCAAGTTTCTCTCATTGCACTAAATAGAGTTATAATAGAGGATTGTAGCGAAAAAAGTGGTCTAAGTCCAGTGGATGTGAAGGCTAGTAAATCCTCAGGCAAATCAGCAGACGCTGACCAGCCTGTAGAGCTCATCCAAGTGGATGCTGCTCTTAGCTCTTACCGGGTATTATGTTGAAGGTGGCCCGAGACTGTATGACAAATATTACAACAGAGTGAACCAAAAAAGCAAAGATTCCTGACTTTTCCCCTTTGTGATTCTCTTTCTTTATTCTAGACCAGGAGAGCTGCTCAGATTCCAATGCTGGTTGTACTCACCAGTGTATTCAAGGGCCCTTTGGGGCTCAATGCCTATGTCCATTGGGATACCTGCTTGCCAATGATTCTAAGACCTGTGAAGACATAGATGAATGTAATATTCCAGGCTATTGTAGCCAGCACTGTTACAATATGAGAGGTTCTTTCCGGTGCTGGTGTGATAAAGAATACATGTTAGACACTGATGGGAGGACCTGCAAAGTTACAGGTAATGACTGAACTTGAAAGTGAATTAATTCCAGCCAGTTTAACAAAACAGCCCAGAGCTTAAGATCAAATGTCGCATGTAGTCATTTGATAATGTTGATTAAGGGTCAAATGGACTCAAATCCTGGATAGGTTATGTAACCTCCTCAAACCTCAGTTTCTTGTGAGGATTACATGAGTTAATACACGTAAAGATCTTAGTGTATTTTGGAAAATAGATGTGAAAACATACAGGCAGAAGATGATTTTTTAAGTTATTTAAGATGATATCAAAATAGTTTTTATATTATTTAAAAATTATTTCTGTATTATGTTTAAGCATCATTGTATAATGTTTAATGAATTCAATTCAATATTAATTAAGTTTCTGCTATGTGAAAGTGATTATACTGTGTATGAGGATATTGATTTAGCTGCTTTAAAAGTGACCAAATAAAGCAGGCTAAAGCAAAATAGACAGTTGCTTTCTTTCTCAAGTAGGGGTCTGGATGGTAGATGGTTCGGGGGTAAAGCTGGTCTGTTGTCCTCATTGTGTCCTTACATCTAGGGATCCAATGGTATTGCTCCAGTCTTTGCCCTCTCTCAGAGAGTGGAGAAGGGAAAGAGAAAGTGGAGAACAAGCTTCCTTTTAAGGATGGGACCTGGAATTTGATACATCATTTCTACTTAGATCGTATTGGTCAGAATTTAGTCATACGGGTACCTAAAACTGAAAAAGAGGCAGAGAAATGTCTTCAGCTGGGTGGCTGTGTGTCAAGCTAAAACTTGGCATGATTTTTCTTTTCTTTTCTTTTTTTTGGCATGATTTATTACTAAAAAGGAAGAAGAGGAAAGGAGATACTGGGAGACAATTAGAAGTCTCTGCCATATCTGAATGCCTTGGGGAAAAGAAAAATGTTTAAGACATGATTTCTGCTATAAAGACATCTACAATCTAGGAAGGAAGATAGGCGAAAGTACAAAAGTAACTATAGTAAGAGGAAAAATGCGAGTATAGTTCACTCCAGATTAATATTTAGACAAACACCGAAGTATAATTCAAGGAAGAAAGGTATTTTAGAAAGAGCTTATTTTAAATACTCATGAAAATACTCATGAAAATCAGCTAACTATTATGGTTAAGAAAGAAATGATTAACATCATTCTTATGGGGATTTTTGTTTGTTTTTCCCATTACTATAGTTTGGAATTACTTCTTCCTTCTGTTATCAGAAAATATGACATCAAATATTTAAGAGACTCTTTCACTGTGCTTTCTCTCCAAATCATTGACATTTTTGCATTTTCTTCTTGGACAGGACCTGAGAGTCTGCTGCTACTTGTGGCAAGTCAAAACCAAATTGTTGTTGACAACATCACCTCCCAGTTCCACACTATCTATTCACTTGTCCGGGAGGGTTCTCACATTGTAGCTATTGATTTTGATTCAATCAGTGGTCGTGTCTTTTGGTCTGACGGAACTCAGGGCAAAATCTGGAGTGCATTTCAAAATGGAACAGACAGAAAAGTAGTAAGTACATTTCTACTGACCTCTGGCCTGACTTCTCCTGTCTTGGGCCTATTTACTATTTCTCACCAGTGAACGAAGGCCCTATCTCATCATGGGTGGCTCTTGTATTCCCCTCTGGGCCACATTGCACCCAAGAGGCCTGGACATCCATAACTCCTAATCTATGAGTGTTTTAGATAAGAATGTGGCCTCTGAAGGCAGATCCATGATTCTGAATTCCAGGTCTCATGATGCAGAAACTTCACAAAGTCTCTGAGGTACCTCTTGCAATTTTTTTTTCTGGTGGATGAGAGCAGAAGAAAATGCCGGGGAGTTAAGGAGTTGCTTTTCTTAGCTTTAATTTATTTATATTTCTCAATCTATCTCCCACAGTCAGTTTCTTGACTTTGGTGGTTATGTTTCCTCTGCCCCTTAGAATTTTATTTTGTAATTGTTGGTGCTTAATCAATAAAGATATTACTTTTGGCATGTGAACATTATAAATTTTCATAGAGTTGCCAACTTAACAAATGGATAAAGCTTTTATTTAATTGCAGGAGCTTTGGGCTGGCCCCGTGACTTAGTGGTTAAGTGCGTGCGCTCTGCTGCTGGCGGCCTGGGTTCGGATCCCAGGCGCGCACCGACGCACCACTTCTCCGGCCATGCTGAGGCCGTGTCCCACATACAGCAACTAGAAGGATGTGCAGCTATGACATACAACTATCTACTGGGGCTTTGGGGGAAAAAAATAAATAAAACTAATAATTGCAGGAGCTTTGAAACCAAAATGAAACTACACACTAATCCAATAGTAAGAGTTATCCTAGAGTATTCAATTTTACAAAATCACGTATATTTTTCCTAGAAAACTCTAGTGTTGATTTGGTGGTTAGCTACATGGGAAGACAAAATTTTCTAATCTTCACAAGCAATCATAGGACAAGTTAGATGCCTTATTCCAGATTTTCGTATAATTTCCATATTTGCATTCATTTATTCCCTTTAGAATTCACTCTTTATTCACTTTTGTCTTTAGGTTCTTGACAGTGGTGTCACCATGACTGAAAGTATTGTGGTAGATTGGGTAGGTCGCAATCTTTACTGGACAAACTATGCTCTGGAAACAATTGAAGTCTGTAAACTGGATGGGAGCCACAGGACTGTGCTGATTAGTGAAAATGTGACAAATCCAAGGGGACTAGCATTAGATCCCAGAATTAAGTAAGACTTTTTTTAATGATGTTGCCTTGACATGGTTATAATGAGGGAAAAATAACAGTAACAGTGATGTGATATGCTGATATGCATATAACAAAATTTGAAATGATCCTTTGTTTAAATATCTCTATAAAAATATAGAGATATCCTTATCCAACAGGTTGTTGCTATCCTTCCTTTATCTGAATAGTGTTCTTCATAAAGTACACAAGAGCAATTGATTTTTCATTTTGTTTTAAGACCACATGTATTTATTAGCTTGGCAATGAACTATTGAAATGATTGTTGTAGAATTACATAATTAAGTTTCTAATGAATGTATACGGTAATATTCCATAGATGGGCCAGTTTGCTGTAGCTTTTATACCTCATGGTTATACAACAAAGTCAGATTTCCCTGCTTCAATTTCATGCTGTTTACTAAAGCTCCCTTTTACATCATATAAGGAAGAAAATTTTTGCCTGCTGGTCCTAAAGGGAAGAAAGAGAAATTCTCCCATGTACTTAGAAACCTTTGTTTCTTCCTTCCTTGCATTTATTTAGATTCTCTTAGATTCTTGCCTACAGGATGGTGAGTTAGGCAAATTATGTTCAATGCAATGCAGACTTCCTAGATATTGTAGAGTATTACACACCAGTGAAATTTCTGAAGAATCTCTGACGATGAATAAATTGACTGTCTTATCTTAAACATGACAGGGTAGACAAACAAGGACAGATGGAGTTTTCTAGATTGACTCTTGTGGATTGTACAGAAACGTGAATTTGCATTAATACATTTCAGTGTCATAATGTACTGCATGTTTTATGAACATTATAAAAACACCCAGATGGCTTATGATTGCATTATGATTATAGTTTGATTTTGTGACACATAGAGGAAATAATGGGCTCTGTGCATATATTCTGAACTGGAGATGATTTATCTTAAGCAGAGCATAAACATGATGTCCTGTTACTTAAAATGACAGTTATTTTCCATACTGAAATATGTCCCCTCCACTTGCTAACTAGTTTCTTTTTACAGTGAACACCTGATGTTCTGGTCTGACTGGGGCCATCACCCTCGCATTGAGCGAGCCAGCATGGATGGCAGTCTGCGCACTGTCATTGTCCAGGACAAGATTTTCTGGCCCAATGGCTTAACTATTGACTACCCCAACAGACTGCTCTACTTCATGGATGCCTATCTTGATTATATAGACTTTTGTGATTATGATGGGCACCATCGGAGGCAGGTGATAGCCAGTGATTTGGTAAGTTGGTAGTGAGGAAAACTAAACTAAAACCACAATAGTGGCTTAGTAAAAAGCAGAGTAACAAGAAAACTAAGAAATTAACTTTTGTGTCACAGACATTACAAGGTTGATCCATGAGATATCAGTAGGAGTGAGGGACAATCCATGTTTTATTACTAACAAAAAGTAAATATTTTTATTCTAGTTCTTGGGCAGATTGTACCATGTCCAGGAAGGATTAATAACTTGTGTGATTTAGTTGATCTGTACATGCTAATCTGTTGCTTCTATATTCTTGAAAAGTGTGTTAAGCAAAAATCAACAATTTATTTATATTTATATTTCTCAGTTAAATCGTAGCCTGCTATATATTTTGTATTTTTATTCAGGAAATTCTGTTGAATTTATTTTCATCTAAGCTCTATTAGATTTACGTGAGTCAGTGAGTGGCAGAACAAGATGGCGGAAGTAGCCCTGGATAAGGAGTGGTGATAATGGGGTGAGGGCTAGGGCTTGGGAGTAGGGGATAAGGAACCTGTAACAAGATAGGTGGTCCAGATAAGTCACCTTCCTTTCTGTGTTTCAGTTTTGCTTTCATTTGTAAAATAGATGCCCAAGTTTAATTGCCTGAGTAAAAAGGAAGACTAAATGACATGTGTATGTGAAAGTATTTTGAGTGGTAGAGTGGGATATAGGTCAAGCAGTATATTTTTTGTGTGTCTCTTAAACAATGACTTCCCTATGTCTTTATTAAATAATTAAATGCTAAAGAAAACCTCTCCTTGGGCAGATATCCTTTTCTGCTTTGTTCACCTTGGCTTTTGTTTCTGGGCGAGGTCTCATTGTTCTCTTCTGCTTCACAGATTGTGCGGCATCCCTATGCCCTAACTCTCTTTGAAGATTCCGTGTACTGGACTGACTATACTACTCATCAGGTTATTCAAGCCAACAAGTGGCATGGGGGGAACCAGTCAGTCGTAATGTACAACGTTCACCGACCCCTTGGGATTGTTGCAGTTCATCCTGTGAAACAACCAAGTAGTAAGTGATACAGAGAGTCATCCTGCTTGGGAATAGCTTGGAAAACACTTATTCTGGGAAGGCTAAATGCACACTGTTGCAGCCCCATTTATTTGGGCAATAAATGTTCCTTTCCTCTTTACTAACCATCCCAGTGCTAACGTTTCCATTACTTTTATTTACCATGGAAAATTCAAACCTTGTATGTAACAACAGCAGACCTTAATTGTGTCATTTTATTCAGCAGTTGGCTACTGCCTCTGTGACCTTTCTCTGAGTCTCAGTTTCCTCAGCTGACAAATATAGCATAGACCGGATAGTCCTTTGTGGTGCTCTGCTGTGGCCACCCTGGGTCATCTTAGAGTGTATGGTGTGGGTGGCTAGGTGGTTTAAAAATTTTGCCTTGGTAGTGTTCTTTCTGGGGGAGGGGGAAATAAGTCACTTAGTCTTCTCTCCTCAAAACTCTGTAGTGGTTTCTCATCACACCTCAGAATCTGCCCCTGCTGTCTCCTTGGTGTCTTCTCCCACTTACCCTTTCCACATTGGACTTCATTATGGTCCAGAAGCACACCAGGCTACTTCTCACCTCTGAACTTTTGCACTAGCTCTTCCCTTTGCCTGGGACGTCCCTCCTCCATGTCTGCATGAGTTGCTCCTTTATGTCATTTTGCATTCTGCTCAAATGCTCCTTGGTGGCCCTTGACTACTCTGTCTAAAATAGCTTTCACCTCTCATAATTATTTTCTCTTTACCCTCACATTCTGAAATCACACAATTTATGAGTTTAGTTCTATCTCCTTTTGTTAGAATATCTGCCCCATGTATACAATATTCTCAGTGCTTAGAATGGTGTTTGGTACATAGTGAAGGCTTAACATTTTTTGAGTGAATGAGTGGATTAATGAATCTAACAAGGTATAAGTAATAAGAACATATAAGATCTAGAAAACATCCTGTCAGCTTGGGATACACACAGAATCCTTTTTTTCAAGCAGCAGAGACACACAAAGATGTCATCAATAGCAAAATAAAAGATTGTTATCTAACCAAAACTTGGACACCAGTGGGTAAATATCAAGGTCACATAGGGAACACACACCTTGGTTTCATTTAATGTAGAAAGATCTCTTTTAGGTCAGGCAAGGAGACACATATTATTTAGCATCATATTTCTATTACTAAGCTCCAGATTACTCAGTGGCTGTTTGTTCATAATCCGGTTGTAGACCGGATTAATCTGTGACCTTGGGCAAGTCATTCCTCCCTCTTATGCCTTTTATGAATTTTATGTTGAAAGCATGATGCTAGGGAAGGGTAAAGTAGTTTAGGAAAAAAACCAAACCAACAGAGGTAACTTAACATACTGTGTCTCCAAATACTGGGGACCTCTGGGAGGACAATAACAGCATGACTATGCATGTTCAAAAATTTATTTGTTTATTTAAATTGAGATGTAATTGACGTATAACATTGTATTAGTTTTAGGTGTACAACATAATGATTTGATATATGTGTATATTGTGAAATGATTACCACAATAAGTTTGGTGAACGTCCATCACCACAGACAGTTAGAAATTTGTGTGTGTGTGTGATGGGAACTTTTAAGATCTACTGTCTTAGCAACTTTCAAATATACAAACAGTACGGTATCGTTAACTAAAGTCACTATGCTATACATTCCAACCCCAGGACTTATTAATTTTGTAATTGAAAGTTTGTACCTTTTGACTACCTTTACCCATTTTACCCATCCTTCAGCCTCTGCCAGCCACCAATCTATTCTCTCTATGAATTCATTTTTTTTTTTAGTTTCCACATATAAGTGAGATCATATTGTATTTGTCCTTCTCTGACTGACTTATTTCACTTAGCATGGTGCCCTCAAGGTCCATCTGTGTTGCAAATGGCAGGAATTCCTTCTTTTTTACACATGAATAATATTCCATTGTGTGTGTGTATATATGTGTGTGTGTGTGTGTGTGTGTGTGTATGTGTGTATATATATTTACCACCTTTTGTTTATGTGTTTATTCTGTGCACTTTAACATGGGAAGTTGTCGATTTACGAATGTTTTCTTATATTTCTATTACAGGTACAAATTCATGTGCCTTTGCCGCCTGCAGCCATCTATGTCTGCTTTCCTCAGAGAGGCCACAGTTTTACTCCTGTGTTTGTCCTTCAGGATGGAGTCTCTCTCAGGATTCTGTGACTTGCGTGAGAGGTACAGTATGCCCTTTTTTTAAAAATTTTTTTTATTTTTTAATTTTTTTTGTGAGGATGATCAGCTCTGAGCTAACATCCATGCTAATCCTCCTCTTTTTGCTGAGGAAGACCGGACATCTATTGCCAACCCTCCTCCTTTTTTTTCCCCAAAGCCCCAGTAGATAGTTGTATGTCATAGTTGCACATCCTTCTAGTTGCTGCATGTGGGACGCGGCCTCAGCATGGCCGGAGAAGCGGTGCATCCGTGCGCGCCCCGGATCCGAACCCGGGCCACCAGTAGCGGAGTGCATGCACTTAACCGCTAAGCTACGGGGCCGGCCCACAGTATGCCCTTTAAGTGTGCCCTGAAGGTGGAGCTTGCCATAGTTTGTGAAAAGCAGTGTAAGCTCTAAACACTTGCTGACTGAGTGTGTGCTGTGTTCCCTTTGATTCAGCAGGTGTCTGTGGAGTGCGTGCTCTATGGGGTGATTTAACTGAGCTCTTCAGTTATAATATGGTTTCTGTATATGGAGCTAATATTATGTGTGCATGTGATTCAACAATCTTTAACCTCACATTTTCCCTTACTTGGTTATAGTTAGACAAACTATGATAATGGGATGTTTCAAATTTTGCACATAAGGAGTAAAAATTCTTGACCTTAGTATATGGCTTCATTTATCAGGTTCCTTATCTCATTTTTATTCTCGTAACCAGTAGTCAATGATGAGTGTTCTAGCTTGGGTCTTCTGACTCCAATTTCAGTACCTTTACTGTTTTGATACTTTAAAAATGGAAGTTTTCTCTGTATGAAATATTATAAGTGATTATCTGAACAATTTAATCTTCATCCTAGATATTTTACTGGGTTGATTGAAGAGTATGTAGAGAGGTATAGTAAGTACTTTAGGGAGTAAGAAAGAAAGGAAAAGATGTAGTCAATCCACAAAAGAGATTTCTTCTGGAGTATGTACTTGATGTATAATAAACTCTTTAAAAATGACTCGCCTTGGCTTAAAAATCTAAAGAGTTATTCTAAACTCAAGTTTCTTTCATTTCTCAGTGAAGAGGAGTAAATATGTTTTGATACTGATAAAAATTGCTGTCAACAAGTTAAAATTAAATGTTTAATGATAAAAAATTCCTAAATTAAGAGAAAGTAGAGTCCTGATCTAGAGGGAAATTTAGTTTTGAAATGGGAAATATATACTGAATCCAGGAAATTTATAGTGTTTACAGATTATGTAGATGTAGATTTACTGAAAATTTAATTCTATCAGTATGTAATATTTTGCAATGATACTTTCGTGATGAAAGATTTTAAGTATTGGTAATGCTTACAAAGGGATTGGCATTTACCATTTTTCTTGAGACTTATTATGCACCTAATCCTTGTTGACATTGTTTAATTTAGTGTGTCCTCAGAGTCTTTCAGTAGAAGATTAAACTAGGCTATAGACATTTAGGATACAAAGCCTTCTTTGACCACACAAAGATTGTTGAACTGTGCATTGGGGATTGGTGTAATCAATATTACTATCTGATGGTGATTGATAAGCACTTTTCATTGTTTCACAAATAATTCCACTAGTGGTTTTTCCATGGGCTGACTTTCCTGAGGTGGAACTTTTACAGTATTTCCCAATTGGTTTCTGAGCATCAGTTGGGTAACTGAGTGCCAGTGTATATTAACTAAAAAAAGTTACACATTTTTTTTAACAAGAAGCTTAGAAGACTTGTTAAGATTTTTAGATGAAAACATTTTACTTGATTTACGTGTTCAATAACCTTTAAAATAGTGTTTACTAAGTGTCTGGAATATCTTTGGAAGGGCGTATATGACAAAGGTAAGTGAAAAAGCTGATCCTGTCTGATGTTGGCCATGTAAAAACATGCATTAAAAAAGTCTGGAAGAAGTGGTTACAGTTGAGTAGGGGAATTATGGGATATTTCTATTTTTCCTAATTTTATATTATAGAATTTTAAAGTGAGAGCTTTCTCTATATGAAATAGTTTTTTTCTTTAGAAAATGTTCCCCACAATGCCAAAAACAAATAAATAAACACACTAAACTCAAAACAAAACATCTTCCCAGCACCCCCTAGAATAAACAGCCTCAAATCCAAAATAGCTTTCTGACTCAGTCTGAGGGACACAAGGCAATGTCTTCAGTGATTATGTGCAAAATAAGAAGAAAACACTCCTTGCCCATACTCTTGGAAAGTTTGCGGTGCTGAGCAGTTTGTCCAAGGTCTACCTTAAGGAGGACCTAGGTTCGGGAGTCCTAAATGTTGCCCTTTAATTACAACATAAATTTTCCATTCCTGACTGTCATCTCTTTACTTCTCTGCTCAGCTAACACTAATCTTAGTGGGATCATGACATGAAAAATAAAAATGAAGTAATGATCTTTCATTTCAAAAGACTGAGACATACTGACCTAGGACAGCTTAACTATCACCTCCCCCTGAACTTTCCATCAAACTGTAGGTGCTTCTGTGCCTACTCCTTCATGGCTATTATCGTCGGGCATCCTAAGGGCCCATATACTTTGTCTTGACCTCTATACTCTAAGTTCCTTGAGGATAAAGCCTCCACCTGATTTGTTGATGTGTGCTTATTGCCTGTGAAACATGTGGCGCTCAGTTAATGCTGAGTGAATGACAAGTCCTGCAATATCCTTTTTTTACTCCTTCTCTAGTCCTGTGTTTTTCACCCATTTGCTCATTTGTGGGTCTATAGTGTCATAAAATCACTTTTCCTCTTTTCTTTGCCACAGAGTACTTTTCATGCACCCTTGTATGTCACTTGCCTCAGTGGTCACTTCCTTTCTCTTGCTTCTCTGGCATCATCCTTCACCTTGGCTTTCACACCTTCTGCTAGTGCAGCATTAAATGATACCCCACCTTCTGGTCTGTTGCCCACAAATGTTTGTTGGTGGTATAACAACTCAGATACACCAGCAGTGATCAGATAAAGGGCCTGAGACACATCCCCAGGAAGGAGTAATGGCTGAAGGAGTAGAGCCAAGTAGTGCTTGAGGAAGAGCTCCTTGGAGGAATCAGGAAGGCTCATGTTTGATGGATGACAAATGCAAAGATTTTTAGGCTTCAAACAGTACTTTGGTTGAGAATTCTTCCAATTAAGCCAAAGGAAAATTACCCATTAAAAAAAGCATTGTCAGGGCCCGGCCCAGTGGCGCAAGCGTTTAAGTGTGCGCGCTCCGCTGTGGCGGCCTGGGGTTCACCGGTTCGGATCCTGGGCGCGCACCGACGCACCGCTTGGCAAGCCATGCTGTGGCGGCGTCCCATATAAAGTGGAGGGAGATGGGCACGGATGTTAGCCCAGGGCCAGTCTTTCTCAGCAAAAAAAGAGGAGGATTGGCAGATGTTAGCACAGGGCTGATCTCCTCACAAAAAAAAAAAAAAAAGAGAGCGGTGCCAGATTTTGAGTAAGTAAAATTTAAAATTTCCCCTCTGAAATTAGAAAATATTTCTATGGAAATATTTTCTATTTTTATGGAACCAATGAGCATTTATAACATATAATTAATAAATAATTAAGTAGCATCTCAATATAATTTCAAGGTACATCTGAAACTCATTATATAGTTTTCATTTTTTGTTACTGTAGTTAAAACAAATGAATTGAGTGGTAATTTGATATTCAGTCAGTAGTACCCAACCTGCACTTTTTGTAGAGTAGAATTAAGATTAAGAATATACGTTTTTGTCCAAGAGACCTGGCTGTGTGATCTTTGTTAAATTGCTTAATTTTTTTGTGCCTCATTTGAAAGTTAGTGGGGCAGGGAGGGGGGATAACTATCTAACAAACCCGGTTATGAGGCTTCAAGGAGATAAATTAAGTGAAATGATATTTGCCTGGTGCATCCTGTGTGTCACACATTCTCAGTAAATGGGGGCGATTATTATGGCTAGTGCAGTTGCTCAGAAGAGAAGCAATGTGGAGCATTTGGAAGAAGAAGGGCTTGTGAGTTAATCTCTTATTGTATTATTTTCTGTAGAAGTCACAGAGTCTCTGCAAATCTTACTGGCCTCAGTTGAAAACAACTTTGCAGGCTTGTTGTGAAAGACTAAATGCTATATATCATAGAACTTTGTAAAATATAAAGCATTAATAGTTGCAAAATTTACTTTAAATTTGTACTAGGTAAATAAATGCTGAGTTATTTCTCAGTAATAGGACTGTCAGGAACAAAGAAAAGCTAATGAGATGTGAAAATAAGTAAAGAAAAAAGTGTCAAAATAATCCTGCTGAAGATGGAAAGCTTCCCAGATACCAAAATAATGAAAACATCATTTTATAGCCCATGAAAATTATGCATAGATTAATCATTTTATATTTAGTCTTAATATGTGATGTATGTGAGTCTTAATAACAGAAAACTCACATTCCAAAGTTTTCCTTTTCTCAGAGAGGAATTATAAAATAAAACCCCACTTTTAAATTTGATTAATTTAGATTTTTTTGATAATGAGACAACAGCTGAGGTAAAGCTTATCTTTGAAGATTGTCTTTGAAAAAGGACCTCTTATTAAGTGAACTGATAGTTTGAAGGAGATATTATGAGGATGTTTAAGTTGCAATGTACAGACACTTCTAAGAGCTTAGAAGATACTGTTAACATATTTAATTATGCATCCATCTATTTATTCATTTCTGCGGTCATTCATTTAGTTGGCACATATTTATTAGGCAACTATTATATGCCAGACTCTGGGCACATAATAGTAAATCAGACACAGTCGTTGCCTTTTGGGAGTTAGAATCTAGTGTGGAAGACAGACATTAGGCAAAAAACAATTGGTGGGATTATAAATGGGATTTATTTAGTAATTAAAGTCTCTAATAAACACTAGTCAATACTTTGTAGTATTGTTTTATTTTCTGAACATACTTAAAACTGTCATTCACCAAGAATAGTATATAAGTTTTCTTTTATATCTTTTTGCAAAATCCAACTCTCCTTTCCCTGGGTTATTTAGTATCAGTGATGTTTGTCTGCATGTAGAAATGGAAGAATTTCTTGACTGCGACTCTTAGCAAACATGGATGGTTTATCAGTGTAAGTAAGGAATTAATGAAGAGTAAAGTAAATACTGATCTACCCTGGGAAAGTCCAGAAGCATTGTGTGTGGTGTTGGAGGTCTGGTGACCCAGCAACTCACTGAAACCCAGTGGAAGGCCCTGGATTGTCTGATGAAATATCTACCGTGCGTTATATTTATTGCTGCAATGCTGCAATGGCATTTTATCCCATAAGATGTTAACATTCCCCTGCCTTCCATTACTTTAAATGTCTGGGAATAGTGGGGTATGATTTTGACTGATATTCTGCTATTTTCACAGATGATCAACCTTTCTTAATAATTGTAAGACAGAGCATAATTTTTGGAATCTCCCTTAATCCTGAGGTGAAGAGCAATGATGCTATGATTCCCATAGCAGGGATAATGAATGGTTATGATGTTGAATTTGATGACTCAGAGCAATTCATCTATTGGGTTGAGAATCCAGTAAGTTTTGAATAACATTCAAAGTATATAACTTGTTCTCGAAGAGCCTAGCTGCACTGCTGCCTTTTTATAGGCAAACTTTTGCTGGGTGGATAAAAGAGAAATGGTCCAGAAATAAATTAATTTACCACTAAGTTTTTGATTCAGTGGGGGATGTAAATGGGAGGTTGGCCTGGAACAAAGATCAGAAAACTCTTTAGCTTTAGAATATTAAGCACATTTAAGCTATTGGGTATCATTTATTCATACAGCAAGTATTTATTAAGTGCCTGCTGTTTGCCCTGCACTGAACTAGCTGCTCCCAATGGCAGAATACACGCCAAGAAGAAGCAGTAGTAAAGTGTTGCTCTTAAGGAGTTTTAAACTAGTAGAAGATATTAGCCTAACATAAAAATGATCACAACTCAAGAAAAAAAGCAGTAATTCCCTAAGGAAGTTTTAGGAAAGCATTTGATGTGGCCGTTGGGGCCTTCATTCACAATCTTTGCCTCCAGGGTAAAAAGAACACTCCACCAATTCCCTTCCCATTAGGCCCCTTTCCTCACCCTTTAGGGAAGAAACCTGTGAGGATAGGGGAGGGGCAAAGAGGATACAATGAGGAAGAGAGGAAAGATCTTTGTTTGATGCTTGTCACCTCTATGTAATATATACTCCTGGCCTCCTGATTCACATGTGTGACTTTGGTTGTTTTTATGACTCTTTGGCCTGTGGTAGTTAAGAAAGAAATCTCTGTAGCCAATATTAGAGGTAACCTGAATGGTAAACCTTGTGTCTTCCTGTGACATACTTAAAAATCAGTGTTTTCAAAGTGTTGCTGGCATTAGCATTATACACAATGGGCCACCCAATGACACTGAACCTTAGCCTATTTTCTAAATGTGAGGAATATTAAAGAAACACAGCAGCTGACACTAGCTGCAGTGAAGAAAGTGCTTTCACGCAGAAGCTGTGGCCTTCAAACACCTCTCTTTGTCTTTCTTTCCAGGGTGAAATTCACAGAGTGAAGACTGATGGCACCAACAGGACACTGCTTGTTCCTCTATCTAGGGTGGGGTCTTCTATGAGCCTGGCCTTAGACTGGATATCCAGAAACTTATATTATACCAATCCTGGAACTCAATCAATTGAGGTAATGATTCTATAATACTATTTACACAAACACTGGTTTCTGATTCATGTAAAATCTATTCTCAGGAAATGCTCTCATGGATTTTGAAATTAATTTTAAGCAGGAAGCAAAAGGGAAGAGATATTAGAACTAACTATTGAAGTCTCTGAAGCTAAGGAAGAAAACCTACTTAAAAATAAATTATTGGAACTTTGTACTGTCCTATTTTGTTTCCTCCTAAGTATCAGTACTAACATGTTCATATAAAAGGATTTTAGATATTTTATAAAAAAAAAAATAAAAAATTATGTAAGGAATTCAGCATAAAGGGAAGATTATTGTAGACAGGGAATTTACACTATCTTTCCTCATCAAGTCTTCAATGCTATTTCAGTTCTAAACCAAATTTATAGGTTACCTCTGTTCTAAGATGGAAATCTTTCTAAGGCTCCAATATAGCTTTTCTAACAGTGAAATAGAAAGTAGAAACTTGATTCTAATTCCTTTTATAATCTTCTCTTTGTGGTAAGTTTTCTTTTTACTCTAATTCTCAGAAGAAATTCTAGATGGGGTGCAGGTATGAAATCACATGAAGGAAATCAGAGATATCTTGACTAGTATTGGTTTGCTCCACTCTGCGACAAGATTAAAACATGTAGGGATTATGAATTCATAATAATTTGGAAAGTGAACATTCCTAAAGCAAAAGGAGGGACTTGTGAGAGGGACAGTTAGCAGGGCTATGTAGAGTGACAATCCGCTACTCAGGGTGAGGCACCAGCTGGTAAGTTGGTTCTCTGTGGGGCATTCAGAAACATAGATGTTGAAGATGAAGAAGGCACACAGCAGCCACGTGGCTAATTTAGAGCAGATTCGATAGAAGGAATGCTTATTCCATAGTCAGAACAGTGCTTTACAGTTTCCAAAGGTTTTCCACAAACATCATCTCATTTAATCCTCACAACATTCCCGAGAGCAGGCAGGTGTAGTAAACACTCACAACGAGAGGGACGTTGCCAATATGCACACATGCTATAACTTCTAGAATATCTCAAGCTAGGTGGAATCATCAGCTCTTAATGTGAGGGGAACCTTGGAGGCTCATCTGGTTCAAGCCCATTGTTTTTTATTTTTTTATTTTTATTTATTTATTTATTTATTTTAAAAAAATTTGCACTTTATTTTTTTTCCCCCAAAGCCCCAGTAGATAGTTGTGTGTCATAGCTGCACATCCTTCTAGTTGCTGTATGTGGGACGCGGCCTCAGCATGGCCGGAGAAGCGGTGCATGGGTGCGCGCCCAGGATCCGAACCGGGGCCGCCAGCAGCGGAGCGCGCGCACTTAACTGCTAAGCCACGGGGCAGCCCCCCATTGTTTTTTAGATAAGAACCTGAAGCCCCCAGAAATTAAGAAATTGGTTTAAACAGTCACCTTCGGTGGCCTGATTCCCAGGCAGTGTTCTGACTTTGCCTTGTTATAAACCACACTTCTAGCAATCCAGCCTGCTTTAACCCCCTTTGACAGTGACAGAAGGTATTTTTCATAATCTCACCTGAAATATCACTTTTCCATCACAACGTAGGCAAAATTTCTGGCCCAAGACCCTTAATACCAAACTCACATCTCTCTAGCGTCGGCTCAATGGACAGCTGTCTTAATTCCACGTGACGATTATATGCTCCCGCTCTGTCTCTTGTCTCTTGCTTTGTAGATGGGGGTCTGCCCTTTTAGACAGGTAGTTTTCCAAAAGCAGGAAACATGCTCCTCCGTCATTGTCAGGTACAATGGAAAGGCACAACTTGAAGAATAACTGAGTGTATGTGTATACACATGTGCGTATTGGTCAGGCCACTTTAACCATATAAACCTCAAGTTTGTCATTGTGCCTCGATGTAGTGAGGTGCAAAGGGAAGATTATTTGCTTTGGAATCCAAAGACCTGGGCTTGAGTCTGGCTTACTTGCTCATTTATTCATTCATTCAACAAACACTAGTAAATGCTTTCTATGAAGCAGACCCATGGTTAGTCCTGGATATTTAAAGAAGAATAAAACATTTTTTTTCTGCTTTTAAGTAGCTCACACATTTGAGAGCTGGACATGTAAACACTTACCTTTGTTCCAGTGTAATAAGTGTGATACAAGCAGTGACTGTAGAATGCTTTGTGATTGGGGGCAGAGGAAAATGGGGGGAGGGAGAATGAATGGCAGGCTTCCCATAAGCAATGACTTGTGAGCTGAGTCTTCAGGGATAACAATATTTATTTCTGCCAAATGAAGAAATAGGGAAAAGACATCTCAGACAGAGAAAAACACTTGAATCAAGACCCGGAGATATGAAAATGTATTTTGTGATTGGGGACAGCACTGTATTTCCTCTACTCACAGGGTGTTTGACCTTGGACAAATTACTTAATTTCTCTGACCCTCTGCTACCATGTCTGCAAAATGAGGTTAATAGCTCAATAAGTAAAAGTACTTCTTGACACTGAGGTATCCTGTGAATACAGAGTCCTGTTTCCCTCAAATCATCAATATATTTAGAATATCCATAAAGGACTTGTGAGAATAATGATTCAAAGGTAAATTACCCTTTTAGTGTTTTCATTGGTTTTCTCCTTTGCTGATATGGATTGTGACTCTTCCAGGTGAGTGTTATGTTGCTTAAGAACACAGGAATAGTGTGCACATACTGTTTACCTGTACAATATCCCTTCCAGCATAAGAGTAATTCACGTTTAATTCCAACTTGAAAATAAAAGAGAATCATTGAAGAAATGGTTTTCCACTAGGGGTAGCTCTGTGCCCATTCACTGAAAGCAATTTTGTAGCTGAAAAGTGCAGCCTACAGAATGGCTGTGTGAGAGAGAACTTGATATATTCCAAAAAAACAAGAAAAGGAACTTTCCTTTGAACCAAAGAGATCCTTAGGCCTAGGAAAAAGGAGAGAAATTGTAGCAGAAAGAAGCAAAATGAAAAGAGAAAAATTATATTAGTGCAAGAAGGAGAGAAAGATACCAGACAGGAGAGAGAAAAATTTAGAGAGGAGAGTGAGAGAGAAATGAAGGGTGTGTGTGTGTGAGAGAGAGAGAGAGAGAGAAAACAAATACAGAGACAGAGAGAGGGGCACCTATAGAAACATAAACACAGATATACAATAATCTATTTGTTTTGAAAAGCAGCTTTATAGAAAAACCTTCATGCAAATCCACAGGCATTTTCTAATTTTTAACTAGTTTCTCTTCTGACTGTCTCAAGGTCATATTAAAATAGCTTTGTTCCTATATAAGAAACTGCTTCTAGTCCAATAATCTGTATTTCTCTGTGATATTTCAGGGTTCTGTTAACATTGTGGTTATAACGATTATAGCATTAATAATTAAAAATGAATAACATTGGGAAAGCCACTAAGTCTCTCTAGACCTCCTTTTTCATGGTCTGTCATATGGGCATAATAATGGTATCTATCTCACAGAATTATTGTGAGGATTAAATCCAATAATGCTTAGTATAGTGCCTGCTACATAGTAAGTGCTCAGTAAATGGGCCAATAAAAAAAATAGGAAACATTTACTGAACACAATTGTACTGGGGGCTATGTTAAGTGTTGTACATGTATTATCTCATAGTCCTGTGAGCTCTAGAAGGTGCCATTATCGTCCACATTTTACTGATAAAGAAACCAAATTCAGAGAGGGGAATTTACTTGCCTCAGGTCACACAGTCAGACCTGGCAGGGCAGGGATTTGAACTCACCTGTTTTAACTCAGGCTGTTAACTTGGCACAGAATTCACTTTAACTCTGAGTAAATTCAGACTGATCAACTAAGTTTGCAGTGATGGACCACTGGGTGCTACGGTCCAGTCACTGGGGTGCAGGAGAGCAATAAGGTTCCCATTTGTCTTCCACAGAGTTTTCTTTTATCTTTTTCTGAAGGCATTTTTGTAGTTCCTCTTAAGTTCACCCATTTGAATCTTTCTTTGATTCATATAAATTTCCTTTCTTGAAACTTTAGGTGAATTGAAAATAGGAATTTGAGAAGTGATTTTGCTTTTCTTCCTCTCATTTTCTGTTGAGCCCATTTCCTCATAGCCCTGAAATGCAATTAGCGACTATCTGAATCTCACGCAAACCCTCCCATTCATCCCTAATTTGTTGTATAAGTTCTTCTTCATCTCAGCTTTCTTTGTTTTCCCCTTATGGAACTCAGTTCTAATAAGTGACTTTATGCTATAGGTTTTGACACTCCAAGGAAATGTCAGATACAGAAAAACACTGATTACCAATGATGGGACAGCTCTTGGAGTTGGGTTTCCAATTGGCATAACTGTTGATCCTGCTAATGGGTGAGTATTCATAAGTGGCACATGTCTTCTATCCAGCACCATTCTTGTCAATGTTATGGTCTGACAAAATGGAAGATTGCAAACTTAGGACCTTTTCTGATTTCACATGCCAACATTTGAAAAATACAGATCTCAGTGAGAAAGAGAAATAGCTCTGAGTTATATTTAATGTGAAGGATATAATTTGTGTTTTGTTCTATGTTCTTCAGATTAATAACACTGCACTTAAAATTAATTGCAAACAAGCAAGAATTTCAGGGATTTTAAAACAGAATTATAAGAATGAACAATACATTCTGATTTTGAGCGAATGTGGAAAGCTTTAAGGGGGTAGATAACATTTGAAATGGACCTTGAAGGATGAGAAGGCTTCCAGTAGGTGTAGCGTGGGTCACAACTTGGGAATGGTACTTGAAATCAAGTGAGCAGTGAATGTGAAGAAGTGTGGCAGTATTTAGCATGATTGTGTAGAGGGCTGGAACCAGAGTCTTGGAGTAGGGGGCAGTTGACCAGATTCAAGATACAGCAGTTACAGTCATTTAGGAACAAATCATGGACTTGTCATGCTAAGGAATTATACTTTATTCTTTTGAGAAATAAGGAGCCAGTAGGGAATTTGGAGGAAGGGAGTGACAGAACCAGATCTGTATTTTGGAAAGTTTGGTCAGGATTGGATTGGAAGGGGCCAGGGGTGGGGAGACCAGTTAGAAGAACTTGTTCAGCTAGGGATGAGAGTTCTCAGTTAAGATCAGGTAGCTTAGATTTTTAGTGAACTCAGAGTTCACAAGAGTTTTGTGACTTCATCCAGGAAACTTTTGGTAGCCTGGAATGGGAGAGGAGAAAGAAAATAATGACAGGAACACAGGGTTAGCAATTACCAAGCTAGGTACAATGGGAGATCAAGAGAATAAATAAGAATATTGTTAAAAAGGTTATGTATGAGGTCCAGGCATAGAGAGACTGGAGGTTTGGGACCTTAGACACGTTTTAAAGGCAAAGAACAGGATCAATAGGAGAAATAAAATAGGAGCAGGGAAGAGATTGGTGAGTTTAGTCAAAGTAGAGAATTTCAGAGTTTGAGAACTTAGAGGTAGAGAAGTTTGGATTTGGAGATCATGGGACGGGTATATGGGATTGGTGGTGGAAGTATGCAAAAAGAGATGATTGGAATTAAGAGGTTTGAGGACTTGTGGGAAAAGAGTGTAAGAGGATTGTCTATTGAGGCTACAGCAGGTGGTGAGATAGAAAGGAATGAAAACTTGGATTCAAGTCTAGAAGTTATATCCTCAGTGGAAATGGAAAATAACCCTTCATATATTATAATGAAATTTCATATATCGTAGATTAGGCAATTCTGTGTGGTGATTCGGGTTCATATGTATGTATTGCATTTTTCATCACAGAAATCAGAAAAGAAAGTAGCTGGTTTTCTGGTAAATGATGATTTGGAGCAGAATTAAACAAGACGCTTGAGAGATGAGCAGGGAGGTACTTGACAACTTTCATACGAGCTTTGTCCGTCCCAGTGTACTGGGCAGTATATGATTCTTTGAAAAGGATTGACTGTCGATGTAGGCTCCTTCTTGGTGATAAGCTTCCAACCTGCCTGACCAAGCTAAAGGATCACCCACAAATGGAAGATGCTAGCCTCTTGTTTTAGATACCATTTTAAACAGCCTCTACCCCAATAATAACTAGGAAATATACAGACATTGATAGAACACTAGTTAAATTCTCCTACACATTGTATGTAAAAAAATTTTGACGTGTCAGACTTCCTCCATTGAATCGTGCGCATCTTGAGGATGAGAAATACACATTTTCCATTTAAATATTTAATGACATCTTCTGTTTCATTGAACACTGATGTTTTTCATGGTTGTAGGAAACTGTACTGGTCAGACCATGGAACATACAGTGGCGTTCCTGCCAAGATTGCAAGTGTTAACATGGATGGCACATCTTCAAAAACTCTCTTCACTGGGAACCTTGAACACGTGGAGTTTATCACCCTTGACATCCCAGAGCAGAAACTCTACTGGGCTGTTACCAGCAGGGGAGTGGTATGAGCACCCTTTTGGTCTGTTGGTCTTCATTGCTGAATCTGTGTAGCTGATAACTGTCTGGCAGTGGTTCTTGAACAATCTCACTTGGCAACTTGCATCAGTGTTTTATTGCCCTTTCTCCCAATAACTTCTTTCCCTTGAACAAATCTTACCCAAATTGAAGTCCAGTTCTTTATAATATATGCATAGTTCCTAATAGAATAATATTTATTACTTTTTCCCTTATCTTTTGTTTTTCTTCAGGATAAAACAATTCCATTTCTGATTTCTTATTTGTCCTTTAAGAGCCATTTCTTTCATATTTTCGTAATGTCAATGCTTTTCTTTGAAAGTTGTCTAGTCTCTTCAATTGTAGAGATTAAATATACGTGTGTGTGTGTGTGTGTCTGTGTGTGTGTGTATAGAAAGCTTCCGAGCTCAGTGTCCCCTCATAGCTACATATTATTCTCTAATGTCCTTTTGTGGTAGATGCATATGTGAAAATTCCCTTTACTGGTGAGTTTAAACTCCGACGTTGAGTTCATTATATTCTGCAATAAGCAGCAGAAACTATATAATTTCATTCATTCACAGAAATAATATTTGGTCTTCACTGCTGTGGTTTTGCAGCTGAGCTGGGACTAGGCACAAAGAAGGTACTCAATAATAATTATTGATCAGTTAAAATATTGCTTTGGATGCTGAATTGAATGTATGCTAGTATCTTCCTTGCTTTTTAAACAGTAGTGATTTCAGATCTGTCTTTAACATTGATGCTTTCCGTAATATTGAGCAGGAGGTTTGGTTTTCAGTTCATTATCAGTTCAACAAGTACTAATTTCACTCCTAATATGTACTTGCAATGGTGATAAACTTTGAGGATTAAAAACAAGTGGAGATGTGTGTGAAAGCACTTTGCAGGCTTCAGTGCATGTGTGCAATGTTGAGGAAGCTCTTGCCACATGATGTGATTTCTCCATACAATTTAGCATGTCCCAGACAGTACACACCATCTCCTTCCCGTCCAATTTCTACATCTGCTCTGCCCTCCTGAATCTGTGAGCTTGTTAGTGGATTGACTTTCCATCCTTTCTCCTAGGCTAGAACCCTCGTATTTCTCTTTCACTCTAATAACCATGTCCTCGTTTAATTAGCACAAAATCCTGGCAATTCGTCCTCTCCCTCTTTTCTCAGGCCCAGCCTTTTTCTGCCACCTCCACCATTCTGAGCCACTTCTCTCTAGCCTTGACTAGACCATGGCTCTCATTCCTGAACCCTGCTTTCATGATGGAGACACGTTGGCCTCATAAAACTGTAACAAATAGATTTGATCACTGCTTATCCCAGAACCCTGGCCTAGAGTAGCAGCTCCAAACACTTCAGCCGAGCCTGGTCAGCTAATCTGATCCTAGTCTGCCTCAGCAGCTCCCCTCCAAGCTTATCTTCCCTATGCTCTAGACTTCTGGAACTTCTGTCAGTTTCTAGGGCATAACCTGCTCTTGTAACTGCTGGGTTCCCTTGTCCAGTGAGGCAGTGAGTCAGACCTCATGTTTCTCTCACCAGTATTCAGCTCAGATCCTGGCACAGAGGAGGCACTTGAGGCAAGTTTTTGGAATAAAATCAAACCAGCCGTGGCTACATTTTGTTTTTCTCCCAAAAGTAGACAACTTGTCATTTCTCAATAGGAACTTCATTCTTGTGAGTTCTATTCCAGTTTACCAGGGTTGTTTTGACTAAGGCTTGTTACTGTTCCAATGTAACAGCACTACCGTCTGCCCCATCCAGTTTTGCTGTCTTCTGTGCTTGTATGGAGCACATTTCCTATCCCCATTGCAGAAACTGTTGGTGAAAATGTTAAATGCAGGGTCAGCCAACTCCTGTGTAACAGCCCACAGTTAGACATTAAATGTGTATCCTTGACCAGAATATCACACACAGGGACTATAGATGTTTAGTCCCCTTTTCTTCACCATGCCATCTGAGGAAGTTGACTTATTTGAGCTCCAGCTTCATTATCAGTGAAATGGGCATAATGACATTGCCTGACCTACTGCTCTGTGTAGTTGTGACTATCAAATCAGAAAATAGATATAAAATTCTCCATAAAGGATAGAGTGCTATGTAAATGTGAACTATTATTAGTAAGAGAATATTAGTTTTAAATGTTTTTTTCATTTCACCATGAATCAGTCAATAATGAAAATTCTGATCTTTTAGATTGAAAGAGGAAATGTGGATGGTACAGATCGAATGATTCTGGTAAACTATCTTTCCCACCCCTGGGGAATTGCTGTCTATGGTTCCTTCCTTTATTATACTGATGAACACTATGAGGTCATTGAAAGAGTTGACAAGGACACCGGGGCCAACAAAGTCATCTTGAGAGATAATATTCCACGTCTGAGGTGCCTTCGAGTTTATCACAAACATGGTAAGTATTTGCCACTGAAACATACACATTCATGGCTGTATAACATATATTCGCATCTCTGTACACTTACATATATAAACACATGCCCACACACAAACCCGTGTACATACACTGCCTGCAAATTGAAATTACCCAAAATATGTTTAAAATGATAACCATGTCTTAAGCGTGGTTGAATGTCAAAGCCTAAACTGGCATCTGAAAGGCCAGATTGACTTCACAGTAAGCTTATTCCCATTCTTTCCCCATCACTTTAAACTCCTTACTTTGCTTTTGCTTCCTAGTACTTCCTGACATATTATCTATCTGTTTATTGTCTGTGCTCCTTGTTAGAATGTAACCTCCAGAAGGACAGGCGTTTTGCAGGACTTGTTTCTTGCTTTCTACCCAGTAGCTAGAATAGTTCCTGGCACGTTGAAGGTGTCAGTAAATGTTGGATACTTGTTGGGAAAGTGTTAACAGGATAGGATTTTTAATCTTAAATGGAATACTCTTAGATGTTGTCTTTTTCAACATATTTTTTCAGAGATAACTGTAAGTTTTGATTTTCCCCTTTAAGTTAGCATTATCATCTAGAGATTATTTTTTATAGTTTTGATGTATTTTATATCTTTTAGTCTCTAACCAAAGATTATCAAACATATTGTTTGCTGTCCCATAACCTAGGTTTATTTGGTGTTTATTTTTATTGCATGTGGAAAAAACCTTTAAATATTCTTATTTAATATACCTTACATCAAATGTCCATCACATTGTTGATCATGTAATTAAACTGATATAATTTTAAATGCCAGTCTATAGGTCAAGAGGGCAAAAAACATTAGAATTTATATGCTGACCTCCCCAATTCTTCTAATTCTTGCATGATTTGTGGAAGAAAAACAATAGATGCTCCCATCTCTAGTTATTATATAATAATTGTGGTCCTGTTTTAATACACTTAATACCTTTAAGTGTTAGTTGTATAAGCTCTAGTCTCTCCAATATTGTTTTTAGGTTAACTCAGATCCCATATTTTGTTGTTAATTTTTACAGTGAATTATTTGGTGAACCAATTTTAAAAATTTGAGATTGAGTGGAAAGTAGGTGGAGTGAAAAGTTACGAATTAATTTTGATGTCTTTTAGACTCTGCTGGATCCTCAAATGGCTGTACCAACAATCCAAATGCCTGTCAGCAGATTTGCCTGCCCGTACCAGGAGGACTGTTCTCGTGTGCCTGTGCCACTGGATTTAAACTCAATCCTGATCATCAGACCTGCTCTCCATATGAGTCTTTCATTGTTGTTTCCATGCTGTCTGCAATCAGAGGCTTTAGCTTGGATTTGTCAGATCATTCAGAAGCCATGGTGCCAGTGGCAGGCCAAGGTACGTCAACTCCAGTATAAGTAAGATTTGACTTCCTCTGGTGCCATGTTGAAGTCCTTGGTGCTGTAAAGCATTTCTCCATGTTTGGATTCAGCACATAATGAAGCTTGTCTTTCCCTTTAAATAAACTAGCTTAGCCTCAAGTGGTTCTCAAACTTTACTGTGCATCAGAATTGGAGGGCTTGTTAACACACAGATCTGGACCCTATCCTCACATTTTCTGATTTAGTAGTCTGGAGTAGGTCTCCAAAATCTGCATTCCTAACAAGTTCCCAGGGCATGCTGATGTTGCTGGTCCATGGACCACACTGAGAACGACAGACCTAGAACAATATAGAATATAACATGAGATTGCACGAAATAGTACAGAGTTCGTATTCAAAAGAGCAGTTAATGGAGATTTAGGGGAGAGGGTATACTATTTAGAATAATAATGAAATAGTCCACAATCTTATTTTTTAATATGTATTTGATTAGTGTCTCCTTAATAACTATATTTTTACACCACTTTATGCTTGCATACTGTGAACATATAAAATGATCACTTGCTTTCTAGATCAACCAAGAGGTTTCTAGGTATATGTTACCACAAGAGGAACTAAACGTTGACTAGCAGCACAAGGAGTATGTCATAGGCTGATGACAGAAATAAAAGGAAGAAAGAGAAGAAAAAAGGATGAAGGGAATGAAGGGGTGGGAGAGATGGTCAGAAGAGACAGAAATGCATATGGTGAAAGGACTCAGAGTGCTTCTGGCACCACACATGCTCCTACTTGATGACCATATTCACATGTACTCATGATTCGTCTTTGTCTTCCCTTATCTGAAAAGTTATGGATCTAAGTTGCCATCTTGTAAAGATATTATAAAATCAGTAACTTTTTTTCTCCCAACTTTCCATTTTGAAAAATTTCAAATGCAGAAAAGATGATAGAAAGGTACAGTGAACATCCTTATACCCTTCACCCAGATTCGACAATTGTTAACATTTTGCCTCATTTGAGCTCTCCTAATCTCTCTGAGTGTGTTTGTGTGTGTATACATACATATACATACATTTTCAATGAACTTTTTGAAAATATATTGCAGATATCATGACACTTCACCCCTATGTACTTTAGCATGCAGCTCCTAAGGGCGTTATCATTTAATATTCATGTTCATATTTCTCCAGTTGGCCTCAGAATATCTTTTATAGCTATTGTTTTGTTCCATCCAAGATCTAATCAAGATTCATGCATTGTATTTGGAATGTCTCTTTAGTTTCTTTTAATTTATAGTAGTTGCCCCAGTTTTTTGTTGTGACATTGATTTTTTGAAGAGACAGAACTGTGGTCTTTCAGAATCTCACATTGAGGATTTGTCTGATTATTTCCTCATGGTGTCATTTAACCTGTCATTCAATTTATACCCTGAATATCCCATAAAATAAAAGTTAGGTCTAATTTCTTGATTGGATTGGGGTTGAACATATTTGGCAAAAACACTACATAGACCAAGCTGTGTACTTGATACAGAATCTCATTAGGAAGAACATAATGTCAGCTTGTCCCCCTCTTAGTGATGCTTAAGTTTGATCACTTGGATAAGGTGGTCACCATGAAATGTCTGCTTTTTAAAGGTATATTTTTCCCTTTGTAATTTGTATGAAATCTTTGCGATCACACTTTGGCCCTCCATGAATATCCTGTTCCCCAAATATCTTTTACCCATTGGTTTGAGCAGCCATTGATGATCCTTGTCTGAAATGATTGTTTAATTGGAGATTGCAACATGGTGACTTATTCTGTCATTCTTTCTATGTTTATTAGATAACATTCTTCTAAAAGAAGAGCTTTCCTTTTTTCCCAGTTTATCTTTAAAAATTTTATTATCACATGAACTTAAGTTTTAATTTTTTTAATTCAATGTTTTATAATCATTTTCCATAATTATTCTTTTGATATCCAGTTGATCAGTTTTGGCCAGAGAGAACCTCTTGAAGTGGCCACCTGTATTCTTTCGACATGATCACATTAGTGTTTGAATGCTTTCTTGCTTCTTGGTATAATGAAATGCTCCAGGCTCACCTCATATCTTCCCTCCCCAAACCTATAATCAGCTATTTCTCCCAGAAGCCAGTGCTACTTATTGTGGGAAATGGTTTATAGAAACCAAGATCTGGGTGGTAGGTGTTCTCGTGGCAACTGGGAAATGAATAGTTTTATTTTGTAATGAAGGCATGTCAGAGCAGGGAGTTGGGAATGAGGATATGAGAGGAAGAGCAGACATTTAAAAGTTCTAGTTCCATCTAGAGCATTGGTTAATAATCTTTTCTTAAATGTTTCAGGACGAAATGCACTGCATGTGGATGTTGATATATCTTCTGGTTTTATTTATTGGTGTGATTTTAGCAGCTCTGTGGCAAGTTATAATGCAATCCGTAGAATCAAACCAGATGGGTCTGCTTTTACAGACATCGTTACATATGGGATAGGGGAAAATGGAGTCCGGGGTATTGCACTGGATTGGGTAGCAGGTAGGTAAGCTATATAGTGATTTTTTTGAAAAGGCTTTTTATGTTTGCATCTCTATCATCTTATTTTATGCTATAAAGTTTAGCCTAACATTATATACGCTACAGATCTGTTTTTCTAGACAGTTATCGAGATTAAAGATAAATTGAATTGTGCTTTTAGACTAAGCTGTATGTCTATTAAGTTAATGATAAAGTTTTCAGCTGACAGATTTATAACAGATTATCTCATTTTCTTCCATTATGAACATAGTCTGAACTGTATGCAAAATGACTAGAAATATTAAATTATATGGGTTTGTTCTTTTTCACACTTAGATTAGCACCTAATTTCTAAATTAGAAATGTCTAAATTTTTTTTTTTTTCCATTTGTGGGGAAGCCCTGAGCTAACATCCAAGCTAATCCTCCTCTTTTTGCTGAAGAAGACCGGCTCTGAGCTAACATCTATTGCCAATCATCCTCCTTTTTTTTTTTCCCCAAAGCCCCAGTAGATAGTTGTATGTCATAGTTGCACATCCTTCTAGTTGCTGTATGTGGGACTCGGCCTCAGCATGGCTGGAGAAGCGGTGCGTTGGTGCACACCCGGGATCCGAACCCGGACCACCAGTAGCAGAGCGCGAGCACTTAACCACTAAGCCATGCGGCCGGCCCCGTAATGTCTAAATTTTCAAAGACAAAGATTTTAAAATATAATGTAAACCATGAAATGATAATCATTTATTTTAAAGCTGAGCAATTTTAGTTGCCAAATTCTTAATTGCTTCCTCTTGTTGATGTCTAAATACACTTTTGATCATTAGATACTTTCTCTATTGTAGTTATATTGAAATGCTTGACCTGACCCAATTTTATATTAACTTAGTTATATTGATTGATTCATGTACTTAATTTTGAATTACTCCTCAATTTTAATGATAGATTGAGAAACAAATGCATTAAATATAATTTTTTGATTATAATTCCAATCTATAAAAATAGGTATCATTGTGTGTTATCAAGTTTGGTAAGTAGACATCACTTAGAAATATTAAAATACATTATGAAAATCTAGGTACTATTATAAGAGTTTACTGCAAATAGTAAATATGGTAGTGTAGTTAGATAAGTCTTTAATTGGGTTCCTAAATCCCATCCCTGACAACAAATTTACTACATTATTTCTGAGGGTATAGGTAAAGCAGGGTCAGCAGTCTATGGCTTATGGGTCAAAAGCGGCCCATTGCCTGTTTTTGTAAGGAAAGTTTTACTGGCACATAGCTATGCCCATTTGTTTATGTATTGTCTATGACTGCTTTCATGTTAGGATGGCAGAGTTGAGTAATTGTGAAAGAAACCATATGTTCTGCAAGGCCTAAAATGTTTACTATCTGGCTCTTTACAGAAAAAGTTTGCCAATCCTGGATTATGGGATTGGAATATATATATGTTGCAATTAGAGATAGGTAATGAAAAGAGTAGATCAGTAACATATTGCTTATTGACCTGATTTCTCTAGAGCAGTTTTGATTTAGGTCTAGGAACAAAACAGATGTGCCTTGTTAGCAGTATTATAGTTCAATGACAGATTTTCGACTGCGTGGAATCAATATGGGATCACTCTCTATTCATTACACTGTCTTCACACCATGGTCTTTTTATCCTAGTATTTATATTGTTCTGTAATGCCCAAAGGCAAATGGACTTTTGTTTTGGTGGCTTTGGAAGGTTCATGGGATGAAAACATCTACACTATTTAGGAAGACTAGGAAAAGACCTCACATTAATGCTAATCACAGAGAGCATTTGATGACATCGATGACAACCTGAGATGCTGCTGGCTCTCCCTCTTTGCTCCTTTCATCATGTTGGAGTAGAAGTTAGATCATGATAATGTGTATTTAGAGTCTTTGAAGATTTAGGTGTTAAATATTCAGGTAGGAGAAGAAGGACATTCTGGAAAATACATCTTTCAGTAAAAAGTGGGTTATGACATTTGCTGTGAATTCAAGTCTGCTTTAGAAGCTGAAGACAGGCACATTCTCTTTAAATTTGAAGAAACAATTTCTTTAGTTACTAAGAGTAAATATTTATTTTTATAAGTCTAAACTGAGACATTTATTTATCATCTTGGAAAAGACGACATATACTGACCCAAACGTCAACCTTACCTATTCTGTTATGAATTTGAAAAGGTATCTTCTTTTTTCCTTCTTGGTTTTCCATTCATCAGCATGCTCTTTCATTTTCCTGCAGGAAATCTTTATTTCACCAATGCTTTTCTGTCTGAAACACTGATAGAAGTTCTGCGGATCAATACCACCTACCGCCGTGTTCTCCTTAAAGTCATAGTGGATATGCCCAGGCATATTGTTGTAGACCCCAAGAACAGATACCTCTTCTGGGCTGATTATGGACAAAACCCAAAGATTGAACGTTCTTTTCTTGACTGTACCAATCGAACTGTGCTTGTATCAGAGGGCATTGTCACACCACGGGGCTTGGCAGTAGACCATAGCAATGGCTACATTTATTGGGTTGATGACTCTTTAGATATTATTGCAAGGATCAATATTGAGGGAGGGGAATCTGAAGTGATTCGTTATGGCAGTCGTTATCCAACTCCTTATGCCATCACTGTTTTTGAAAATTCTATCATATGGGTAGATAGGAATTTAAAAAAAATCTTCAAAGCTAGCAAGGAACCAGAGAACACAGAGCCACCAACAGTGATAAGGGACAGTATCAATTGGCTAAGAGATGTGGCCATCTTTGACCAGCGTGTCCAGCCCCGGTCACCTGAAGAGGTCAACAACAACCCTTGCTTGGAAAATAATGGTGGATGCTCCCATCTCTGCTTTGCTTTGCCTGGATTGCACACCCCAAAATGTGGCTGTGCCTTTGGGACCCTGGAAGGTGATGGCAAGAGCTGTGCCATTCCAACAGAACATTTCCTCATGTTTGCCATGTATAATTCTTTGAGAAGCTTATATTTGGACCCTGAAAACCATAACCCACCTTTCCAAGCAATAAGTGTGGAAGGAATTGCTGTGGCCCTGGACTATGACAGCATAAATAACAGAATCTACTTCACACACTCTTTAGCACCTAGACACAGCCAGATTTCCTATGTCAACCTGAATTCAGGAACCGTTTCTCCCACTGTCATTGTTTCAGGTAAGTGCACTCCAGCTGCAGCTTCCCTTGGAAGTAGACACGACGGGGTCAACACTTGTGGATGACCAGTGGTTCTAAAATGTGTATTGAGACTCTAACACCTTTTTATGTGTGTTTCTTGGTGTATGTCCAGATATAGGGGCTGCTGATGGCATTGCCTTTGACTGGATCAATAGAAGAATTTATTACAGTGACTACACCAACCAGACGATTAACTCTGTCGCCGAGGATGGGTCTAAGCGCGCTGTGATAGCCCACGTTTCAAAGCCAGGAGCGATTGTGTTAGATCCTTGCCGAGGGTGTGCCATGGTCTTCTTTATCATATTTCTGTCTGCTTATTTCTGGAGGGAGAGGGGCCTGAAATTATTTTATGTTCATAGAGAGTTAACGTTTTATGGGCTTGTAACACTGTAGCTACAGATTCAGGGATGAAAGCACATGAGTGACTTTACCTGGGAAGGAACTCCCGTTGATACTAGAAAGGATGGCAGCATACTAGGGAATCAATGCTCTGACTCAGTAAATCCCTTTTGGGCAAGTTGTGTGAGTGGGAATGGAGTAGGGTTTCATCTGCCATATTAATGTCAATTCGTAGTTAAAGAATGCTGCCATTCTTTTTAAGTGAAAAGGATTATGAGGTTCTTTGTAGTGAATTAATTATGACTCTTTTTCGATAACTAGGTACATGTACTGGACTGACTGGGGTACTAATGCCAAAATTGAGAGAGCCACACTGGGAGGAAACTTCCGGGTACCCATTGTGAACAGCAGCCTGGTCTGGCCCAATGGGCTCGCTCTGGACAATGAGGAAGACCTTCTCTACTGGGCAGATGCCAGTCTGTATGTGTCTTTGGTTATTAATGTGGGTGTTGAAAAGAAGAGTTCTTCCCACTTCCAAAGAAGAAGGATTTGCGTAAAGAATACAATATGCTAAATAGATGTGGCCAAAATATAGAATCACAGTTTTAGGAACTATATTCTAGCTTGGTGAATGAACTTGAATGAAAATTGATCTATATCATGAGATTGAATAATTATGAACTAAAGGGCATCTAAAGATGCATTACTACATAAGTTAATTTCAACTATAATTACAAATGTAATCATTCAATGTATAATCTCCGGGCCCCGTGTAACTACCATAAAATATGAATGACTTTTTTTTTTTTTTTTTGCTGAGGAAGATTGGCCCTAGACTAACATCCATGCCCATCTTCCTCTACTTTATATGTGAGGCGGCTGCCACAGCATGGCTTGTTAGGCGATGCATATGTCCGCGCCCAGGATCCCAACCCATGAACCCTGGGCCACCAAAGTGGAGCATGCAAACTTAACCACTACACCACCAGGCTGGCCTTTATGAATGATTTTTAAATGCAGACTGATACTAAGTTTTTTCTGGGCTTTAGCATTCAGTGTCTTATAAAAACATTTTCCTTTAGTTTTTACTTTTGGTCATTTTCTCAAATAGATTCTTTCTTCTCAGGCCAGCTTTTTCTCGGCCAATTACATAATGTTTTCCGTATAAATTTTTGTCAACTCTAATTTTATATGTAACTTCTCAAAGTACCCTTGAAATTACTCACAATCCAATCATCCTAATGGAATAGTTGAAGAGATGAGATGATTTCGTTTATTATGGCTGGTGTCTTCATGTCAGGAATCTTAACTTCTCCTGCTTATTATCTTATGATTTTGGTCTTGTGACACCAAGCACCTAACAACCTCATCTTTTCTTCATTTTCCCGTTTCAAAAAAGCAGTGATGTTTTTGTCTACATTTGGATCATTTTAGTTAAATATTTCAAGGTACTCAGTAAATGACAAATCAAAAAAGTCATTAAGGGCTTGGGAAGGGAAAAATAATTCACATTTTTATTGAGTGACTACTATGTTCTAAATACCAAATTCCATGCATTACGTGTATTATTTCATAATATTCTCCTGTTTCTAATGTCAGCCTGGTTCCTTTTTTAGTATTACTTGTAGATTATATTAATATTTGGAAATCAATGATTTATATAAGCCATTGGTTTGATAAGCAAAGTTTGACCTCCCATCACCAGAAGAAACATTTCTTGCTGTCATATGCTCCACTTGAAAAGAAAGTTGGAGCTTGTGTAAAGCAATGGTTAGGCCCAGGCATTGGGCTGCTAGTCAAGGAACTTATTCTTTCTGGATTCCAGCATTTTTTTTTTTAACTTCGTTTTAGGCTGAAGATCGAACGCAGCACTCTAACGGGCATGGGGCGTGAGGTCATTGTCAGCGCAACCTTTCATCCTTTTGGCTTGACTCTCTATGGCCAGTATATATACTGGACTGACTCATCTGTAAAAAAAGTTTACCGAGCTAACAAATATGATGGGTCAGGTCAGACTGCAATGACCACAAGTTTTCGCTTCCAGCCTGAGGATATTTGTGTTGTTGTGAAGGACCAGCAACGGCAGTGTAGTAATCCTTGTGATCGGTTTAATGGGGGCTGCAGCCATATTTGTGCACCAGGTAAGGCATTGCCCATGAAGACAGAATCATGCAGAGTAGTAACAATGATGACAGCTGGTAGGACAGGTTGGAGGAATATTCAGCTCTAACAGGAGGAAAAAAATGCAAATTCTCCTTGATTTCAGAGTAATTCATAAAATAGGTTTGGGGGTTCGTATACTGAGAGGAAGACTTTGACAGGTTTCTTTCCTATTCAATATGGGTCCCTCTTATGAAGGCATTTTTAATTCAAGCTTGATGGTGGTAGAAAGAAAGTTGAGGGTTTGGCTACTGCACTTCATGACTTGAATAGAAATTCCATCAATGAGCTTACCTTCCTTATAAAAGGACTTCTTTCTTCCACTTGCGAGGTACCATCTATAGCTTGAAATATTTCTGATGATATTTTAGAGTATGGTATGTGCTTCAGGGTGTGTTTTATAGAGAACAACAAATTCATAGGAAAATGTGCCTTTTCTTACCATTGCTTTGCAGATTTTGTTGAGAAGGGAGACTCATTGCTATTGTTTCTTCTGTAGACGAGAGGTAGTTGTTTAAAGATTAGGGTGAATTAGCCACATTTAGTAGAAATTGGTGGTTGTTCTTCTTGATGAAAAAATGACTCAGAGTATGGTTGAAAGGTTGATGGGAAGAGTTTCTATGGCTCGTCTTATAGCACATTTAATATAGAAGCTGTTGCCAGTGCTATTCTGGAGGAGAAAATGCACACAAATCTTTTCCTTTTTCCGGGCCTACCTTTCTTCAGGTCCAAATGGTGCTGAGTGCCAATGTCCACACGAGGGCCACTGGTATCTGGCCAACAACAATAAGCACTGCATAGTGGACAATGGTACACGGTGTGATAGTTCCAAGTTCACCTGCCTCAATGGGCGTTGCATCTCAGAGCACTGGACATGTGACAACGACAATGACTGTGGTGACGGCAGTGATGAGCTGGAAAGTGTCTGTGGTGAGTTGGACTCTTGGAGCTTTTTGTTCGGCACTAATGATGTCTTTATGCCAAATATTTGGTACAGAATCTTGCTGTGTATGAATACATTTGAAATTTGTGCCTCAGCATCTTGTTAGAACTGAAAGACATTTACCCTGAGAATCCAGACTGCATTTCTATTAAATCACATATAAGCTGATATATATGCCCTGGAGTAGCATGTGATGCTTTATTAGGAAGCACCTTTGTAGTGGTTAAGAGCAGACGTGCCGGATTCAAATCCCGGCTATGCCATTTACAATCTGTGTAGCTCTGGGAAAGTTACTTAACCTCTCTGAGCCTCAGACATCTCATCTGTAAAATGGAGTTTTTACTAGGATTCTTGTAAGGAGTAAGAGAGACAATATATAAAAAACACAGCATGGGGCTTGGTGCATGCTAAGTCATACTTAGCATGGGACTAAGGGCTCCAATAGGTGATTGTTATCATTTTGTTAATTTTCATAGCTGAAAGATCATTAAGTCAATAATTTTATTGAAATCTCTCCGAATATTCAACTTCCATCTGAATAAGGTGAGTAAAACACGGTGGACTTTCTTAGGAAGTTCTGAGGTTAGTTACCTTTTTCTAGTAGACTGTGTATGGGCTAAGAGTTTTATTTTCCCCAAAGAAATTGTATTTGCATGCTTTTCTGTGATTGAGATAAACTTTTAAATTGAGATGATAGAGAAATGGAGTGACATTTTCATTTACTTGAAATACTTCATTTGCAAAAAAAAAGCATACAACATATTTGCTTAATCCAACTAATTTAAAGTCTTATCTCACTTTGCATGCAGTCCATTTTGCAGCTGTTTTTGCCTTGGAAGGTAAACTCAAAGTGTCTATTTTATTTGGTTGTATCTTTTTAGAAATTAGAATGATCCTTTAGTCAAGAGGTTTCTTCAATGTTTTTTCCTCCTCTTAGCGTTTCACACCTGCCATCTGACATCCTTCACCTGTGACAATGGGCGATGTGTCCAATATCGTTATCGCTGTGATCACTACAATGACTGTGGTGACAACAGTGATGAGGCAGGGTGCCTGTTCAGGGACTGTAACACCACCACGGAGTTTACTTGCAGTAACAGAAGGTGCATACCTCTTCAGTTTGTCTGCAATGGTATAAACAACTGCCATGATAATGATACTTCAGATGAGAAAAATTGCCGTAAGTTCATCTTAAGTACTTGTTGTGCTTTGGGGTCTGAAGTTTTAGAACATGGGAGATGAAATTTTTATATAAAAACAAAAGCTTTCTAAAAAAAGAACTAAGTATTCATCTAAAACATAAATTTCATTTTAATACATTCGACTAAATGACTTTTAAAAACAACTATACCTAATATTTGAATTATTTACCTAAATTGATGGAGTCATACAACCATTGACTATTTTAACCTTAAATATTTTATCCTTGATTTATATATCTGCCAGACTAAAAATTGATTTGACAAAATCTTCGGTTGTTTTAAAGCTCTAACAATAGTTCCTGACAAAAATTATTGCATATACATGTTGTGGTTAATGTTTGTTGTGCAAAAAGCTATACAGTACAATGTTGACTGTAATGATTTGTCTTTTTAGTTTTTATGGTAAATTGCTTTTTAGTTAATTGATTTTTCCAGAATTTCTGGGATTTGCATGTTAGCATCTTTGGAAAACAAAGGGGCAGAGTGTAGGTACAAATATATTTTCAGTTTGGTTATATCCACATACTCTGCTGCTTTTGTAGGTAGAGTTATACACGATATTTATTTGGGTGTGCTTTTTAAAAGAAGTATTTCTTATGGAAAATTTCAAACATACACCAAAGTAGAAAGAATAGTTTAATGTGTTCATCACCCAGCCTCAACATTTATCAACAAGTGGCCCATCTGTTCCATTCATCTCCCTCAACTTTTCTGAATATTTTATTTTTTACTCATTTATTTATTTTTGTGAGGAAGATCAGCTCTGAGCTAACATCTGATGCCAATCCTCCTCCTTTTTCTGAGGGAGACCGGCCCTGGGCTAACATCCGTGCTCATCTTCCTCCACTTTATATGGGAGGCCGCCACAGCATGGCCTGACAAGCGGTGCGTTGGTGTGCGCCCAGTATCGGAACCTGCGAACCGTGGGACACCGAAGTGGAGCGCTCACACTTAACCGCTACACCACCAGGCCGGCCCCCTTTCTGAATATTTTAAAGCAACTCCCAGACATGCATATCACAGGTAAAGAAAGACATTTTGAAAAATAACTACCATGCCATTATAATGCCTAGGAAAATCAACAATACCTGTTTAATATCCTTGAATACTCAGTCCATATTCAAATTTTGTCACATCCTCAAAATGTCTTTTTACAGTTGTCTGTTCAAATTAGGATTCAAACAAGGTCTACACATTGATTTTGGTTGTTATAACTCTTTAATCTTTTTTATGCCACAACAGTGCCACTTTTTTTTTTTCTTTTGAGGAAGATTCACCCTGAGCTAACATCTGTGCCAGTCTTCCTCTGTTTTGTATGTGGATCACTGCCGCAGCAGGGCCGCCAATGAGTGGTGTAGGTCTGCTCCTGGGAACTGAACCTGGGCCAACAAAGTGGAGCACACCAAACTTAACCACTAGGCCACAGGGCCGGACCCATCACTTTTTTTTTAATGCCATTAATTTGTCCTGTGGAATGTCCCACATTGTGGATTAGACTAATTGCATAATGGAGCCATTTAATTTGTTATTTTATCCCTCTTATTTCTTATTAACTGGAATTTAGATCTAGAGGTTTAATTATGTTAGGTTTGGTTCTTTGGGTAAGAGCACTTCATAGGTGGAGCTGTGTGTTTCCTGTTACATCCACATGAGGCACATAATGCTTGGTTGTTCCACTTGAAGTGATGATGAAATTAATCAGTGTATTTAGAGGTTAGCCTGAATCTTCCCTTAGGAAGTTCCCACCAACCTTTAATCCAATGGTTTTTGCATGCGTGGATTGTTGTTCCGTAAAGCCATTATTTCTTTAAGGGTTACAAAATAGACATTTTAGAATTCTATTGTTCCTTCCACATTTATTAGCTGAGGTTCTAAAAAGAAGATATTTCCCTTATCGACTATTTGTTACACTGAAATACATTTCTATAGGATAACTGCTTGATCCTTTCCCTTTATTTGTCAGTTTTCAGAGTAATGAGTAGGTGACACATGAGCACTAAGTTTTTGTTTTGTTTTGTTTTTAGTAATGTATTAAACTCATGGATTTTTACATGTGATGTGTTTTAATGCAGGGAAGTCATTTATTCTTTTTGGTGCTCAATTGTCCTATCTTAGTTCAGTAGGAGTCCTGCTAAGTTGGCTTCTCTGTTATTTTTGTGTGTGTGTGTGAGGAAGATCAGCCCTGTGCTAACATCTCCCAATCCTCCTCTTTTTTTTTTTTTTTTTCTCGCTGAGGAAGACTGGCCCTGGGCTAACATCCAGGCCCATCTTCCTCCACTTTATATGGGAAGCCGCCACAGCATGGCTTGCCAAGTGGTGCGTCGGTGTGCACCCGGGATCCGAACCTGCAAACCCCACCGCCACAGCGCCACTGGGCTGGCCCCGCTTCTCTGTTATTTTAACATGGCTCTGTTCAGTCTTCCACAGCTCATATTTCCTGTCTCAGGCCTGGAATTAGCCACTTATCCAAGGAGACCTCATTCCTTTTGTGGTATTTAGAAATTACCACAGTGTTGGGGTATCCATTCCTATTTGGCTTTTATTGCTTCTAGGCCTTTTTAGTGGACAGAGGTAGGAAATACAATTTTTAAGGAAAAAAATAAATTTATGTTGTATTTCCCGTTTTAATTTAAGATTACACGGTTTTTACTTCTTAGATTTTATAATCATGTCTTTTTTATGCTTAAAATCTTGGTTTCTAATGACATTGACATAGTTACTTATTTGCTTTATTCTACAGTGATTTCAAAATGCCTATAATACTTTCAAGAGAACCACACAAATAATACTACTATGAATAAATCTACTAAATGTAATTTAAGATTTTAGGTCCTTCTTGTTCTTAGATTATGTCCTGCTAGGGATATACAGTCAAAATACTGGTTGTTAGAGTTATTTGAATTTTTTCCCTGTATGGTTATGTTATCAACTTGATTTACTGTTAGCTTTATTTGTTACTATTTCCAAATTTTAGGAATTGCTTTCCTTTTTCCATTTTTGTTTCATTGTTTTTATTTATATGAAATAATGTACATGGTTCCATAGTCAAAATTATATGACAAGGTACATTCACAGAAGTCTTTCATCCCTGTCCTTTCCACCCTGCTCCCTCCATACTATTCTCAATCTATCCATAGGGGTGACAATTTTCATTAGTTTATCTTTTCATTGTTGTTTTTTTTTTTGGTAAGGAAGACAGGCTCTGAGGTAACATCCATTGCCAATCCTCCTCTTTTTACTGAGGAAGATTAGCTCTGAGCTAACATCAGTGCCCATCTTCCTCTATTTTGTACGTGGGATGTCGCCACACCATGATTTGATGAGCGGTGCGTAGGTCCGCGCCTGGGATCCGAGCCTGCGAACCCCTGACTGCTGAAGCGGAGCTCACAAACTTAACCACTACACCCCTGGGCCAGCCCCTGTTGTTGTTTTTGATATAAGCATCTCTCTCACTACGCACACACACTCATATCATCATTTTTCTTGCTGGAAAGATAGCCTACAGTTTTGAATCTTGCTTTCATGCTGTTAACAATATATCCTGGAGATCATACCATTATTCCTTGTCAATATATAGAGATCTTCTTCATTGTTTTTTACAGCTACATATTACTCCATTGTGTGGATATGCCATAGTTTATTTAACCAAGAGTTGGGACTCTTGTTGGTGCTATTGAATAATGAGAACAGATGATTTAAACTACAAAGTAGCCTCACTTCCCTCCTCCACCCCCCAGTGTTAGCTGGAAATGTCTCCTTTTACTATAGAATCTATGGGTAACATAAGTGTCATGGATCATGCCTCTGTGATGGCTTTGAAAATGCCTCCTTTCTTGTGGTTTGAGTTCTGCAATAGACCTGTTAGCATGGACATTCTTTAGGACATATATGTGGTGGCTATGTTCCAAATGTTTATCTGGTTGTCTTTTTCAAGCTGATCGCACTTGCCATCCTGGATACACAAAATGTCAGACTACAAATATTTGTATTCCCCGTCTTTACTTGTGTGACGGAGACAATGACTGTGGAGATATGAGTGATGAAAGTCCCATTTTCTGCGGTAAGATAAACCTACCTCTCTTTCTGTGGTTCCAGGGATGCATGTCTTGAACTAATACAAAGATATACAGCCTGGATGTTTGGGCTAATTTCAATTTGTCATCTCAAATTGACCTTATAAGAAGATGCAGAAGGCAATTACCTTAGGGTGTGATTGGAGGGGCATAAGAAGCCCTTCTCTCTGTTACTTGTCTGGATGTCCTACTGCAAATATTTCTTCCAGAGACTGGCTCTGATACCTAACCTTCTACAGTTGCCAAGCCAATTCTCCCAGAGTTGAAGGCCTTTTGTCTTCAGGATCTCCAGGCAGAATTTGTACATTAAGCCCTTATTTACTCCTAATATGATTATAGTAGGCATTAGTAACTGAAAGAATTTTTCTATCTTTTTAGTGTGTTTGAATTTCAGAAACTTTTATTTTATACTTAGTAATTTGGTTCAAACAGTTTCCTGTATTTATAGCTGAAATGACAAGTCCTTTCTTAAGCTTGATAACTTTGAGACTGTTAGTGTAAATAAGTGCTTAATTTAAGAATTTAGTAATTGTCACCAGGTGAGGCTACAGTCCAAGAGCAGGAGTCAGTTGACATAATAGCAACAAGAGGAAGCTGAATTTAGGACACAGCCATCAGATAGGGGCCGGCAGATTGGAACTTGTGCTAACCTTTCAGGGACCTCTGCTTCCTTATCAAATTTTCCCTGGCAAATCATCAGGTATCATGGGCCAAAGCAAGAAATTCTACTAGACCAGAAGAATTTAGAGACTTGATTCTGATTTGTACCCAAATAACAATTTAGAAAACATCTGACCAGAGCTACCTAAAGTTATGTGAGAAAAGAATCAATGTTCACACGTAGGCAGAGTCATTTACTCAAATAAAGATCCCATACATATTACAGGGATGAATAAGAGCAGCACTTTGTTAAATCTCTAGAATTATGGTCTAGCATGGCTAAAAGGTTGTGTGTAGGGTGAACTCAGATATGGTCATATTGTTGTTTTTGCTTTTAATTATTATTTCAATAGAATTTATCTAATCTTATGTTCTAGCAGACAACATCGAACCAAGTCTTCTTTCACATAATTTGTGATTTTATGCATCAAAGAGATGGTTCTTTGGCATTTCTAACAAATATAATTTATTTTTGGATTTCTGGAATCTAGAAAAAAGAATTCTGGAAAACTGGAGCAGTATTGCCTGCCTTCTTTCTCTCCCACACTCTTCCCTCCCCATGGAAAGCTTATACAAAAGCCCATTTCTCAGGGTCAGTCTTCCTTCTTGGCAACTATTATCCAGTTCAGAGATATAGGCAGATTGTTAGTACTGATGGGAACAAGCTTGCGTTTTGCTCATGGATTTTATCTTCTTTCCCTCCTCCAGCCTCTCACACGTGCAGCAGCACTGAGTTCCACTGCACATCTGGGCGCTGTATTCCTATGCATTGGTATTGTGATCAAGAAAGAGATTGTTCTGATGGCTCAGATGAACCTGCCACTTGTGGTAAGAGAGTAAGCAAGATGAAAAGAATTATGATGCAACTAGACAGCCTCTTCCAACTACTTCAGATATAGACCAGGGTCATGGCTGCTGTGTGTTTACTCTCTCTGCTCCTACTCTCAGCTGAGATGCTGAAGCCACTCAGCAGACATTCATTAAAAGCCTGTTAGTGCAGGGCACTGTGTGGGTTGTTGATCAGGATGTGGAGGTTGCAGACTGATGCCTGACAAAATGAGATTATGTTGGTGACGCACCTAATACTGTGCCTGGCTTGTAGAACTCAATTAATTTTAATTGACTTTGAATTGAGATTTCCGAATTCGGCTGAGTTCTGACCCATATGACTGGGAGGATCCAAAAGTGATTGGAATCATCATGTATATGGGGAAGGGGCATATTATGGGCACACATCCTCTTCTTGTTCTGCCTGTGGGCCGGTTTATGAGGTAAAGTCCCATGGCCACCTGAGTTTCCTAAGTTCCAGGGACCCTCTGGTTGTATTCCTGGAAGCAGTTCTGCTTGTTTGTATTAGGAGGCTGCTATTTACCTTTGCAAGTTCTAATCTATATCCATGCACATTTTTTTTACATACTTGTAAACATATAAAGATATAATCTTCTATATTGCTTTTTTATCTGTCAATAAATCATATTGCTTTATAGGAGTCAGAAAACTGTAGACATAGGCCAGCTGCTTGTCTTTGTTTATTTATAAATAAAGTCTTTATTTATAAATAAAGTTTTATTAGAATGCAGCCACGTATTGTCTATGGCTGCTTTTGTGCTACAATGGCAGTATCAAGTAGGTGCGACAGAGAACATATGGCCTGTAAGCCTAAAATATTTACTATCTGGTTAAGAGAAAGTTTGCTGACCCTTACTATATAATCTTCATACTCCTTTTTAATGGTTATATAATATTCCATTGAGTAGTTATATTTATCATTGAGTTAACTGCCTCTATTTTAAGCATTTAGATTGCTTTAACTTTTTCCTCTATTATAGATATCACTGCAGTAAATACCATCATATACAGTCATGTGTTGCTTAATGTCGGGGATACATTTTGAGAAATGCATTGTTAGGCAATTTCATTGTTGTGCGAACATCATAGAGTGTACTTACACAAACCTAGATGGTATAGCCTAGTACATACCTAGGCTATATGGTACTAATCTTATGGGACCACTGACATTAATCGAAACATCATTATGTGGCTCATGACTACATAAAATTTTTTAATCTGGGGATATTTTCTTAGGACCATTGGCATAGTTTTGCAACTGAATTCAGACCATTTTTTATTCCTCTTTTCTCTTGTGCAAATTCTGTGGCTAATAGTTGGAGGGTGGTATTCGAAGCTCTTTCCCAAGTTCTTTTTCCCCAACACTGGAAGTTTTGTAAAAAACAAAGGGCACATAGAGTTTTGAGGATCTGTAAAGGAAATAATTAGTAACTGTTAGGTGAGTAGAATAGTTTTAGAGATTGGTTTAAGTATATGGACTATTGGTTCAAATACATGAAGAATAACTACAGTTTCCAAACTTTTCATGGGAACCAAAGTCATAGTAGTAGCAATTAGTTCCAATTGCCTGACATATTTAAATAAAAACAAACACAGAATCTATATATGAATACATTCTCATTATATGCAGAGGTATTATTCTGAAGAAATAATAAGATGTATATAAAAAAGTAAAATTCCCATTTCTTTGCCCTTCTCCACTCCCCTCACTCCCCAGAGGTAATCACTGTTAAGGATAGGTATAAATTCTTCTTCCTTTTATCTATACATCCTGATATGTAGTTTTTAAAACACAAATGGGATCTTACTATATATATATTTTTTTCTGCAATTTGTCCCCCACCTTCCCCTTCTTTTTCAGCTTAACAAGATCTTGTCAGCATGTTAACAAATACAGACCTGCCTCATTCCTTTGCACTGCTGAATATTACTGTAAAGTTTTGATGTTCCATGTTTTTATCCTAACTGATAGACATTTAGATTGTTTCCATTTTTTTCACTATGAAAAATAACAGAGGAATGAACATCCTTTTAGAAAACTGTTTGTGCATATGTGGGAAGATTCTTTTAGATTCCTAGAAGTGGAGTTGCTGTGTCAAAGGGGCTATGTCTCTTCAAAAGGCTGTATTGATGTACACTCTTTTCTTACCAGCTTATGAAAGATACTCCTCTCGTTACTGATATCATTGTGCTATATTTTTAACAGTTAAAATTAAATTTTATTTTGCCCTAGGCTCATTTAGAGGAGTCCCTGGGTTTATGGGCCTATGACAACTTGATTATTTGAATAGGGACATGTGGGGATATGATTGAAGAATTTGAATCTGTGTTCTGGACAGCCTGTGCTATAGCAGGCTTCTCTCAAGATTTCTGGACTGCAAACCACTCTTTTCATCGAGAGTGCTTCTTATTTTTTTTCAGTGTACCATGACCCAACATGCTTAAGTGATGAGTTCAAGTGTGACAACGGGAGGTGCATCCAAAGAGAATGGATCTGTGATGGTGATAATGACTGTGGGGACATGAGTGATGAGGATGAAAGGCACCAGTGTGGTGAGTGAAACCAGTTAATTCCTCTGAAGAGTCATATTCCTGGGAAACTCGATTTATTTTCCTGTCTTTGGAGAGTTTGATTGTCAGGCAGATTCCTCTTTAACTGAATGCACACAGGTGGAATGTTACCTGTATTTTCCCACTCTGGAATTGTTTGCTATCATTTACTTAAATGCTTTAAAATGATGAAAAATTATTTTAATGTTTATTTTTTCTCTTGCATTTAGCTAATGGAAATAATGTTCTACATTTCTAGAGCAGATAAAGAGGACTCGGCCACTCTTAATAGCATCTTTAACAGTGTAGCGATTAACTGTGCCCCCAGTTTCATCTATTACTTTAGACCTGTTATTTGGGGGACAGAGCTCAGGGGAGGGTTATTCCTTTTAAGTGGGTTATGGAACTAACTTGGAACACCATTTTCCATGACCAACAGAGCATGGACCTCTTAGCTAAGGTGTCTTAGAAGAGTGTCTTTCCATGGTAGAACAATAGAAACAATGGCTCCCTGATGTTTGCATTTGATCTAACCTCATCTGTCAGTGACTTTGGTGATGGGCCGTAGCTCCACACATACTCTATCTACTGAAATGGGTGGTTGACAGCTGCACAAACATGGACTGTTGCATGTACTTTCTCCCACCTCCCCTCACTAAGAGCTCCCCCTTGTTGTCTCCTGTTCACCCACAATAAGATTGGATAAAATACATGTTCTTTTGTTCTGTGGACATTAATGATTATGTAATAGCAACTCATCTCTTTCCTAAAAGTGTCATGGTTTCTGACAACTGTTGTATACTCTAATTCTACTTGAAGTGGTAGCTATAGTGTAGTTGAAAAGGCACTAGATTTGGGGAAAAAAAGACCTAGGTTTGAAGCCCTAGCTCTTTAGAAAGTTCTGTGACTTTGAGCCATCTAGTTAACCATCTTGAGCCTCAATTTTCTCAACTGTGGAATTGCATAAAAATACCTATCTCACATTGTTTGTGTGATTACACCTTGTAAACTAAAAAATGTTCATCTCTTACTTCTGGAAAAAATCCAAGGTCCAAAGCAATTGGAATGGAACTTTGGAGGTATTTTTATTATGATCTGTCATTACCATAGCAATATGATTTGTCTACCTGTTTTCCTCTCATTTCTTTTCCTCCATCAGACTGTTAAATAGCGTGAAGCAAGAGAAATAATGGTTCAGAATGAATTTGACTGCTAGAATGAGCTCTCATGTGGTTCCTGATTCTTGTGTGCTTTGGTTTCAGAGAGTCGCAGCTGCTCAAATTCTGAGTTTCGCTGTGTAAATAGCAGGCCTCCAGCCAGGAGGTGCATTCCCCGATCTTGGGTCTGTGATGGCGACGCGGATTGTGCTGACGGCTATGATGAGCATCAGAACTGCACCAGGAGCTCTTGCTCTGAAGACGATTTCACCTGCAGTAATGGACTGTGTGTCCCACACTCGTACAGGTGAATTGGGGATTAAAAAATTTCCGCGAAAACCTCAAATATCCATGGGGGCAGGGCGTGGTGGCCACAGAGCCTAGGGCCCATGGTACTTTTAGTGGCCTATGAAAATGTTTAGATTTCTTTTAAAATCAAAAAGAAAGAGAAACTTTAGGTCACAGAAAGTATTTTAATATATAATATTAATATATTTGCCTTTATACCAATGTGGTCATTAAATATAATTTTTAATATTTTTATGGAGCAAGGGGCCCATGAAGGCAAAAGTAAGTGCCTTGGGCTCATGAAAGGCATAATGTGACCTTGCATAGAAAGCCAGGAAGATGAATGAAGTGGGCTTGATATAAGAAAACTCTTTCTTGAAGCAGGTGACCCTCTTAGTTTTCCACTTGGAGTAGAGGGTACAAGAAATACTTCGCTTTCTTCTCTCTGCTATAAGAAAACTAACAGTGCAAGTATGATGATAAATGGAGCTTGGCACTTAGGCTCAGAGTCAGTGAGACAATAGGGAGAGGCAGGTGAACTGAGAGCACCTGCTCCAGATGAGAAGTGGACATGCTGTGCAGCATCGTGCAGGAGTGCTCTTTTTTTGAGGGAAATTGGAAATCTGGATTTTCATATGAAATATTCTGATTTTAAATGCTGGAAGCAAATTTTAAAATTCTAAGAACACTGTGTCAGTCAAACAGATTCACTTCACCCCCTGCCAGTTTTGGGGATCTCTCCTGTAATATTCCGTTTGATTTCTTGTCACTTTCTCCACGTGGGCCATTTCAAAAGGTTATACTTTTTTAATGCCCCAACTTCTCACTATCCCTACTTAGCAAATTTTTGTACAGGGAAATAGAGAAGAAAGAAGATGTGTAGGTTTCAATCCTGAAGGAATAGGAGAATAGTAGAGCATTAACAAAATTAGGGAGTCCAGGAGGGAGTTTGCTCAAGATAGAAGGTGAGTTTGATGTAATAGGACTTCCTGATATGCCTAATATGTGTTAGGCATTTGAAGACGTGGAATTGGAGCTAAGAAGAGATTGCATTTGCTGAGAACTGTTAAAGGACATACGTGCATATTGAGAGAAGGAAAACTGGCAGCTTACAGCCTGGGAAGAAGATGCTAGGGAAGGAGATGGAAAAGATGTAGGAAGCAGGCACCAGATCAGAGCAGCAGAGCTTCTGGGGCCATTTGCTTAGGGGCAGGCAGCTCCTCAACAGGCCCTGAGGTACTGCTGGAATACGGTGTGGTGTAGAGGTGTGTGTTCACGGTGGTGGTCCTGAGGAAGCCAGAGAAGGTTAAGTCATGTTCTGTGAAGGCTGCAAAAGGAGCAAGGACTTGGCATTATGACCAAAAAATGGTAGTGATCAAAGAGGTAGATAAATGTTGTCTAGAAAATGTACTCCTGTGGGATGAGTCATCCCCTGATGAAGCCCAAGTAGACGTTGCTGAGAGGTGATAGTTTGAGTAACGACAGCTTGAACATATTCAAGAGACAGAGCTGTCTCCTTTTGTGGTGAACTTACCTTTAAATATGCTTAGTCTATATTTACCTGATATGGATGTGGTCTGTAGATTCTTATTCTTTGTAAGTGAAAGGGAATAAATCTTTATCTGTATTTTCTTCCTACTTGCTCAAGAGTTCTATTGTGTTGTACTGTGATTTGGTTCTTCTGAATTCCATAAACATTTAGTACCATCAGTTGGATATATTCTGAAAACCTAGGCATAGGATCTAGGGAGAGAATAGTATCAGGTCTTAGTTTTGATCAGATTCTAGGTTATCCTCCTTTTCTGAGCTTTCTGAGCTCTGCCTACATTATTACTATGATCTTGCAGCCCTACCAGACTTTTCCGGATTTCATTCATCTTATCCTACCTTCCTTCCTTCCTCTAGCCCTTCCTCCCTCCCTCCTTGCCTGCCTGCCTGCCTTCCTTCCTTCCTTCTTCTCTCTTCCTCTTTTTTTTTTTTTGAGCTTTCTGAATTTCTTTTGCCAAGGGCTTAGGACAGAAGAGAAAAAATACTGTTTGTCAGGACACCTGAGCTACAGGGTCTAAAATAACTCCAAATTCTGTTTGCCTGGAGTGCCAGCAGCCTCCACTAAGTGCTCTGTTAATGTGCACCCTCTTGCTTGCTTGGCAGAATGTGTGCTCCCAAGTGGGAGCACAGTAGTACAAGGGATCATTTTTCCCATTTACTTTTTTTTTTCTCTTGGCTCATTCCTAATGCTGCTGAAGAACCTGGATAAGACTGAGTTGTGAGCAGCTTGCTGGAATTGTGACGTGCAATTGTGTCTAAAAACCTGGTGATTTGATTGCCTAATTGACGTTTATTCCTCTTGGGTTGGATCTCAACTAGAGGAAAGGAAGCATTTGTATCTCAAATCATTTGGAAACAATTTGGAGACCAAATGGGGTTGAGCCAGCTTGCTTTGATTGCAGCTCTCTTTACAGTTACATGCACACATTTTGGCATAAATCACATTGACAGTGCCGTAGGTTTATGGATGGGAGTGCTGATTAGAAGACCTGACCATAGGTCAATTGTAAAATTGGCCACATTCAGCTTTGATACCTTAACGTTTTTTTAATGCTCTGCCTCTAGTTCCTATGCCTTCCATAGTAAATTCTTTTATGAATTGTCAAACATTAGCTTTGCCCATCCTTATCCAAGATTCCTTTATACTTAGCATGAGTTTTGTTAATGTTAGCAGGACCCCCTTCAGTAATCATGACTTTCATGGGATCTTGAAATAATGTAGAGAAGAAAGACTAGTCTGGCTCACAGAATTTCAGGAAACTACCTTGTCCTCATGATGCCTGGGAATGTTAGGTCCCAAAATACCTTCTAGAACTGTGAAATGCCTTCTTCCTTGGCTAATAGTCTATGCTAATCTACTAGTTTTCCATCCTTTCCATCACCATGACCACTCACATATCATGGTAGGTGGCAGGAGTATTATAATGAAAGATGAAAGGAATAGGACTGCTACTGCAAACATTACTCCAATCGGAAGATATGTGTTCATGGAGGACACATCTAATAATCTTATCGTTTATAATAGATAGTACTCACCCTATGAGTTTCCACTTGAGTATGGATACTTCTATCATATGGCTACCCAGGATATTGCCTGTGCCAATAAACTGTCTCATTATCTGATGAATAGATCTGATGAACACCAAAATTATAGAAGCTGTATTTAATTAATTTGTCAACTGGGGAAAAAAAAGGAATGCAATTATTTTTAATAGCTCTAGACCCATATTTCCATGGTAGCAGCCAGCACCTGGGGAAGTTGTGGGGAGTACTAAGTATTAGATCCTTCTAGAGCTGGAGATTGGTGGGGTGGATGAAGATTCTGGGGGACAGAGGACTGAGGACATTGATGATCTTGTTATTGAAATGGCCAACCTGGCATTCAGGTAGATAGAGGAGGAAGCAAAGCCCCAAGTGGGGTGATAGTTGAGACTTGTTGTCAACCTCTCAAAGAATGGTTCTGGGTCTCATAACACAGATGTGACTGGCGCAATGATTGTGGTGACTACAGTGATGAGAGGGAATGCTCATACCCCACCTGCAATGAGAATCAGTTTACCTGTCAGAATGGAATCTGCATTTATAAGGTCTACACCTGTGATGGGGAAAATGACTGTGGAGATGACTCTGATGAGCTGGAGCACCTGTGCCACACCCCAGAAACCACGTGCCCCCCTCATCAGTTCAAGTGTGACAACGGGAACTGCATCGAGATGGTGAAAGTCTGCAACCACCTAGATGACTGTTTAGACAACAGTGATGAGAAAGCATGTGGTGAGTATTACAGAAGATTTGGGAAAAGGAAAATGGGAGACTGATTGTGGATTCTCGACTCTTTATGACTTATCAGGACTTTCCAGTCTGTCCTCTAAGTAGAAAATTATCAGAATATTACTATTGTTTGTCTATCAAAGGACAAGGATTTCTTGGTATATAAAGTTAGTACACAAACATTTTTGGACTAACTTGTCAGTTAGGCAGTTCATTAGAGAGAACAGAAGATGAGCGTATTCAGGCCGTCTGCACATAACAGCACTGTTAAACAAGGCAAACAGTGTTGATTCTCTTTGAACCCTTGGAATGACTGGTTGCCTGGACTGTCCCTCTGCTAGGATTCCTTAGCCTGTTCTTCATTTTCATCCTCAGGTGATTGAAGGGAAGAGTTTTAACCTCCCCCTCACCCCAACCTCCACATGTAAACCAGTCTAGAATTTGTAATATATAGAATTAATAAGAACATGTTCTTTTCTGTGGATAGTTTTTGAGTGAGCTTGGCCACATGTCACAGAACCAGCCAGAGGTATACCCAGTGTAGTGCTGGATGGCTCATGCTACCTTGTGAGAGCCAAAGGTGTGCATCTCTTCCCAACTCTGTGTGCAGTGATGTCACGCTGGTGGCCTGAAAATCTTCCTGGTGTATTTGCACCACTGAAATGGAAGATGCTACCAAAGAGAGCATTTTGTTCCCCCAGATACCTGTTTTCCTGCACTCCACTGGCCAGCTCTTTATTCTGCTCCTCTTTCTCCTCTCTCCTGCCATTTTACTTTTTAAATTATTGGTTAAAAGAAGATTGGCAGGTATAGGATTCGAAGTCAAACTTAGGCTTATTAGTTGTATTAGTTATTAAAACCACTGGAGAAGGATTAAATTGAGGAGGAAGTTTAAAAAACAGTGACTTTTGAATAATCTACTGCCTTTAGAAATCCCTTATTGTCTGTCTACTTTTAGCATGATTCATTAAGGATTGGTGCTGTACAGTGGAAATGTTAACTTTGGACCATTATGGTGGATCCATTGCTGCCATTTTAGGTTCTCTAATAATTGTCTTTAACTTACAGGCATTAATGAGTGCAATGACCCTTCACTCAGTGGATGTGACCAAAACTGCACAGACACCTTAACCAGTTTCTATTGTTCTTGTCTTCCTGGTTATAAACTTATGTCTGACAAGAGGACTTGTAATGATATTGATGAATGCAAAGAGACGCCCTTTGTCTGTAGCCAGAAGTGTGAGAATGTAATAGGCTCCTACATCTGTAAGTGTGCCCCAGGCTACATTCGAGAACCAAATGGAAAGAGCTGCCGGCAGAACAGTGACATCCAGCCATATCTCATTTTTAGCAACCGTTACTATTTGAGAAACCTAACTACAGATGGCCATTATTACTCCCTCATTTTGCAAGGACTGGGCAATGCCGTGGCCCTGGATTTTGACCGAGTAGAAAAGAGAATATACTGGATTGATAGAGAGAATAAGGTCATTGAGAGAATGTTTCTGAATAAGACAAACAGGGAGACTGTCTTAAACCACAGACTACCAGCTGCAGAAAGTCTGGCTGTAGACTGGGTTACCAGGTAAGCAAACAGTGAGGAGTTTTTTAAAAATTAAAAAGTTTTTTAAAAAATGTTCTTACTGTGTTTTCATCTTGATAGGGAATTGATCTTTTCAACTTATATGTGGATATATTTACTGCTTCTGCATGCTAACATAAGGGAGTTTGGTTTCCAAAACGCTTACTCTCGATATGCTAGTTTTTAAAAGCACCATATGCACGTTGGAAGATTGTGCTGGCTCTCAGTCCTCTTAATTTTTCCATTAGTAGGGATGGAGTATCTCTTGAAAAGAGTCTGCTGACAGGGCCAGTCTTTTGACTGTGGAATGAAGAGAAATTAATGAGTTGGCAGTAAGCTCAACAGAGTGAAGTGCCCTATGGTGTAGCCAACCTTGAATTCCTGCTCTACTCACTTAGTAATTATACAACCTCAGGACCTCAGCAGCCTCATCAGAAAAACAGGGATAACAGTAGCACCTAGTTCTAGGGTTGTTGTGATCTTAAATAATATAATATTTTAAAAAGTCCTTAGCCTAGGGCCTGATATTTAGTAAGTATTCAACAAACAGCTGCTATTATGATTGCTGTTCTTAGCCTCTACATTGATGGAATCCAAGATTGTGGTCATCTCATTCATCAGGATTTACCCAACTGAATGAACTGGCAAGGCTTGTACATTTGTGCATACTCATTCCTTCATCCTCAAGCCTAAAAGGATGCTGCTGTCCTAAGTTAAATATTCTGACACCCAGCATGGTTGGATCAGGGCCTACCTTTTGCAAGGAGACCTTCGGGCCTTTTGGAAGGGAAATCACTCTCCTTCTAGTTGGAATTATTGACTTTCAGATCTTAAATGACATTCAGATTCTAGGGGCATTGAACTCTTTGGATTATGGATACTTGAAGTCTCTGGTGAAAGCTCTAGACCCCTGGCTGGATAAAAACACTTAACACATTTATACTCACACAATTTTGCATCAGTTTTAGAGGATACACAGACCAGGCTACCCTGATGTCAGGTTAGGGACCCCAGATTAAGAACCCTTGCCTTAGAGAAAATAAATGGATTTTGTTGAATAGCAATATATTTAGAACTGAAATATCCTTGTGGTGGGAGTTTCTAACAGATTCTAATAAGTTTTTACAGCTTTTTAAGTTTTATTAAGTAAAACCTGGCACAGGGTAAGAAACTCATTTTACCAGCCTAGTCTGATGGAGCCATGGAGGGGTAAGATTTCTCTTTATTTTAAGGATGCCATGATTCAGAGTTTCTTTGTGCAGTCTCAATGATACATTCAGACAAGTCTGTTTCCTCGACTCGACCATTTAAACTGTAGTTCATGACACTCATTGCTCTCACTTCTGCTTCCCTGCTCCTCTAAGCCTTTGCATTGTGCGGGAAGGATGCCTTATGCTGCATTAAGAAAGTAAAGCCAGAATCTTTGTGTGAGGTGTGGCTCCAGAATTCCCTATGTGACATCACTTTAAAGTAGGAATTGTAGCACACGTTCTTGCATCTTCCGTTGCAAGAAGGTCAGCTGTTTCCCCTTGTCCTTGTTTGTCTGGGGAGAAGTGCGTTCTAATAGCTGTTAGTGTGATTCCAAGGTAGCATAGGAAATTGGGTGGCTAAATATGCAGTTTCAGGAGCAAAATGGCTGTATCAGTAACTCCTGGTTCTCCATTTCAGAAAGCTCTATTGGGTAGATGCCTACCTGAAATGCCTCTCTGTCTCTGATCTCGATGGTCGATACCGCCGCAAGCTGGCTGAGCACTGTATGGATGCCAACAACACTTTCTGCTTTGAAAATCCCAGAGGAATTGTCCTTCATCCTCAATATGGGTATTGTTTCCCTGTAATCTTGGGCTCTTCTTTCCTGCCCTTATTCTGCCTCTGTTACCAAAAAGGCTGCCACGTAGTTATCTCAAGGCCAATATCTTGCTGGGATTTGACTTCTGCTTTTCCTGCCTGGTAAATGGTTCAGTATAATTGGTAGAAGCATGGCTTGTTCAAATGATATTCATCAGCTATTCTGTTTTCTCTGCCATGACATACCATTTCACTTTTCTTTTTTTTTCTTAATTTTATTTATTTATTTATTTTTTCCCCCAAAGCCCCAGTGGATAGTTGTATGTCATAGCTGCACATCCTTCTAGTTGCTGTATGTGGGACGTGGCCTCAGCATGGCCGGAGAAGCGGTGCGTCGGTGCGCGCCCAGGATCCAAACCCGGGCCACCAGCAGTGGAGCGCGCGCACTTAACTGCTAAGCCACGGAGCCAGCCCCCCATTTCACTTTTCAAGTCACATATTTTGGCTGCATGTAAAGAATATTGTAGTTAGAAAACAAAACAAAACAAAACAAAACCCACCTTTACTGGACTCTCCATGTCAAATCCACTGAAATCCCCAATTAATCATGTTTATTCTTGAGCATTTCCTATACATTGCCCCCTTTGAGATTATATTCTGTTAGTTCTCTTTCCTTTCTGAGAGGCTCTGTAGAATGTAAACTCTGTTTCTCTAATTGGAAAAGAGCTATATCTTTTGGCCACTGACTTCTTTTGGCTTCAGGAACTGACCTTTTCTGTTTGCTCCAACAGGTATGTCTACTGGGCAGACTGGGCTAGCCGAGCATACATTGGGAGAGTAGGCATGGATGGAACCAATAAGTCTGTGATTATCTCTACCAAGATAGAGTGGCCCAATGGCATCACTATTGATTACACCAATGATCTACTCTACTGGGCAGATGCTCACCTGGGTTACATTGAGTATGTACATAGAAAAGAACGTGTAACTGTTTATTCCAAATGCCAGGGCTTGTGTTGCCAGTGTATTATTCCCATGCAGCTTCCAAATGGCCTATGTGTTGGAAGTTGCTCTGAGGTCTCTTCTATCTAAAAGCTGATTATAGGTGGTTCACTGAGCTCTGTAGTATGGTGCAGTAGAAAGAGTATGAACTTTGAAATCATACAGATTGGGTTTTTGTCCCGGTGTTTTCACTTCTTATTGTTTTTTTCATCTGAAAAATGGAGCTGATAATCTCTCCCCTATGGTAGTCAGCTTAGTGCTCAACTCATCTTAAGTTCTTTATCCCTTTAGTTTGCCCTTCTCTACCAAATATGTGATTAATAGACTTTAGTATTTGAAAAAAGAAAAAGAGCAAAAGTGTTGAAAAAGTTTTCCCTAAAATACTTTAGTGCATTTATTGATAAGTACAATGAAGTATTTTATGTAGCAGTAGAGTCTGTTAATATTTATTCAATATGATAATACATTCAAATCTTTCTGGTAATAGGATAATGTTTTTGTGTGTGTGTGAGGAAGATTAGCCCTGAGCTAACATCCGTGCCCATCTTCCTCTACTTTATGTGGGACGCCACCATAGCATGGCTTGACAAGCGGTGTGTCAGACCACGCCCAGGATCTGAACCTGCGAATCCCGGACCGCCAGAGCGGAGCCTGCAAACCTAACCACTGTGCCACCAGGCCAGCCCCCTAGGATGATTCTTTTAAAGTGTGTTAAATATTATACTGTTCAATGAAAAATACTCATTGTAAAAAAGATAATACACATCACTAACCAACCAGAACATTTTTGTTTTGGGACACTGCTAGTTATGGCCTAGTTGGTCTGTAGTAATGTCTTCTGAGCAAGCTTTTATGAACAAGTACCCAGATATACAGCCTTTCACATTTAAAAGCATGGAATTGTCATTAATTCAGCAGAGCTTTTTCAAAGGCCTTTAAAAGTTCTTTCATTCTGTTAGATTTATTTCTACAAAGTCAGTGTAGAAATTTTTGAAGTTCTCTAATCTCATGCTCTCTTGGGAACATGCCACTGAGAAAGAAGGAATACCAGGCACACATGCTGGTGCTCTCTCCTCCTATGCTCATGGCAGACATAGTTAATCAATCCCAGAACCCTCTCTTGTTGAACTGACATTTCCCCAGAATCCTTTATGGTTAATACATGTGACGAAGACTCCTTGCCATCCCTGGCCTGGAAAGCAGAGAATACTGGATTGTTTTTACAGGCTATGCCATCAGCCTCTGCTACTCTCCAATGTCTTTTTTGAACTCAGCCCCTTGGAATTACCTCATGATCTTAGTTTTTTTTTTTTAATTGAGATATTATTGACATATAACATTGTATTAGTTTCAGGTGTACAACATAATATGTATATGTATATGTTGCAAAATGGTCACCACAATATGTCTAGTTAACATCCGTCACCACACATAGTTACAAATTTTTTTTTCTTGTGATGGGAACTTTTAAGATCTACTCTCTTAGCAACTTTCAAATATACAATACAGTATTATTAACTATAGTCACCATGTTGTAGGATCTTAGTTTTAAAATACGTTTAGGGTAAGTAGGAAAGAAGGCTTTGGAAAATTGAACGTTATAAGGATTTTGGCACGTGATGCTTTGGGAATATTTCCTTGTCCTGGTTCATTTGATATACTAAGGCAATCCTTTAGTGTTCTCTTTGCAGAATTTACCATAGCAGATACTAACTCACTCTTAGGTAGAGATCAACTTTGGTCAGAAGAGGTAGAATATTACTTCTAGTTTGTTTGTACCATTTTAATGGAATATTCAGATGGTGACACTCTTGGCTTTTCCCACAGTGTGCGTATCCTCTCTTTGAAGGAACATCATAGAGCTTAGTTAGCTTTCCATAAAATCCTATTTTGAATTAGTAGAAGCATCAAGGTGTTCAAAGAAGCTTCAACAACTTTCTTGTTGGACTTTTGTGGTCTTTTATGTCTTAGAGATTATTTTTGGTCTTGAAAGCTTAGTAGGTTTCACTGAAATAGTGTGCACATAGGTAATATTTTAAGGAATGTTAGAGGCAAAAAGGAATTTTCTAGCTAATTAACAATCTGTTCACTTTTTGATAAAATCTGTTCTAAATTATTTGTGTAGCAGGATTCTAAAATTCAGGCAATAAGTTACCATCTAAAAATCAAATTATAATATTAGGCACTTGATCTGGGAATGAATGAACCTTTAATATTCATGGAGCCATGTTGACTTGATCAGCTCTTAGAGGGGTAGCAATGCCTGTGTTCAGAAATAGGTTTCACAGACTATGTAAAACAATACATTTTTATACAGCATCCAATGCATTTCTTGTACATGTTGGGATATGCCAACAAATCCTTGTAGCTGTGCCCTATGCTTCTACACTTGACCAAAAATACTGATAAGGGTGTCTGAGATCTCTACACAGAGATCAAAAACCAAAAAGGAAGATCTCAAGACTACTTTCTGGTCCATGCCTTTTTTAAAGAAACAAATAGTGACTAAATTCTGGTCATTTACCTGCAGTCTTATCAACAGAGGCCAAGAAAGTCTTCCTTTGGCTTCTATAAGTTGCTGTAAATTATAATATCTTGGAAAATATTTTTAATATCGCATGGCTAACATTGTCAAGTTTCTTAGTTGCTAGCTCATTCCAACTCCTGTTTGAGTTTTAGGGTCTGCTTCAAAACTTAAAAGTATTAAAATATCAATATTTTGACATAGACTCATAGTAATGAATGATGCATTGGAACTAGGAGGACCTGGAAATTTGGCTGTGGATGCTTTGTACCATCTTGAAATAAGAGAACTTCCTCTGGAGGTTTATTCATCTGGAAAAGTATTCATCAATAGCGTCCAGGGCATGATTAATAATAAATGTGCTGCCAGTGTATGCAAAGTTAAGCCTGCAGGCCTATAATTTAACTCATCTAGTATACTCCTTTCAGGTTATACTGAGCATTCAGCTGTCTCCCAGAACAGCTTCTCCTCTGAAATGTTCAGGAGAAGGCAGAATTCCAGCTTTATATTGTTATTCTTTGATTTCTTCCAATGACTTAGGGTTCATCCCAGGATATCAAAAACATGCTGAATGGAGAACATCAGTGTAAAAGATTATAAGCCTACAACAGCTGAACTAGCTGCATCTGTAGGAAAGCAGCTGTGGTTAGAAATTAGCGATTGTTTAAACTCCTGTGGCTATTCCTATTTTACAAGCATTACTTCTTTTAAGCAAACTTTTACATTTTTTTGTTCAGTGAAAATATCCTTTAAGTTTAGCTTTTTTTTTTTTTTTTTTTTTTGTGAGGAAGATCAGCCCTGAGCTAGCATCCATGCTAATCCTCCTCTTTTTGCTGAGGAAGACCGGCTCTGAGCTAACATCTATTGCCAATCCTCCTCCTTTTTTTTTTCTTCCCAAAGCCCCCGTAGATAGTTGTACGTCATAGCTGCACATCCTTCTAGTTGCTGTATGTGGGACGCGGCCTCAGCGTGGCCGGAGAAGCGGTGCGTCAGTGCGCGCCTGGGATCTGAACCCCGGCCGCCAGTAGCACACTTAACCGCTAAGCCAGGGGGCCAGCCCTAAGTTTAGCTTTTTAATTAAAGACTAGGAGTTTGGGGGAGGACCTGAACTTCCGTTTCCTCTGGAAGGTAGAATGGTATTAATTGATTTGTCAATTCATCTATCGTTAAAGGCATTGGGGAGGTGTTATCTTCACTGAGTGACTCTTTCTTCCTCCTACCTCAGGTACTCTGATTTGGAGGGCAACAATCGACACACCGTGTATGACGGGGCACTGCCTCACCCCTTTGCTATTACCATTTTTGAAGACACCATTTATTGGACAGATTGGAATACAAGGACAGTTGAAAAGGGAAACAAATATGATGGATCAGATAGGATGATGCTGGTGAACACAACCCATAAACCATTTGACATCCATGTGTATCATCCATATAGGCAGCCAATTGGTGAGTAGACAATTCAGAAGTTTGGCACAGTTGCTTGAGGTTCTGTGCATTACTTTCTTGTTTTTTTAAGCATAAACATCATGATTTATAAAGGGAATAGTGTTACTTGTTAACGTTTTCTACAAAACGTGCTGAGTTTTGAGAGTATGGAAATATCTTTAGAGTTCATTCTCCTACTCCTGGGAAAGGCTGCTTATAACTCTTATTTTTCTTAAAACTTGCTCTATTCTTAAAGATCAACCTGAGTTTTTGTTTTTGATAAGAATTAACAGTTATCATGTTTCCGCATTTGCTTCATCTATTTTGGTGGGAGGACTGAAGTATTTTAAAGTGAGTTAAAAATATCGTGACATTTCAGCCCTAAATAAGAAAGCATCTTTGAAAGATAAGGACATTTCTTATATAACCACAATAAACTGTAACACCTAAGAATTAACAATCATTCCTTAATATCAAGATTAATCTATTGAAATAATTGATTTAAAATAAATCTTCAAAAGATTACAGTGATTATAAGACATCATTTATTAAATATTTATTTGCCTATGACATTGTTTTGTGTATTAAATATATGTTATTCTTGTCTTCTAGAAGGTACTAATGTTGAGAGCAACACATTTCAGTGTTTCATAAGTTAAAAAATGTGTTTTTTTTTGTTTTTTTTGTTTTTTTTGTTTTTTAAAGATTTTATTTATTTATTTTTCCCCCAAGGCCCCAGTAGATAGTTGTATGTCGTAGTTGCACATCCATTCTAGTTGCTGTATGTGGGACGCGGCCTCAGCATGGCCGGAGAAGCGGTGTGTCGGTGCTCGCCCGGGATCCGAACCCGGGCCGCCAGCAGCGGAGCGCGCGCACTTAACCGCTAAGCCACGGGGCCGGCCCCAAGAAATGTGTTTTTTATTTGCTTGTGAACTTATATTTCTTTTCATGCAGTTAAAGCTATTTTATGATTTATAGACAATCTAGTAAAGATCTGGAGTATATTTTGGGCATAGGAGGGATTTTGTGGGCCTTGTTTGTTGTGGTGTCTTGCTAAAGTATATGATAAACTCAGAAGTAAGAAAAAATGAGAATTGGCAAAATATACTCAGTATTTTTTCTTAGAAGTTAATATTCTTCATATTATTTTAGCAGAAGTTCAAATTAATCTTCACCTCCAAGTGGCATCCCAGAAAACTAGTAAAGACACTGCTCAGTTTATCCATCCACCTCATTCTGGGCCATACTTCTGTTGTCTATATCCTTAGAATGATAGAATATAGTATCTGCTGGAAATTAACACTTTAACTTAGGTTCTGGGCACATGAATGTAAGCTAAGTTTCCCATCTGCTCTCCAAGGACTTTGAGAAACACACCTTTTCTAGGCCCAGACACCAGTGGATGTGCCTCACTTCTGGTAGCACATAAATCTGTTTTCTCAAAGCACAGGGTTGCTTATCCAGCTCTACTATCTGTCCTACTTATGGGCTTTCGGAAGAAGCATGAGACTGGGATTTATCCTACTCTCAAAGAGGTGATGAGTTTGATGAAGTGGGTAATCAGCTCATCTGTGCTTGATACTCTGAATGAACATATATTTTCCTCCTCCTTTCACTAGTGAACAATCCCTGTGGTACCAACAATGGTGGCTGTTCTCATCTCTGCCTCATCAAAGCAGGAGGAAAAGGATTCACCTGTGAGTGTCCAGATAACTTCCACTCCCTCCAGCTGGATGACAGCACCCACTGCCTGCCCATGTGCTCTAGCACCCAATTCCTGTGTGCTAACAATGAAAAGTAAGGTTCTCTCTTCTCTCTCTCTGCTGCCTCTCCATCCCTTGGACACACATTGAACTTCCAGCCTCCAGGTGATGGGAGCTTTCTAATGAACCAAGATTTTGGCTAATTAATTTGGTTCATTTGGAATGTACCAAGACTCTCAGTCTCTAGCTTCAGATAATTTCTTCCATCAATAGATGGAATTTGTTAACCAAACAGTTATGCTTATGTATGCAAGTTTTTATACTTCTAGAGAGGAAGCAAACTATGCATTTTTTATTTCTAATAAATTGTTGTGTCAGAGCCAGAGTATATGTATAAGTGTTTACTGAAAAATAGCACTCAAGAGTGACAGAATTTCTTTGTCTTTTTCACACATATATTGGCCTAGCTCCTTAGTTAATTATGCCAGAGGATCCAGGGTTACACATTCAAATCCATTTTTGATCATTTGTGTTTGTTGTAAAACATGGCCACAGATCATTTCCCTAACAATGGCCATAGGCCATTGATGACTAGGGGGACTGAGTCAGACAGTGGAGTGGGGAGAGGCATTAATGCAAATCATAGCATCTAAAATTCTATGGCAGATTATTTTGATGATTAAATAGATATCTTAGATTAAGAATCTAGCATACACTTATCACATAGGCTCTCAAAAAACGTTAGTGTCCTCCAGCTTCCCAGCCAATACCTGAATGTCTTTTATGTCACCCTAGCAGACAGTCCCAACCAATCTCTGCTTCTAGAACCACAGCTCTAAACACACACTCCTCTGTTTGTTGTGGCAGGAATTTTATCCCATCATACGCAAAGCATTTTTTCAGCATGTATTTGGGTCTTAAACCTGTTCTATCTCATCTATTAATGTTTTCTCTGAAAATACACCACAGGAACCAAGGTTTAATTGATCCTCTTCTAGGGCCATGAAAGAACTCACACATGTCATTACTTGGAATTCAGTTTTGACTTCTTTCCAGATAGCTGTTGCCTGCTCCTCTACTCCCAGTGCTTGCTAAGACAAGTGCTCTATTTTCTCTGTGCAGGTGTATTCCTATCTGGTGGAAATGTGATGGACAGAAAGACTGTTCCGATGGCTCTGATGAACCCGCCATTTGCCCTCAGCGCTACTGCCCGTTAGGACAGTTCCAGTGCAAGGATGGCAACTGTACCAGCCCCCACTTCCTATGCAATGCTCACCGAGATTGCCCTGATGGATCTGATGAAGACCATATTCTTTGTGGTGTGTTGAATTGCTTTATGCCTTCCTTGCCCACTTCTATAGTTGGTTGTGTACAATCATTATTTTGTGGGGATTTTCTGAATATTATAAACCAGAAACCTATCCAAAGTCCTAGGAGCAAACTCAGAATTCTATATCTATTTTTATAGAGTTATTAGAAATCCTAAGGTCTCTACAAGGCAAATGGTTGCAGTAAATCATAAGTTGTCTATATTGGTGGTTCTTTACCATATGCGATACATAGAATCCTCCTTGAGAGCTAACATTGAGGGCAAAATGAGGATTTCCCACCCCCATTTTAAACAAGGACTCTCTCGTAATATTTATTTATGTTTCCATTTTTGAAAAGCTCCCCCACCAAAAACCTTCCAAACTAAAAACAACACATCAACGACAGCAACAAACACAAAAGTTTGAAAACTATTGTCCAATAGAGGAACAGGGACAAGAGAAGGTGAATTTAATAGATCATCAGTGACTCAGTCTTTATCCCCTAATTCTGCATGCAGAACAAAGATATTTAAGAATTTGGGAGACAGTAATAGTCAAAGGAATAAGTGCCCATATAATGGTAACTAGTCGATAATAAGTGCATTAGGACATAAGTCCTCCAAAAAGAAATTATGATTGAGTTCTCCAGGATCCATTGTTGTAAATTAGGAGCTTCTATTCCTAATGCCTTCCAAGCTGATAACCAAATAACCTTGCTTTCAGAGCATCACCAGTGTGAGTCCAATGAATGGCAGTGTGCCAACAAACGTTGTATCCCAGAAGCCTGGCAGTGTGACTCGGAGAACGACTGTGAGGATAACTCGGACGAAGACATTTCCCACTGTGCCGGCAGGATCTGCCGGCCAGGCTATTTTATGTGTGCCAATGGCCGCTGCATCCCTCAGAGCTGGAAGTGTGATGTAGACAATGACTGTGGAGACTACTCAGATGAGCCCATCCAGGAGTGCAGTAAGTTCCTGTGGGAGGAGCATGGCCTCACCGGGAGCAGGAAACCTCTGTGTGGATTGAGAGAGGATGTGGAGCCCCCTGCTTCAGCCCCATTGGACACTCCCTCTTTATTCTCCTTTCTAACTCTGGCACTGCAAGGCAACAGATAGCTGTATGGCTTGTAGGTTGAACCAGATCCTGTTTCTGAAGTGGCTGATTTCTCCTCCTGATACACTGAACATCTAACTGTCCAGAATATAACAAGAACTTACATTTTGTATATCTAGCACTTTCTCATTTGAGCTTCAGAGAAACATTCTCAGATAGGGAAGGTGGGTGTCACCAATTCCCATTTTACAGATGAGAAAACTGAGGCTCACATTAAGCACATGGTCACATTTCTATTTAGTGGCACACACTTCAACCCAGGTATTTTTTTTTACTTCAAACCCAGTCCTTCCCTACCCCCACCCCCCCATCACCACAGTGTTGTACTGCAACACGAATGAGTGGTACTGAGATAGTGAGAAAACTTAGAACTCTGTCTTTCTGCTCTTGGTGAACAGATCACACCTAAAACAGACACTTGTTGCCAGAGTCAATTTAGTTGGTAACATGGTAATTGTTACCCTTCAGCACCAAGTCCTAAATATGACAATGGAAAGGTGTCTTTCTGGTGGCATTTCCTGGCAGGACTGAGACTTCAGTTCTGACTTTGCTACTTCCTCTCTTTTCAGTGAGCTCTGCCTATCGCTGTGACAACTATACGGAGTTCAGCTGTAGAACGAACTACCGCTGCATCCCACAGTGGGCCGTGTGCAATGGTTTTGATGACTGCAGAGACAACAGTGATGAGCAAGGCTGTGGTAGGAGAGGCTGCAGGGGAGTGGGGGAGGGACAAGAAAACTTAAGTGTCAAGTGCCATTATTAGAAGATGAGAGTGGATTTCCATGTCATCTTTCCTTTACCTCCGAAAAAGGGAGGGCCATCTGTTGATTCTTCTAACAATATGCTGCATTTTTATAGCATTTTACAGGGTTATTGGGGGACTTTAATTTATATCATCTTACATGAAATCTCATCCCAAAGGATGCTATAATTGGGGAAGGCATTATTAAGATGTTAGGAACTTGTATAATTTCTCCCAAATGTAGAGTCCTTATTTACACTTGACAAGTTTAAATTGTCTAATCTCATAGATTGATTGAAATTGATAGAAGGAGGAGAGAAAAGATTTGGTATCTGTTGCTAAAGAGAATATTTCAAAATCAGAATATTTTTTATTTGGAGATTTTCATAGTTTGAATGTCTCTCTGACTTTCCATATCATCTGTTGGACAGCTGTAGTCATTTTGGCAACTAGGAAAGAACTTATGGACAAAAGGCCAAATAAATTAATGGAGTTTGTCAATGAGTATGTGTGTTAGGTTTAGTTGGAAGAGACGTAAGGAAGATAATGGGTTATTTTAATAATAACGCTGAATCTAAAGACACATTGTCTAAAGACAATGTGTTGGAAATGTTCTATGTGTTGGTGGCATCACTTAACTTCTTTCTCATGCCTTTGTTGCAAATTACAAGCCAGATAGCAATTCATTTTTTGAACAGTTTCCACAGGAGAGAACGGATCTAGTTTCAAGCAGTAGGATAAATTCAGTTTAGCCGAAAGAGGAATATTGACAGTGAATGGTGCTGGCATTCCTCTCTCTGGGAGCTTGGAGAATATGATAGCATAATTCTCAGACTGTCTCACAAGGAAGCCAGTACGACTATGGTATTTCTTTACCATTGGCTTCTGAAGTCTTTGCAATGACTATGCTTTGCAGAGGAGATGACGTGCAACCCTTCAGGGGATTTCCGCTGTAATAATCACCGCTGCATCCCTCTTCGCTGGAAATGTGATGGGCACAATGACTGTGGAGATCACTCAGATGAGGAAAACTGTGGTGAGTGTTCAGGGTTCTATCATCCTTATGTACTCCCAGAGCTGTGATGTTTGCTCTTTGTCCATAGTTCAACTGTCTATGCCATTTATCCTCAAAGGGTATGGTGACAGCTACTTGATCTCTTGCTTTCTGCTGGCTGGCACATTTCTACTTTTTCTTTAACTAAAGACATAAGCATCTCCTTCTGAGATGTTTATAATCAAGCTTTGGGAAGAGGATGTTCACCCAAGTAAATCTTTTGTCTGTTGAATTTATTTACACCCCAGTTTTTTTCCAAAAAGAACTTGAGGTGACTTACAATAAAGGGTAAATATAATAAGATAAATAGAATAGAAACAAAATCAGGACCAAGAGAAGTATAGGAAGGAAACGTGCTAACCCAAAGACGCTGGTTCTTAAGCTCTTGCCCCAAAATGACCTTAATAGCAGAGGAAAGAAAACTTGTATTTTGGATTGTCATCCTTCCTGGAATAGCTGACTATTTTAGGAGGTCTAATGGTTAAATGACGGGTCAGGTCTTAGTCCCTCTCTCCCAGTGAAGGTGCTGACTACAAGGAATTGGACAGAGAGGTTGAGGAAAGGAAGTCAGAGGTTAGATAGTCAGTCCTGAATAATTGGATGTATTTTGGAAAGATTTTTTTTTATTTGGAAAACATCTATTTTATTTGGTCTAGCCCTGAACATACGTCATTGACTCATGATATATTTCAATTTCAGATCAACTAATAAGAAACACCTTCTAACTTTAGTGTCTTTTTGGAAGTAAGAAGTGATCACCATTTGCCATAGGCAATTGAGAGAATCAGGATACTGATTACACCTGCAAGCATCAATCAGCTAAATACTACACAAAAGAGCAATCCAATTGCCATGTTATTGTTTATAAGATAAAGTTCATGTTGAATCCTATAGGAAGCTATCTAGAGTTTCATGAAATCAAAAGTTATCTTAAGATTACATCACCTTTGGACAAACCTCTTAATAAAGTCCATTCTTTTTTTTTTATAATCTCCGTTTTTGGTTTTTTTTTTAATAATTTTTTAATTTATTTTTTTCCCCCAAAGCCCCAGTAGATAGTTGTATGTCACAGTTGCACATCCTTCTAGTTGCTGTATGTGGGACGTGGCCTCAGCGTGGCCGGAGAAGCGGTGCGTTGGTGCGCACCCGGGATCCGAACCCGGGCCGCCAGCAGCGGAGCGCGAGCACTTAACCGCTAAGCCACGGGGCCGGCCCTAAAATCCATTCTTTACAGAATTAAAATTGAGGTGGAAGGTCTATTTTTGGACGATGGACATTCTGCCCAAGCAGACCTCTGGGACAGAGGAGGGCCTTGGGCGCTGAGGGCATGTAAGCCAACTCACAAGCCTATCTCCTGTTTGTGATTCCTGGTGCCCACTGATGGCCACGTGGCTTTCCTTTTCAGTCCCCCGGGAGTGTACAGAGAGCGAATTTCGATGTGATGATCAGAGCTGCATTCCCTCTCGATGGATCTGTGACCATATCAACGACTGTGGGGACAACTCTGATGAGCGGGATTGTGGTAACTGTCAAAGTTCTTTGAGAGGCTTTCCGTAGAGCCATGTACTAGGGTCAGCATATTTGACAGAAGCGGGGACTTCAAATGAGTGTTTGTAAGGTTTTTGTAGAGTAAAATGATTTTTGTGTAACTTATATAATATATAAACCTTAGCATTACGCAGTACTTTCTGATCTGTATTTTCTATGCTTTATCTTTAACTTACAGCAGTCTAGGTCAATAATAATAGGAGAAAATAGCAAGAGATTTTAAAAAATCTCATTTTAACTTAAACATTTCCTAGGAGCAGACTTTAATCTGCATTGCCCTTGGAAATAAAATAAAAACATTCATCTTCCTATTATTCCCCAGAAAGTGGCCCTAAGGGATATACTGCTGTAGCTCCCTGGTGTAGAGGTCGGGGCATTAGAATAGGAATCATCAACTCCAAGTAGTTTTTATAGCTCTTTACTGATTAAAGGTTGGGTTTGAGAAAAATCAGCAAACATTAAAAGTTGAGGAATTCAGATTTCTGAGGAAAAGCTTACGAGCTAGAGATTATTTAATAGAGGAGAGATGGGTACTTCCATCTCCATATCTTGAAGAGGGAAGGTGTGAATTTTGAGAGTTTATTTATTCGCTGGCTGTGGGTTTGCTGTGAGCCACTCATAGGATATGGATAGGAATGTGATGGGGTACTTACTGCACTCCGTGGAGCTCATAACTGTCTGAGAATGGCAAGGCCTCTGGGAATGACAGTCTTTTCTCTTCAGAGATGAGGACCTGCCATCCTGGATATTTTCAGTGTAATAGTGGACACTGCGTGCCTGACCAATTGAAATGCGATGGAATTGCTGACTGTCTTGATGCCTCTGATGAAGCCACTTGTCGTAAGTTGCTAGATACCTGTGCCACTGTTTATCTGAAATATATGGATATGGCAGTTTAGACCCTACCTCTCCCATCAGCCACCACTTCTTAGGTTAGAAGACCATAGGTATTTTCTCTTCAGCATTCATTGATAATTATCAGTTCACCTGGGATCTGAGTCACAATATCCATATATTTCACAACAGTCATTCAAGTACATTTTATTAACAATATTTTATTTTATTTTTTTTTTGGGGGGGCGGTGGTGAGGAAGATTAACCCTGAGCTAACATCTGTTGCCAATCTTCCTCTTTTTGCTGAGGAAGATTGGTCCTGGGCTAACATCCATGCCCATCCTCCTTTAGTTTGTATGTGGGATACCTGCCACAGCATCGCTTGATAAGTGGTGCATAGGTCCGCGCCCAGGATCCGAACCCGCGAACCCCAGGCCACGGAGGTGGAGCCCACCAACTTAATCCCTATGGCACAAGGCCAGCCCCTTATTAATAATATTTTAAATAGAGAATATATGAAGTATCTGTGCTAACAAAAGTATTTGTCTTTTATCAGTTACTATACAAATCATTAATTGGATAAAAACATTGTGGATAAAAGAAGAATATTTGAGCAATGAATATATGGATATAAAGAACTTGGGTTGGGTATTAGAACATACTGTATTTACAGCATTAAAATTTTTCTGAATTGCATGATTACATATAAAAAGTTATTTAAAAATGTAAAGTCAATATGATCATTCACACTTTAATCTTTATGAATCACTGAATAAATATTAACTGTTGATGATTATCCATGATGATATTTTTGGTGATATGGTTGCCACATCTTAAAACCTGGTTTCAAAGACACTATATAAATGGATGATGGGTAAAGCCAGTGCGGACGCTGAAGAGTTGCACTTGCCTATCGAGAGAATGTCTAGTGCTATCCATGTAATAACTCCTGTCATTGAAAACTGAGCATGGACAGCTGTCCTTAAGAAATATTCCATCAGAATTTCAGACAGTTTAAGGCCACAGTACATCTGAACGAATAAAGAAGAGCAGGCTATAATGGAAAGAGGTAAAGGAGAAATAGCAGGCTAGCTTTCCAAAACTAGCAACTTTTTCTAATAATTTGAATATGTTTCCTCCCCACCAACAGCCACTCGCTTTCCCAATGGTGCGTACTGCCCGGCTACTATGTTTGAATGTAAAAATCATGTCTGTGTCCAGTCGTCTTGGAAATGTGATGGAGATAACGACTGTGGTGATGGTTCTGATGAAGAACTTCATCTGTGCTGTAAGCGGGAGAGAAACAGAGTGAATGGGAGTGGTGTTGTCTGGCAAAATCTCAATGTTTCTTATGTGGTGCATGTGATCCTATAGGGCAGTTGTACAATTTTTGAGTACCAGGCCCATGATCTGTGTTACTGTGATTTCGCTTGGCCTTCCAGCTTAGTTCTCTATTTGAAACATGAGAAAGTTGGGCAGACATCCATGGTTTTAAACATTTTATGGCCTTAGAAAACAATTTCTTCAAAAGAAATCTTACTTGGAAGCCCAGTGTGCATAGATAGAGGCAGATCTGTTGTGGTTGAAGTCTGGTTGGGGTGGAGGTGTTGTACCTCTCCTGCTCCAGCCTACTTTCTGTGCCCCTCAAAGCACCTCCCTCCAAACCCCTAGAGCTTCATAGAACACCTTTAGGAAACTTTAAGACTAGTTAATTCATAAGGTCACTTCCCTTTACATCATAATTCAAGGCCTCTAATTCCTTTCTGTTGTATGATGCATGTTTATTTTTTAAACCAGTGAGTCTTGATTTGGATACATATCAGATCACTCGGGGAGAGGTGTTTCAAAATCACATGCCCTGGCCCCACCCCAGGCTTAGAATCCCCTAGGATGAACCAGAATCCCCTGGGATTGGGCCTGGACAAATGTATATTTAAAAAGCTCCTTAGCTTTTAATTTAGTCTCCTAGTTAAGAATTACTGATTAGAGTTTGTTTCAATCATTTTGAGTCATTGGAGAGCCTCTAGGGCAGTAATTCTCAAAGTGTCATTCCTGTACTGGGAGAGTCAGTATCTCTTGGGAACATGTTAGAAATGCAAATTCATGGGCCTACCCTAGACCTACCCAATCTGAATCTCTGGCAGTGGGGCCCAACAATCTCTGCATTTACAAGCCTTCCAAGTGATCCTGATGTAAGCTAAAGGTTAAGAATTTTATGTAAGTAAAAGTCCTCAACACAGGAGAAGGCACCCCCAGAAACATTCCTGCTGGAACTCTTGATTAGTTCTCAGTCTGACTCAGCTGCAATTTGCCTCTGAAGTTCACATCACTCTTCTGTTCTGCTTCTTAGATTCATCACTATTCGTTTTTAGCCCAGGGATTTGACTCTAGAAAATGCTATATCAGAGTATTTTCTTGCCTTCAGAGAACTTGAATTAACATACATTGTATTTTCACAGTGGCATCCCAACATTTTTCTTGCCACCTCTTTTCTTGTTAGGAACTACCATGTTTTGTCTTGTTTTTAACTTGATGCATCTTGAAAAATATCCTAAGCAAAGGTAACTTTCAAAGAAGTCCTTAGGAAGTTGCTTCTCTCTCTAAGAGAAAGTGCCCATAACTAGTAAAATTAAACTGTGGAGAGGCAGAGAGGCAACCATATTAAAAACTGACCAACACTGTTCTATAATGTTGCACTTGCCTTTCACAGCAAATAATTCTTGCAATAGTTCTATTAACAATACTTCTAAGAACCAGCTCTTGGATCTGACTTTTTCCCCCCAAACAACATCATTACAAGTCTCTCCTCTTGCTCCTTGTGTGTGGTGCAAAGGCAGAAAGAAAATCAAACAGCCAAAGTCCTTCATGAGGAAGAAGAACACATATGTGTGTTGAATTGTTGAGTTTACCGAGTTCCTGGTACATCCGTAGAGGACTATGCCCCCGCACCAAAGAAGTAAGGGAGCCAGGTTCTACCCTTGGATTCCTCGCAGGTGCAAAAGCATCAGCTAGAGATCTAACTCTGGACAACAAGATGAGTCAGGGTTTGATTGCAAGATATCAACTTTAAATGTAGGAGGGAAGGAAAGTCCATCATGGTATAAATCTTTATGCTCTGTTGGTTCAATGACAGCTGCAGTCAGAGGGACAAACAGTGGCCTCCTGGCTGTTAGGATAAGAGTCCATGTGTGGTCCTGCCGGCCTCTTGAGCCTCATACCATCAACATCCTCCTCATTCCGTGCTCCAGCCAGAGACCTTTATTCAGGTCCAAACACCTGCTATGTTCCTTCCTGACTCAGAATCTTCACGTGTGAAGCCTCTTCTGACTCCTCCTCCTCCTCGAGATCTATGTCAGGCCCCCCACAGTGGGTGCTTTCATAACACATCTCCTTTGTGGCTCTTATCACAGTTGTAACTGAATGGTTAATTTGTAAAGTCTGGTTAATTTGTAAAGTCTGTCTCTCCGCTAGCATGAAAGTTCCCTGAGGACGAGGACTGTGCCTTTCCTGTTCTGCATTGTATCTGGTGCCTAGCACAGTGACGTGGTGTGTACTAGATACTCAAGATGTATTTGTAAATTGGTTGATCGAATGAGCAAATGAACAGATGAATGAAGCAAGCCTGGTGCTGGCGTGGGAGTGTTTTAGATATTGACACTTAACGTTCTCCTCTTAACTTGTGCTTTTGTTTTTCCATCTTTCCTTTCAGTGAATGTTTCCTGTGAGTCACCACACCGTTTCCGGTGTGACAACAATCGCTGTATTTATAGTCACGAGCTGTGCAACCGTGTCGATGACTGTGGAGATGGAAGTGATGAGAAAAAGGAGAACTGTAAGCAAAAGTCAGAAGGGAGAAGAAAAAACTAGGGGCCCCAAATTGTTTGCAGTTTGCAAAATGTACCCCTGGGATTACAGTTTGTTCTCTAGAGGCTCATGCTGTGCTTATGACTGCAGATCTCTGCTGACGTAATTGTTTACAAGATTCTATAAACATATGCATTACTCAGATGCAACTCTTCCCTGCTTATTCTTATCTCATTTGAGCCAGATGTTGGCAGGTCCCTTCATTTTTTAGTCTTGGTTTAAGCATTCCGTAAGCTTTTCTTTCCTCTTTTCTCTTGCGAAAATGAAAACAAACACTTACACACTGGTTGAGTCACTTCACAAATTAATGGTTTATTTGTTTTCAAAGATGAGGTTTGGTTCCTCTTCAGCCTCGAGTTACTAATTATTAATCTAGGGACATGAACTTCTCAAGACCCAGCTGAAAAGATCATGCTAAGTATCGCAGCACTGGTGTTAGCAGAGCTTATCTAATATTCCTCTTTAAAATGAATATTCATTTCCCAAAAGAGAAAAATGATGGATTATTTTAAGATAGAAGTTTCAAACTGGCTGCATTTAATGTTTTAGATATTGAAAAATCTGTGCTTTTCCATTTTGAGAATGTTTTATAATCTATCCATTGAAGGAGAGAGTTGATTAATTTTCTGGGCAATTGAATTTACCTAGAAAAAAGTTGGTAAGGAAAATTATTTTCCCTGACTCCAATTACTTTTTTTCCTAAAAGGATGTTATGTGGGGAAATTGAGATAAATGCCTAATTTTTCTATTTTCCTTCCCTTGTATTGATGTGGCCTTGGAGTGCTCACTGCCAGCTCCCATCCCAGAGGGGGCTGTAGGTCAGGAGGTCTTTGACACTATTGCAATGTTCAAGTTTGTACCCCCCCCCCCCCGGCTTTTTTTTGTGGCAGAGATGAACCTGTGGTTATAACATTGTTAATATGTTTATTTGAGGCATAGCTCAAAAGGATGAAAACCCAGAAATAGAACATAAAAAAAAAAAAATGCGAGCAGGTTTCCCCTTCCCCTTTTCACTTCCCATTTCCCCTGTTAACAAATGCCATATTTTACACCATTGTCTTTATTTTAAAAAGGTTACAGGTAACACACACAGTCACATGCATGTGCTCACACACACACGAAGGTGATGTAGATAGACATAAAGAAAAAGTGATTTGAAATCTCACCACCTAGACAAAATACTACTAACATTTACATCCTTAAATCTTAAGATTCCTTCATGTGGTGGGCTGGCCCAGTGGTGTAGTGGTTAAGTTCTAGTGCTCCGCTTCGGCAGCCAGGGGTTCACAGGTTCGGATCCTGAGCACGGAACCACGCACCGCTTATCAAGCCATGCTGTGGCAGGCATCCTACATATACAAAAAAGGTAGAGGAAGATGGGCACAGATGTTAGCCCAGGGCCAATCTTCCTCAGCAAAAAAGGGAGGATTGGCAACAGATGTTAGCTCAGAGCTAATCTTTCTAACACAAAAAAAAGATTCCTTCATGTGTACGATATCAATTTAGAATATATATATATATGGAATCTATTACACAAACTGCCTTGTAAACATATTTTAAAAATTTTTAGCTGCATAGAATTGCATTTAGTCATTTTTAATATGTTTAATTCCCAGTTTTTTGTTTTTCTTTCATTGAGGTAGCATTGGTTTATAACATTACATAAATTTCAAGTGTACATCATTATATTTCGACTTTGGCATAGACTACAACATGTTCACCACCAAAAGTCTAGTTGCCATCTGTCACTGTACACATGTGCCCCTTTACCCCTTTTGCCCTCCCCCCTGCCCTCTTCCCCTCTGGTAACCACTAATCTGTTCTCTGTGTCTATGTGTTTGTTGTTTTATCTTCCACCTATGAGGGAAATCATACGGAGTTTGGCTTTCTCTGTCTGACTTATTCTGCTTAGCATAATACCATCAAGGCCCATCCATGTTGCAAATGGCAAGATTTCATCCTTTTTTTAAGGAGCAAGGCAATTATAGCACATGGTCAAATCTGAGAGTGGAAAAAGAGGTAGTAAACTTTTATTCTTCCCAAGGAGCAGGATGTTAGAGGAATCACTGCTAGCCATCACAATGGACAAACTGCAACATTTCCATGGCTTAAAACAGCAGAGGTTGATTTCTTACTCATGTAAAGTTTGATGAAGGTCAGTCAGCCCTCCTCCGTCCTGTAATTATGCCATCTGGAACACATAGTCTTCAAGGTTGCCAGGGCAGGAGAAGAGAGAAATGGAGGAGGCACACAGGTTCTTAACTTCCTGGGCCTGGAAGTGACAGACGTTGCTCCTGCTCACAGTCCTTTGGTTGGAACTAGTCACATGGCCCCAATCTAACTGCAAGGGAGACTGTGAAACACAGTGAATACCAATTGTTTCTACCACAATTTACCCTTGTGTCACTAAACATCCCTTTACACTTTTCTTTCTGTGCATAGAAGACCCTTAACCTGTCCCCAAAGGATGTAACTCATAATCCCATTCAGTAACTGAAATCCAGAGCTCTGGATCATAGGCATTAATCACGCCTTCAGTTGCAGATGTGGTTCCTCTTGGTCTGGAGACCCATAAACTAATAGACTAGTTTTATTTATGCCCCCTGCCCCCAACAGATAGTGGTAGAACAGGGGAAGCATAATAGAGATAAACGAACGTTCTTATTGGGAAAGAAAGAATTAGAGACTCATCACCATCACCAGTCTGTAGCAATTCTTAAATGCCACTGGGGTAGGGTGACACATGTTGGCCTAGGGCAGTCCTGATTTATGTCTGTTGCCCTGGTGGAATTATTAATAGTGCCCCTTCCACTCTCAAAAGCATACTGACTTGGAGTCTCTCATGCACCTTTGTCTCAACTGATTGTCAGTTACATTCAGGCCATCTAGAAAAATGGATGAGCAGTCGTTTTTAGCCAACTAAGAGGTTTTACTGGGCCTTTGTGTCTCAAAGCCTTTTAAACTCAGACTCTTACTGTTTGGGATCTAAATGCAGTTGGCTTTTCCCACAGTGCAAATTCCTGGACTTTATTTTCTTTCATTTCTGCTTGTAAATCAACCACTTCCTCCCTGACCTTATCTCTTTCTTATATATCTTGCCAAACTCAGGTAACAGCAAGCAGTGCTCGTTTACTAACTTCTGTTTTCCAACCTCTTTCCCTAGATTGACAAGTTCGGTGAGCACATGGTCTGCTTTCCAGTTTTTCTAAGCTCTACCAAATGTTTTGCCATTGCATAACACAGGTCTCCATCTTTCCTGCCTCCAATATCACTTTCCTCATTGCTTGCCTCCTCACTTTGATGCCAATGACAAATATTTTAGGTTTTTGTTATGAAAGTACCCTACTTATATATTATCCAGGGTAATTAATACTTGCTGCCGCAACCAACAAATTCCAAAATTTCAGTGGTGTGACATGACAAAAATTTATTTCTTACTCATGTAAAGGCCAATGCAGGTTGCACAGCCCTCCTCCTTCTTGCAGATCGGCCACCTGAAACACATGGCTTCGAAGGTTGCCAAAGCAGGGAGGCACATGGGTTTTTAATTGCTTCGGCCCAGAAGTGGCGCCTGTCATTTCCAACTCATAATCTGTTGGCCAGAACTAGTCACATGGTCCCAACATAAGAAATGCAGGGAAGCACAGGCTTATTTGTGAGCAATAACTGTGTCTGCCGCAGAGGGAAGCATCTTGTTCCACAGAAGAAAAAGTTTGACTTTAACTTGTTCTTAAATTATAGGTGAAGGTGCGACCCCTAGACCTTGTAAAGAAGATGAATTTAAGTGTAGCAATGGACATTGCATTTCAGAGCACCTGGTATGTGATGATTTCGATGACTGTGGTGACCATTTTGATGAAACGGGTTGCAGTAAGTAAACATTTATTTTTATACTTCATTGTAGTAACTCAGGTTTACCTAATGAAAGCATGCAACGATAATGACATAATTCTCTTTAATTCACTTTGTGCTCTGAACTGCAGTCCAGCCCATAGCTACCTGTTACTGAACACTTGTTCCATACCAGACATTGTGCTAAACACTACACTGGTTTTCTTGTTTCATCCTTGTAACAATCCTATGAGTTAGGTATTATTCTCTCTCTCTTTTAAACAAATGAGGAAACTGGTTTAGAGGTTAAATAAATTGGCCATGTCCTCCTGCCATGAAGAGATTGAGCCAGGATTTGAACTCTGATCTGCCTCACTGAAGAGCAATCCTCTTCCCAGTGCACTAGGTGCCTCTCAGGACCTTAAAGCTGCATATTTTGTTTATCAGTCTGCACATTTTTTCATCTTAAGCCAAATGCAGTATCTTTGGCCTTTAGTGGAAGAGCTTCTAAGGGTGGTTGGTAAGGATGGGAATGTCACAGGGGACCTTGGAAGGAACATTTATTTTTATGTTTAAAGTAGAGGAGGGACTTTGTGTTGGAAAAGGATGATGAACATAACCAAGGGATGGTTCTAGCTCAATATTGTGATGGAAATGTTGGAATGTCATGCTATTAATTCACGCCTTTACAGTCCTTTATGGCTCCTAGGAAATGCTTTCACGTGGATTATCTAATTTGTCACTCAGGCTAGCCCCAGTGGATCACTGTTATTATGTCTATCTATATAATAAAGCTCAGAGAGCTTAAGTAACTTGCTTGAGGTCACACAGAGTGGCAGAGGCAGAATTTGAACAGTCCTATGACTCCAGGCTAAGAGAGCTGGCCTCTAGTTCCTCTGCCACTCGCTGTGCCACTTTGGGCACATACTGACCTCTCCAGGCCTCAGTTTCTTCATAGGAAAAAGGAGCGAGTTCTTCAAACTCAAGGAGCCTGTGACTTATTCGCTTTAGTTAGCTCCACATGGTTTCAACTTCTTGGGCTTTAATTGCTTTTTTCTGAGGCATCCCAAGGATTTCCTGGTAACTTTTCTCCTGTGTGGGCTACAAAGGAAGATAAATAACCAGCCATATTGAGTTGATTTGCCATTTATTTCACACACTTTCTCAGTGAGGCTTGGAGTTTTTGACATAATAAAGTGAGATAATTAAATATTTAAAAAGCACGAACACAACATGATTTGCAAAACTGGATGGTATTTGGGTTCTGATCCCCAGAGACTGGTATATGAATGGTTCCAGGAGTGTGGAGTGTTTCCACGTTGGGCTTCGGTCAAACATTGCTTTCTCTTTTAGTTGCCCATGCCAATTAAAAGGCTTAAAATCGACTACAGTACTTCTTATTCAAATGACATTTAATTAAAAGCAGGGTTTATTTAAAGGAACCAAGTAGCACAGACATTAATTTAGGTATGGAAGCAGCATTTCTTTTCAGATATTAAGTGGATATGTGATACAGAATTCAGTCTTACTGCAGTGGGCTAATAATTCAGCTGAGACATAGAATTCTTGTTTAAAATACCAGTTCTTAGGTGCTGCTAATCCACTTGCCTTTCTTTTCTTTTCCTTTTCTCCTTTTCCTCTTCCTCCTCTTCCTCCTCTTCCTCCTCCTTCTCCTTTTTCTTTTAAACAGGATCACTGAGGTGTTTTGAACATATGTTTGCTTTTTAAAAAATACTTTAAAATCAAGAAAGACATTAATATTTTTCTAGCACCATTAAGGTTTAAAGGGAAGAAGTTAACCTCAGGTTGCAAATATTATTTACGTGATTATAAAGGTAGATTGACTTGCTGTTTCTCAGTCAGGTAGTTCTTATTCCTTCTTCATAAAATGGAAAATAAAGTTTCTATCTTATAAATAGAGCATCATATGTCTGGGTTGAGGGACTCTGTTGTTATATGGATTAAAATGATTGTTTTCAAATGAAAGAAGTTACAAGAAAGTCCTCAAATTTAAGGAACAATCTCATAACGCTATGTGATTTCTGCTCTTGTTAAGGACTGTTGCTTCACAAGAGTACAACTCACTCAACGGAGCACTTGGTCCAGAACTTTTTACCTCCTGGGACCCCTAATCATATTATAGATTTTAGAGCTGGGAGGACATTATAGAGCCTAACTATGTACGTGAGACTCAGAAAGGTTATATGACTCTCTCAAGGCTATTCAAGTTGATAAAAATAGTTCACAGTTGTTGAGCAATGTAGAGGAGACATCACTACCAACCTTACAGAAACTTAGAAGATAATAGGAGAATACTATGAGAAACTTCGTGCCAAAAAATTAGACAACTTAGGTGAAATGGACAAATTCTTAAAAAGACAGAAAATGCGGAAACTGGCTCAAGAAGAAGTAGAAAATATGAATAGACTTATTTTGCAATATGTCATTGTTAAGAGCTCAGACTAGACCTTTATTGTAAGGCTTTTATGTATACAGCTTTGAAGTATGAACTGCAAGGGGAGCATTTTATTGAATGTCATTGTGCTTTATTTTGTAGTTATTTTTCTTTTTTAAAATTCAATGTTTTTAGTCTATTCAAATCACATATACTTATATCATCATTGTGCCCTGAGGGACCCTGAGAAGTGATTAAGTTCACCTCATTGCCTACTGTAGAAGACAGATAGATAGAAATATATTTTTATTTGAAAGAATTCAGCCAGGAGATACCACAGTCTCTTTAGCTAAAATATTCAGAAGGCTGTGACCAAGAGACATTTCATTTGAGAGTAGATGAAGCTTGGATCCCTTATGGAGATAACCACCACCCCATCCCGACCCCCATTATCACATAGATGTGCAAAAGTATTTCTGAATATTTAAAAAATTTTAAAGGAATATTCTATACTAGTGTTACAGTCGTTTTCTCCACTCTTATTATAGCTATTTCCCATGTTAAAGTATTGTTTGAAACCATGAATTTTAATGATTACATAGTAATTCTTCATGTAGATAATCCTAACTCATTGATTCTTAAGATGCATGTTTATTTTCACATTTGAACATCTCTGAAACCAGGATGCATCTTACAATTGACAACAAGCCATAGTGTAAGTCCTAGACTTTTTCTATTTTAGTGTTACATAAAATAATGGTGCATCAGTGGTATCTTAGATTTGGTAAAATACAATATGTCATAATTTCTTTCCTATTGTTGAATGTACATTAAAGTTGTTTCCAAATTTTCTTATTATCAATAACACTATACCTTAAACATGAATCATAGTGCAGATTTTTTATTCCTTCTTGAGGGAAAATTTATTAACCTGGAATAATTGGGTAAAACAGTGAGTATTTTTAAAGTCCTTGATACAAACATGTTGCAAAATTCCTCACACACACACACACACACACACAACAGCATTAAAGATAGTGGAGCAGATGGTGACAGTTGTAAAGAGCCTCTGGCTTCATAGTTCTGGAGTCCAGAATTTGGATGCTCTGTGGGTGACCCTGGCAGTGCTGAGTATAATGGGAAATTGCCTCAAGGATCTAACATTGCATCCATTTGTGTAAATGGCATTCAGGCCATTACCAGATATCTAAATACAGAGGCCCCCAATCCTCTACAAAGCGTTATGGAAAGGGGTCATCTCAAGATGTCCTAGGGCCGGCCCCGTGGCTTAGCGGTTGTGTGCAGGTGCTCCGCTGCTGGCGGCCCGGGTTCGGAGCCCGGGTGCGCACCGATGCACCACTTCTCCGGTCATGCTGAGGCCGGGTCCCACATGCAGCAGCTGGAGGGATGTGCAACTGTGACATGCAACTACCTACTGGGGCTTTGGGGGAAAAAAATAACTAAATAAAATTATAAAAAAAAAAAAAGATGTCCTATAGTTGGCTATGGGTAGGTGTTCCTTCTGATATACCACTTGACTGTTTATTTGTGGCTTACTTGGTTTATACTTTTCATTTGTAATGCTGGAATTTTGGTTTTCAGATACAGGAAAAGAAAGATCATGTGCTGAGAATCTATGTGAACATAATTGTACCCAGTTAAGTGAAGGAGGATTTATCTGCAGCTGTAGACCTGGGTTCAAAGCCAGTATTTTGGACAGAAACTCCTGTGACGGTAGAGTATATTTCCTCCCTTTCCTGTTAGGAGAACCTTGTACTTTTCAGATTCTGCACTCATTCCCTTTTATTAAACCAGTGTTTAATTCCCTTAATGGGGCTAAACACATGGTTCTACCTCATTAAAATACTCAGGTGCACCAATAACTTTACTGTTAGAGGGTGATGATCAGTTCTGAATGAGGTTGTTAGCTATACATTCCTGACTATATATAACCAATAATGACAAGTGTCAAGATCTATTTTCCTCATTAACTTCTTGGGTCATGAGAAAAAAAAACAACACTTGGATGCCGATTTCTTTTTTTCCATGCCGTCTTAACAGTGCCTAGCAGAGCGCTGGGCAGATAGCTCATCCTTGGTAATGTCTGCGGAATTGATATGATATATGAAGGCCTTGGTGATGATAGCTGCTTATTGTATCAGTGTGTGAGATGAAAGGTTTTTTAACAAACACAAGTCCTACTTTCTTCATCTTAAGTCAAACAACATATATTTATTATGCATCTACTTATGTCAGACATGAATGAATTCTAAGGTATGGAGTTGGAGGGTATCTTATCAAGACGGTAAGTGATAAGTATGCTTTTCAGTGTCTGGTTATTTGAATTTACTGTTTCTAATTCATCATCATGTGCCATACTCAGATGACTGGAACAGTTCTTTTGGAAGCTGGAGCTTAAGAGCTCAATAGAAAAACTAAAGCAATGACTCCTATTCCTGAAGCTAGTTAGCAAAAAGGAATTGGTTCCAAACAACAACACAACAGTTGCTTCCCGAAAGGGGAAATTTTGTTCTGCTGTTGTACAGAGTCAAACTGCTTCAGTTTAAACTCTGTCTTTACCACTTACCAGCTTTGGGACTTGGGGTTTAATGATAGTTCATACCTCATAGAGTCTTTTTGGAAGATTAAACGAGGAAAAGACATGAAAAGCATGTGAAACAGTATCTGAAACTTGGTAAGTATTCCACAAATGTTGGTATCATTGCTTATTTTCATCTACAATCTTCTCGGTTCCAATTGCTTATGAATATGGATTTAAACAGAAGCAAGGTCTCTAAGGAATGGACGGGAGCAGATGTTGCATATTTGGTTTTATTTTGCCTACAGACATCAACGAATGTGAGCAATTTGGGGTTTGTCCCCAGAACTGCCAAAATACCAAAGGAAGTTATGAGTGTTCCTGTGCCGAAGGCTTCAAGTCTATGGGTGACCACTATGGAAAACGGTGCGCAGCTGATGGTATGACGGGTTCATGTGGGGATTAATTGACTTTCGGAGAAATAAATGCTGATGAGTATAATATACCAGAAAATAAACTTTAAACTCTCAGAGTCTTATTTTTATTTTATTTTTTTTTGTGAGGAAGACCAGCTCTGTGCTAACATCTGCCAATACTCCTCTTTTTTTTTTAGCTGAGGAAGACTGGCCCTGGGCTAACATCCATGCCCATCTTCCTCCACTTGATATGGGACACCGCCACAGCATGGCTTGCTAAGCGGTGTGTTGGTGCGTGCCCGGGACCTGAACCAGTGAACCCCGGGCCGCCGCAGCGGAGTGCGCGCACTTAACGGCTTGCGCCACCGGGCCAGCCCCTCAGACTCTTATTTTTAATTCACCAGTTACTTCTCTTCCAACACACATCCAGTCTCTTCTCTTTCTTCTCCTGATTAAAACAATAACTGCAATCTCCTAAAAATACGTAGGAATTAAAACAAGAGTCAGATGTGACTTATTATTCTTGCCTTAGCCTCTTGTCCACCTTGATAAAAACTTCAGAAAGTGGGCAAGATGTCACTCTCCAGAAGATTCAAACAATAAAACTTTCCTATAGAATGGTCGTCAACAGAAGGAAATTAATGAAGCCCTCCAGCTCCCACTCCACTGAGATCAAGGTTTGAGGCTCTGTAATCCAAGACGGGTCACAAAAAACAGTCACATTCAATTGGGGCAAATCAAGGACGTTGTTGACATTTCCCTTTATATCATTCATGGACTACTGATCACAGAGAGAGAGAGTCTGGCTCATTCATAACTTCAGTCATTAGATCTACATTTTAGGTTAATGCCAGTATCTGAGAATCAGGCCTGATAGAAAGCAGTAATAAGTATTAGATAGAAATGACAAAAGAGAAAGACTGTAAGACAGAGGTATTATAATCCAAATTTCCACAAGTCTGATCTAAATCAGCATATCTTGGTTAAAAGGTGTGGGTCTTTATGAGCTTACAGATTTGAATTTGCAGTTTGTATTGGAGTTTAAGGAACTTGATAAGAAAATAGCATTTTATTTTGCAAATTAAGAGTGAAATGGCTGTTCAATTTCTTCATACAGATTGGACTTTTAAAGCATACATTTGACTGGCATACTTAAATGTTTTACCCTCCAAACATTTCTGACACCAAATGAAAACCAGGGTAAAGGCATTTGAACAGTTGTTTGGTAATTAAGCAGCAAATTAAAAAATGTTTAAATCTTTTAACTAAGATAACCGAAATAAATTAGAATATTCATATAAAACATAATGTCAAGATAGAAGAAATATATAAAATGAACTTTTGAAAGTTACTGAAATTGGATGCATTGACATTATGAAATTAAATTTAAATAATTCTAGACAATGCATGTCAGGATGAGTCACCATTTACATAGCTGCTTTAAGTAAAAAAATTTTTTTAAAAACCAAGAACACACTGTTTTTTGTCATTAGCTAGAAGCTAAATTGGGTCATGGAGCTGATTACCTGCTGAAAGGATCATAAAAATCTGTCAGCAAGGAGTAAAGAATGAGGACTTCCTGGTAAACTTTTAGTAAGATTATACATATTGTATTTCTTCTGTGAGACTGAATGTCTACAATCTTGTCTGTTTTATTGTCAGTGAATAAAAAAAAAATAAGTGGAAAAGAGGAAGCTATCTAGGGGGTCTCAGTCTTTCCTTGCTCTAAACTGTTGCCCACTAAGGACAAAGAATAAAGAACTGATAATATTCCTAACAGAAATGTTAGCTTTCCACCTGAAATGGAGACAAGAATGTCTACAGTATGGATTTTGCAACCCAGTGGGATGGTCAGCTCTCTTGATTAGCAGAGATGGTCAGATTCCTATAAAAATTCATTTTTTTTAAAGGAGGAGAGGATTCCTGCTATTTTATATCCTACTGTATACAAATAAAAAAGTTTAGGTAGAATTCAAACAATAAAGCAGCCCTTCATTTGTTTACAGGTAACCCTCCTTTGTTCTTGCTGTCTGAAAACGTGCGAATTCGAAAATATAATCTCTCTTCTGAGAAGTATGGAGATTATCTTGAAGATGAGGAACATATTCAGGCTATTGATTATGATTGGGATCCTGAAGGCATAGACCTCAGTGAGTATGAACTTTGGCCTCTGTCATTGATATTAATTGAATTATAACGTATTGAACTTCGGGGAATTTATTTTTTAATGAGTGAATTTTGTTGCATGGGTGGAAGAGGATGCCCCACCTATCTAGCATGCTCCAGACACCTGAGCATGGCCATGGGTTCCAGCCAACCTTTCCTGACTTCTCACCAAACCTTTTCCCATCTCTGGGGATTATCCTTTCAGGACAACCTCATATCCCTTTGTTTAATATCTCCTTGTCTTTGTTCATGCAGGTCTTGTTCATCCCCACCATTGTATACTTAGAAAATTTCTACTCAAACTTCAAAGACCCACTTCAAATGTCACCTCCTCTGTGACATCCTCTATAATTCCTCCTGGCACAGTTCCATGATTGTTCACTCATGAGCCTTGAGCATTTTATACATGCTTTTACTAAAGCACATGTTACATTGAGTTATAGCTAGTGGTCCACATATTTTTCTCCCTACCCTTAACCATGTGCTCTTTGGAACTAGAGATTCAATCTAATTCATGTCTACATGCCCAGCACCTGACCCAACATCTGGTGCAGTGTATGTGGTGGGTGCTTAAAAGATTTAGTTCAGTGAATGAAAAAATGAATAATGCTTTCTGTTGAGTCTCTCATGGCTCTGTATGGTATGTGGAAGATGGTAATGGAGCAGGAATCAGAAAACTTGTCTTCTATGCCTGCTCCCTCATCCACTTTAAATAACTGACTTTAAATAATTGTAACAAATCTCTAGATCTCCATTTCTTATCTGTAAAATAAGAGCAGTAGCCTTGTTCTGCCTGCCTACCTCTGAGAGTTGTTTTGAAGATCAAATGAGATAAGAGATGTGAAAATGCTTTGCAAACTGTCAATAACTATGCAATGTAAGATTTATTATTGTTGTTTTCACCCTGTGTTATGCAATACAATAAGCTTTTCAAGAATGGTGTATACCTAGGAGAGTATATGCCTTAAAAGTCACAGTCTTCCTATGCTTTTAAAAATGCCTATGTTATAAACCAATGTTATTGCAATAAAAAAATTAATTAATTAATTAAAAAAAATGCCTGCTGTCCACTATCCTTTATTTAGTCTGTGCATAAAATAGGACTTCCCATCCACGTGGCTCCTTTATTTCCAGTTATTGAGTATGGTTTCAAACTCTCAACAGCCTGCCTCTGGTTTATCTATACATTCTGTTTTGGAAAATGGAACTTGATCCTAATGAGAGCAAATAGGCTCTTGACTGAAATATATTTCAATAAATTACCTTCAAATAGGGACGACTAAGTCAATATTGATGTTATCAATTGAAGCATTTGTAGCTAATAGCTCAAGTATGATAGGTTTTGAGATTTGATCATATTGGTGTAATTGAATTATTAGTATTATAGGAACAATGAGGAGGTAGAGATGTGAACAGCACGTCACATGATTAGTCCCCGGTTCCTCCATTACCTGATATTCTTGACATGAAACTGACCTGTGTGTCTTGCCTCTGCAGGTGTTGTATATTACACTGTGCTAGGACATGGCTCTAATTTTGGTGCTATCAAACGTGCCTACATCCCCAACTTTGAATCTGGCAGCAATAATATTGTGCAGGAAGTTAACCTGGACTTGAAATACATAGCACAGCCAGATGGGTTAGCAGTGGACTGGGTTGGACGGTAAGTTTAGCCATATTCTCCTCTTGCCTATTCTATTTTCCTGGCCAGAGCTCACTACTTCTCACCTGGGCATATGAGTTAAACTGGACTCCGATAGGGGTACACTCAGCCGCTGGTGCAGCTGGGTGTTGCCTGGGCTTGGTCTAGCCCCAGTGACCACCTCTACTTACCCCAGCATGTCATATAAACATGATCATTTCCTATATTCTATGTATGCCATGAAAAAGTTTGGGAAAGCACCAAGATCAAGATTCTATATTATATCTAGTAGGAGAGCATTCTTGCCAACAGAGTTCTGGAGTCCAAAATTAACTTTCAGTGTGGCGACACTGTTCATTTTGTGAAGAAATGGGGCAGCCTCACAATTCTCCCAGCAAAGCAGTTGAGATGAAATATTTTTCTCTGTTGTAATTATTTCAGGGAGGAACAATCCACATCTTGTGTTTTTAGCAGGCTATGTCGTCTGAACAGATTTTGAAATTTGACTTTCCTGTTTAATCTTTCAGTTTTTTGTTAGTAGAGGTGTTGGGTCTGTTCTGCTCTTTTAGACCTTCTAGAACCCCAGGGACCAGAGCCACACATTTTGGATGATTCCTAAGTAAGAACCTTAAGTAGATTTATTGTCAGGTTGATGCGTGAGATGCAAACTGATGTGGAAAAGTCAGTAAGCTTCTTCTTCAAGGAAGAGCCTTACATTGCAGTCACATTTGTGGGAAAGTGTCTAATCTAATCACATTAGATTAGAATCAGAGCTCAAGCATTCATAGAATCCCCTATGTCCTTGAAAATGAATTAATAATGGAAAAATGTTTGACAGGGAAGGCTCTGGGGCTTACTGCCCTCTGGGAGAATGGACAGTCATTTGCAGTATAAATTAATTTTCACCTTTTAACAAACTTGTTTGGTCTTCCTGGAAGACTGGAGCGTCTCTGAAGAAGTTAATTAGGTCCCCATTGTGCCTGCAGGCCAACAGAAGACTCATTTCAGTGCTTTCTGTCAGGAAACAAGGCCTCAGAGAGTCAGGAACTTGAAACTCTAGACTTTAGCACTTCCTTCTGAAAACCAACCAGGCAATGGCAAATCTGTCTGCTTCTTTGAAGTTTTACCTCTTTCTCGGCCTTCATGAATAAGTGAATTTAGAAACTGATGGAACTAAGACCTGCAGCCTTAGGGATGAAACAAGGGCAGGACGGCCTGGCTGAGTTTGTTATTTTGAAAGGCTATTTCTACCCATCCTTGGAATTGATGCCAGATTCCTATTGATTCCAATGGGGCTCTTGGCAGAGGAGGAAGCAGACTTATGGGCATTCAGAATTTAAAGGGCCAGCCCAACAGTGCCTTAAGACTTCTACCTGGAAGGACATGTCACATAATAATGTCAGAGGTGAGGTCCACCATCATTACTGATCCTGGATGATTCAGCTGCTTTGGCTGATCAGGCAGGAGTCTCCTCCATGCCTCATTCCTCCACTTGTAACCTTCCAAAGATATCCCATTGGCTGAAGAGATTGGGGGCATTTCTGAGGGAGGGAGACTGTGGCTCCAATCACTGGTATCTGAGTAGCTATCTTGCCAGCCAGAACTTCCAAACTATGTGCTCTCATCTTCAAACCTCCTTCCCAGAAGTGACCAGTCCAGATTCTTCAGCTGTTTAACTTTGTCCCTCTAAATTCAGGCATATTTACTGGTCAGATGCCAAGAGTCAACGGATCGAGGTGGCTAAACTTGATGGAAGATACAGAAAGTGGCTGATTTCCACCCAACTGGATCAACCAGCCGCAGTGGTTGTGAATCCCAAACTAGGGTAAGTAGTTGAAGGAATCTTTAATGTTCTAGATATTTTCCACTGGATTCTCAAAAAATTACGTCTTTAATTATTTTCTCCCAACTGTAGTGAAATTGTTCTTGGACTTTTTTCGAGTGGTCTCTATGACTATTTTTAAAAATTATAATATACCCTAAAGATCATTTAGGACCAACCAGACTTCAGACTGGTGCTATATGGGGGGAAGGCCTCTGGCTACATTTTTTCCAGAGCCTAGCTTGTCTAAAATTCACACATTCCTCAACAGAATTTAAAGATTGGTCTATACCTGATGATTGGTTTAGACTAGAGGCTGCAAAGTGGTGGCTGGTGGGCTAAATATGGCCCATAGACATATTTGACTTGAACTACACAGAGCTTTACACTTTTTGTTGTTGTTTTTTTAATTTAGTTGCTAACATTTAAAAGTTTTTAAAAAACTGTATTTTTGGCTTGAAAAATCAGAAGAACTAATAACACTAGGTAGGTATGCCTTCCTTGATGCAGTATTGCCTGGACCTTTTAGACAGGGCCTTGCTCTCCCCCTCACTGGACGTTCATAACTGCTCTGCTCCACTCATTTATTTTGCCTGCCTGGTCCTTTCCAGGTATTTGAAGTGGTACAATCCCTGGTCTACTCGATTCTTCTCCCATTAAGTATTAGTTGGATGAAAAATAATACATTTAAAAAAAGTTCGAATGTAGCCTCTATGAGGGTAGGAATTTTTGTTTTGTTCTCTGATACATCCCAAACACAGGACAGTGCCCCTCACACAGTAGGCCTTCAATAAATATTTTTTGAAGAATGAGCAGCTTTTGTAATTATATATTTTGGAGGGTCTGAATGTGTATCCTTGGATAGGGCTGGCTGATTTCTATTGAGGAAGTACAGTTTTCAGGAAGGATAGACCACAGGTGTGCCGGCTCCCCCTTTTCCCTGTCTTCTGTAAAGTTTAAGAATAGCATCATTTAGTACCCAGGCCTCTGTGAAAACTAGCTGATTTCCCTGCTGGAAGTCTATGCTCCGTTTTAGTGGAGAAGCTCTGCTCGATGAAATGCTGCAGTGAGAAAACCTTCTGTTACAGGCTTATGTACTGGACTGACTGGGGCAAAGAACCTAAAATCGAGTCTGCCTGGATGGATGGGCAGCATCGGAGCACCCTGGTTGATGAGGACCTTGGTTGGCCAACCGGCCTTTCTATTGATTATTTGAACAATGACCAGATCTACTGGAGTGACTTCAAGGAGAACGTTATTGAAACCATGAAACATGATGGGACTGATAGGAGAATCGTTGTAAATGCAGGTCAGAAATGAGTTAGAATTTAATATATTAAATAATCAATTAATATATTTCCCATTCTCTGTGCCCATTTTCTCAAGAAGGATACCTGAGCTTAGAAAATGGTTTGGGCCGGCCCCATGGCTTAGCGGTTAAGTGCGCGCGTTCCGCTACTGGCGGCCCGGGTTCGGATCCAGGGCGCGCAGTGATGCACCGCTTCTCCGGCCATGCTGAGGCCGTGTCCCACATACAGCAACTAGAAGGATATGCAACTATGGCATACAACTATCTACTGGGGCTTTGGGGGGAAAAAAGGAGGAGGATTGGCAATAGATGTTAGCTCAGAGCCGGTCTTCCTCAGCAAAAAGAGGAGGATTAGCATGGATGTTAGCTCAGGGCTGATCTTCCTCACACAAAATAAATAAATAAATAAAACTGTTAAAAAAATATTAAAACAAAAAAGAAAGAAAATGGTTTATATTGTTTCTTAGAAACCACTCTGCTGGACTCTGAGCTGCTGATTTAAATTCAAATGGACCCATTAGCAATAATTAAGCACTTTTTGTTCTTTTTACATAAGTTTTTTAAAAAGGCTCTCAGCAGCAGATATTGAAATAACCAAATTTCCAGTTAGGTTGCCCTGACAGAGATGGCATTCATGTGTGCCAGTGGTAATCCATGTCTAACGACTCCTAGATACATTAGTCTTTAATGTGCTAGATTGCTTATTTTGTACAACTGGAAATGTCTAGAAGGAGAGAAGCACTTTGTTTTCTCATCTAGACTCTGCAGAACTGCAATAATCAGCACATATCAGGTTTTTGTAAGCTGTGTCTTATGGTCCAAGAAAAAAACAAAATCTCTGCCATACAAATTGTTTATTAAAAATAAAATAAAATCAGCAACTTGAAAGTGACCAAGTCCGCTATAATTTGTGTCAGCCAGTAGTTTAATTTCTGTCATCTTGATGTCCCATGCAGCACGCTTTCACGATCACATGTACAGAAAGTCTGCCTGAATGTTCCTGGAATTTCAAGGCATTGGATTAGGGATTAATTCAAGCAGAATGACATTTAACATAAAAGTGAGGCTAGGGTATTTTCTTTTCAATAACCTTGTTTTGCTTTTCCCCTGTGGGTAAGCAGCAATGAGCCCTTATAGTCTGGACATCTTCGAGGGCGAGTTATACTGGATATCTAAGGATAAAGGAGAAGTATGGAAGCAAGATAAGTTTGGGCGAGAAGAGAAAGAGAAAATGCTGATAGTGAACCCATGGCTCACTCAAGTTCGAATCTTTCAGCAATATAGATATAATCAATCAGGTAATCACCAACCTTGGAATATGATGTTCCTTATTATCTGGAAACCTTATTTCAAATTAATGGCTATATTGTTGGAAAGTGGTAGTGGATAATAGGCTGATCTCTTGGTGCATGAAAGAAGTGTGTCTGTGTGTGCGCGTATGTGTCTATTTTAACCATTTGACCAAAGAAAGATAAAATTGGAGGTCAAATGAAATTATGCACAGTACCAGCAGATATGAAGGAAAAATATTTCCATCCTCATTGTGTTTGGAGTTATGGGTGTGTACTTCTAGGCCACAGAATCCAGCAGTCATCAGGCCCCTGCAAAATGTGAACTGGGTTGACAGGTCACAAAATGGGTTTCATGGACATCAGAAGTCTTGCCTACTCTTGGAAATTCATCCTTCACCATTTTATGGAGTAAGGTGAAAGGGAAGGGAAATCTTTGAAGTGAGGGAAGGAAATAGACTAAGTTCTCTATGTCAGATTCTCTCTTCAGTGTTAACCCAGACATCTGTTACTTCAATTAATCTTCTCCAAAACTGTTTAAAGAGGTTTTGTTCTTATCTCACAAATAAGGAAACTGAGGGTAGGAGAGATTTAGTAACTTGTGTGCCTAAGTCACACAACTAAAGGATGAGTTTTAAACTCAGAAATGATTTTTAGATTCAATTCCTTTTAACTCCAAAGCTTAGTGTCTTTCTGTTCTGGTCCAATTATCCGTATATCTAGTTCCAGATTGAATTCTATGGCTGTGTGGCCTTTGACAAGTTACTTCCCTTCCCATCCCTGTTCTGTGAGACCAAGGTGGAACCTGAGGTCCCCTTGAGTTCACTGATACTCTGAGACCCTGACCAGCCTTGGCTAATTGGAACTCAGAGCTGAAGTTCCTAGGAGATTACAGTGGCTGCAAATGCCTTTTCTAGGACCTAGATCCCTTGTGTTGCTGGTAGTGATTGTCATTCTCCAGTCCCTCTCCCAAACACTCTGGACTCCACTGATATAATAGCTCTTGCATCCTTAAATGCTCCTGTGGCTCTCATGCTTGGCAATGTTAAAGGCAGGAGGGGAGAGCACAGTACACCTGGTGAGGCCCCTATGGCCGCTGGAGAGAGAGCAGCCTAGGAGTCAGGCAGAGGAAAATCTGGAGACTTCTCTTGAAAAGCGTCTCAGCCAGCTGATGCTCTGGGCCCCCTTTGGAAAGTACTAATTCCCGTGTAATCCAGAGACCCAGCCCAGTGGTGCCAGATGAGCATTTCCTCTGGACCAATTTTTAGCATGCATCAGAATCATCTAGGAGCTTGTTGATCACAAATTGCTGGGTCTTGCCTGAAGGGTTTCTTATTTAATATGCCTGAGGGGGCCTAAGAATTTGCATTTCCAACAAGTTCCCAGATGATGCTGATGTTGCTGGTTCAGCGACCACATTTTGAGAATCCCTGCTCCAGGCGCTACTCAAAGTGTGGGCCGTGGACCAGTAGCATTGGTATCATATGGGAGCTCATTAGAAATGCAGACTCTCAGGCCCCACCCCAGCCCCCTGAATCAGATTCCCCAGGGGATTTGTATTACATTGAAGTTTGAAGTTAGAGCTCTGCTCTAGAGAGCTGAAGAAATGTTAATTGGACAGATTTTGAGTCATGCTTTTGGAGTATGCCTTTTTATTTTATAGCCATGCCTTGTCTATGGTTACTTTTTGGATGACAGAGAATCAGGATCACAGAATATTTGTCTAAGAAGGAATTTAGAGATCATCTATTCCTTGGATAAATCATAATATATGCTAAAGTAGGATTCAGAAGACTCTAGAATTACCTGAGGAGCTTTTAACAGTAATACTTGAGCTCTATCCCAGACCAATTTAAATCTGAATTTCTGTGTCTGGGCATCAGTAGTTGTGAATAGCTCCCAGGTGATTCTGATAATCATAGCTCTACATTCCCTTGTCTTGCAAATTAGGAAACTGAAGCCCAGAAAAAAGTTCTCTTTGGAAGGTGGGACTGGAAATCACGTCCAGTATATGCTTTGGATGGACCACACATTATGAGCTATCTGAATTTGGGCAATGACAAATCTTGATGTAATAATGGGGTCTTACTGGTCTTTTGAACTATCTCAGGTCATTTAGCATTGATTAGTTTTTGGCATCATTCAGTGAACCAGACACACACCTACCTTCTAAATCTGCCAGGGCAATAGAGGAGATAAAAGATGCCAGTAGAAAATGTGGTGGGACAGAAGTGGGATGGAGGGTACAGGGAGAGACTGTGCCATTCTGTTGTGGTGGCAGGAGATGGTCGTATAAATGAGGGTGAGTAGCCAGGTGGCATGTGGTCTAGAGGTGTTGGGATGCTGCCTGGGCTCTCCTGTCACCTGGCAGGGCCACAACTAAGTTGATGGGCATATCCTTGGTTGGGGTATTCATTTCCTCCTCAGAACCTAACCACTGTTCTCATCTACTTTCCAGTGCCCAACCGCTGTAAAAAGGTCTGCAGCCACCTCTGCCTGCTGAGACCTGGAGGATACAGCTGTGCCTGTCCCCAAGGCTCCACCTTTATACCAGGGAGAACCACTGAGTGTAATGCAGGTAGGAGCACTGCCTGGGCAGCCACGGGGCCTGGTGGGGCTCCTCTGCCTTCTGCAGTAGGTTCTCGACCTGTGTTTCACCTTCTTCAGAAGCCTGAAGAATCCCTGCATACTGGGGCCTTTACAGAATAGAGTGGTGATGGCTAGAAGGAGGGATGAGAGATATGGGAAATAATGAGTAGAGCTGAGTGAGGGGCCAAACAGTTCTTGTGTTCCAATGATATCTGAGAATTAATTGCTAAGATCTGCAGAGATATAGATCCAGTACCCCTAAACCTAGTGTTATGTTGTTTTGTAAAGACATTTTGAAGAACAAATTTTCTATAAGGCCGCTTCCTCCTGTCTCTACCCCATACTGGGTTCCTATCACCCCAGAATCCATTCAGCCTTAACAGGAGTTCCTTGAGGTGGACAACCAGTTTCCTGAGGTGGGGGCCTTATGCAGTACAGAGGGGAGGGCTAGAGGAGTTCTTGTTTTCCTCACATGCTCAATTCAAAGTTTTGACCACTGAAAAAGGGCCACATTTTAGAAGGTACCTTATGCTGTGGGGAGACGGAGGCTGGAATAAGGAAGCAGTGGTTTAATTCTCATCTGAAATGCTGTGGATGATCTATTCTTGGCAAGACCTTTCTTCAATGACTCTTTTAAATTAAGGAGTTAATAAGCCATGGGGAATAACTAGGGTCCCTAACTAGTATCCAGCGCTTGATAAGCACGTTAAAAAAATTATCCTGCAGTTCACTAGCCGCCTTCCCCCAGTTTTAGCTGCTGGGGAAATGGAGAGGCTTAACCACCTTCCACCACCAGGGGGAGCAAGCAGTTAAACAAGGCACCACCTTCTGACTTGCTTCTCAGACAGGCTGAAAAGTTGGCAGGTTTAGAGAATGAACTCAGGGAGAAAAAACTGCTTCCCTCTGCTTCCCTTCCCGTATCCCCACTATCATCCCAGCGCTGCTGGGGAAATATTGGCAAAGTGACAATACTTAGCAATATTTTTAACAAAACGACAATTTCAAGATTTGGGATTTGTTCTATGCTGTAGATGGATCATTCTGACATTTGTTGCAATTTCACATTGAAGGAGAGGTGTTGTGCAAGTTGTCATCTCATCTGCTTTCCTCATTTACATTTTTTGTCAAGTGGATCATATTAAGAGTCTTGTTTAAAAAAACTTTAACCAAAGTAAGCACGTTAATGATGGTGGTCATTTCATATGGGGTCTTGGTTTGGTATATTAATTAATTAATTCGATAAATATTTATTGAGTGCTTGCTATGTGCTAGACACTGTTCTGAGTGCCGGAGATAACAGAAAGGAACAAAGAGACAAACCACCTGCTCTTGTTGAGTTTATATTCTAGTAGATAATCAATAGAGAACCCAATAAATCTATAATGTCAGGTGGTAAAAGTAAAAGGAGAAAACGAAAGCAGGTAAGAGGAATGAGGGTGGGGTGGGAATGGGGTTGTCTTTTTAGAGATTTCCGGGGAGGCCTCTAGGTAAACTGAACTTTGAGTAGAGACTCAAATTGAGAGACTCAAATTGAGCCAGAGGGGTATCTGAAGTCCTTAAATAGACACACATGGGATGAATACTTATTGAGCATCTTCTAAGTATAAGACATGGACACACCAATGAGTCTTCAGGCACATCTAGGGAGTACGTGGGGGCTGAGCTGGAGCAGGAACCCAGAGCAAGGGCAGTTTTGTAGGACTTAAAAATGAGGAGATCTCTACCCAGCTGTCCACCAAGCATCTATGTGGGATCTGTGATGGAGGGATTGCTGGTGCTTTGGAGCCTTTAGTTGAAGTTCAGGGTGCATCTAAATTGAACTCTTGATTTTAACTGGGTTCACAGAGGAGAATTCTGAAAACTTCAAATGAGAATGTGACTGTCCTAAGAGATTCCTTTACCACAAGTTTCTTTTAACTATTAATGTATGTTCTGGAGTCTAGCATCTCTCCACTGTGTTTTTTTTGGTCCGGGGGTGGGGGTGGAATGCTATAAACTGCCTCTATCTTTCCACCAAATGTATGTTACTCCCCAAGACCTTATTGATAAGGAAATTCATCTGATTTAAGGGGAAGGTAATGTTTTGATAGGGAGACTAATTAGCTGGCCCGCCCCCATCCACCCCCTCACCGCCCCTCCCCCATCCTATTCCTGAAGCGGGTTTGCATGGTATGGGTGTTCTGCTGAGTATGGCCGACTAACACATGCATGGCTTTCCCTTTCTGCAGCCATCGAAAGTCCTATCATCATGCCCCCCCCATGCAGGTGTATGCACGGAGGAAATTGCTATTTTGATGAGAATGACCTCCCCAAATGCAAGTAAGTCTGAATGTTGAGGTCCGAGCTATAGCCCTTGCCTCTTCTAGGGGAATTCAAGACCTTAAAGTAGCTAGAAAAACAAGTATAGGAACCTTGCCAGTTCACTAATTTTCACATCTTAACCAGCTTGCCCTCCCTTGGGGGAGTCCACAGAGAACTAAGGCAGTGCCTCTCAAACTGTAATGTGCCTAAGAATCACCTGGGGTCTGGGTCAAATGCCCATCTCACTCACAGGGATTCTGCATTTCTAACAAGCTCCTGGGAGATGCTACAGAATTGTGGGCCACATTTTGGGGAGCAGGAGTTAGAGAAACAATGGCCACATTTACCTACACACCTGGTCTTGTTAATTACAATGGGATTGTGGGAGAGTGGCCATCAGCAGAGCTGCTTCAGTACAAGGCACTCGTGGTGAGCAGAGAGACTGAGCCGAAGATTCGGAAAGAAGAGAATTATTGAGAAAGCTCTAACACAGAGCAAGATGAATGGAGGTCTTTAAAAAATTTAATGAAAACATATCAAAGAACACAATTGTGGTTTCCATTTTTACTCTCTAAGGAAGAATTCCATCGATTAGAGAACACACCAATAGGTTTATTTGATGAGATTAACCCTGTAGGTGCCACAGCTACTCCATTGAAAATGAATTTTCAAAGTCAGATTACTGTTCTTTCTGCTTGTCATCTCTTGGCAGAATAAACAAAAGTCGTACAGAATACATTGTCTGTTCATCATGTGATTTACTCAGTCGAACCTCTCTCTACCTCAAGATGTGCTTGTAAAATTGCAATAAAAGCCTAAGAAGGCAACAGCTCGTGAACAGTCTTCTTTTATTTTTAGGTGTCCTAGTGGCTACACAGGAAAATATTGTGAAATAGGGCTTTCAAAAGGCGTTCCTCCAGGAACAAGTAAGTTTTGAGAATATGAGCAACCTGGAAATACTTCACAGACCCTACATTGAATGCTATTTATAGTCTGTTTAACCTAGTCTTTGAAGAATGAATGGTTCTGGCCCCCAGCTTTTATTGCTAAGTGTATTGGCTCTTTTCTTTCTCTGCATGTTGATATGTTCGCTTTTTCTCCCCTCTTCAATGGCAGCGGTGGCTGTGCTGTTGACAATCATCCTGATCATTGTAATTGGAGCTTTGGCAACGTTAGCCTTTTTCCACTATCGGAGAACTGGTTCCCTTTTGCCTTCTCTGCCCAAGCTGCCAAGGTCAGTTTCGTTCTGTGGAATATTGATTTTAGAAGCCTGTGTGATGTGACCTTGTGAATAACTTAGTTTTTTTTTTTAAGTTAAAAAGTGCACAATACACAGTTCACCTATTCTACAGAAACAAAAAGTAGTGAACTTAAGGCAGTCACTTCAAATCACAACTTCTTAATCAAGTGCTTCTTTGAAGCCTGAGTGCAAATCACATTTTATAGTCCAAATGGTTGTGCCTGCTGGTGGGCATTCAGGTTAGACTGGAGAACAGAGTCGGCTGTGGGAAGGACTAGGCTTTATTCCTGTGAGTCCCAAACTGGCCCTTTCTTAGATCTCAAGCGTTCAGGAATGTGCTTTGACACTTCCAGGTAGCCAAGGGAACTTACTACCATATTTGATGTGTAAATTCAGAGTGGGAATTGAGCATTTCATTTAAATAAGATTTAGCAATATGGAGGAAAGGGTACTATTGCAAAAGATTATTAAAAAAAATAATAAGACACTGTTTTGATTACTTCGTTTCAGCTTAAGCAGTCTTGTCAAATCCTCTGAAAATGGAAATGGGGTGACCTTCAGATCAGGGGCAGAAGTTAACATGGATATTGGAGTATCTGGTTTTGGGCCTGAGTCTGCTATTGACAGATCAATGGTGATGGTGAGTGTGGTTTCAAAATGACTATTTGAAGGTTGTCATTTTTACTGTTTTATACACTTTTTATAAAGAATAAAATTAACCTAGAAAAAAAATGAAATACTGTATGCCTCTCAGAATAAAGTCTTCACTCTACAGGCAAAGTTAGAAACCATTAGGTTTGTTGCAGAAATGTATCTAAAAATATTAGTAATAAAATTAAAATTTATTATGCTCTAAGCCACACTGTTGAATTGGAATTATAAACAGTCTTAAGTTTAACTGGAATCTTAGTCTTATGTTTTTAGGGAGAGGGAGAGAGAGAGCATGATATTCTGTTTTTGTTTGATGACTTTTTGTATGTTTAAAGGAAGGAGTAGGGAAATATATATTTCCTGATCTCATTTATTTTCCTGCCAATGTATAGTGATGGAATAAACAGTGATTTTAGAGTCAGTGGTTGGTTCAAATCGCAACTCTCCCACCTTCTAAGTATGTAATAATAGAGAGCTTATCTCTCTGACTCTGCTGTTCCCATCTGTAACATGGGTATAATAATACCTCCTGTGAGGACCAATGGATACCTTATGAGGCGCCGTGTATAGTCTCTATAATCAGTATGGGGGAATCACTTTCAGTATTTTGCCTTTCCCCTAAATCTTTCATTTTTGAAATGAAAATTTCAAAATGCCTGAAAATACAATAATATCCATTCTTTCTTCTTTCCCCCCTCCCTCTTCTCTTTGCCCTTCTTCCACCACATCCTTTTCTCTGTTGTCCAACCCCAGTCTCCAAGTGAGTTATTTTAGAGAACTCGGATATAGGAAGAGTGTTTCTGCTTTCTAGAGCTAATGAATTAGCACATGTATGTTACTTTACATGATGGTTGCCACATGGAGGCCTTGCGTCTCTGCTGGCTTGTTTTGTTGTAAGTTCTTTTTTGGTAAATTTGGTGTTGCCTAGCATACCTCCAGGGGTGAGGTATGCTTGCTCTGTGTGTGACCCAGGTTGGTACGGTATGATCTTTTTGTTTTCCCCATCAGAGTGAACACTTTGCTATGGAGATGGGGAAGCAGCCCATAATATTTGAAAACCCGATGTATACAGCCAAGGACAAGGAGAGTGCAGCCAAAGTGGTTCAGCCAACTCAGGTGAGAAATCGCACGGTCCTTTCTTTCAGGTACTGCTGTTGCCAGCTCTGATTCTGTTGAACAGTGCCCTCTCAGGGTCCTCTTGGCCTTCCCTCGAAGGGAAGGAAGCACAGTGGTCCGTTCCTCGGCTTCTCTACCTGCAGTAACAGGACTGACCCAAGGACAAGAGGCCTGAAAACAATCAGAATCCCGTTTTGTTGCACAGTTGTTGGGTTTGGCAACCATCCTGGGGGCACTGACCAAGAGCCTTTTCATTCTGAGTGGTCAGAGCAAGAGGTAGGAGTCCATTCAGAGGCTCAGCGAACACAGTACCTGACATACACAGGCTGTCTGTAAATCTTTGTGAAATGAATGAGTGAATGATTGTTAGGTCATTCTTCAGAGACTTTGGGACTGGGTATACTCTCTGGGTTCTTATTGGTATCATAAGGGTGTGATTTGAGGTGACCTCCCTATGCTTGCCTTTCCCATACTGTTCGGAAAAGTACAAAGTTTTCCAAAGTTGATAGGCAGTTACCCAAATTTCCTTTGGTACAGCCCTATTACTCACTCATCTTTAAGAGCAGCAGGGGGATGAGATAGGAGCGTGGATGAAGGGAAAGAACTTTTCATCAGGTCTGGACCAATAGCCCCAACACCACTTCCAGTGCCTGTCAACTATTGGCCTGTACTTCCTTTGCCAAAACAACTGTGGCCTCAGCAAAACACACGTTCATTGCTAATACCTAAATTTCCTTTGAACTCACAGGGTAGGGTACATTTTAATATATGATAGAAATGTTTATTTTATGAATAGCTTTCTTAGGACCAGAAATATTTGAATCTTGAAAGCATTTTGCCTAATCCTTTGATATTCAGATAGCAAAACTTTAATCACATGATGAAGTAGATATGACATTTTATTTGGCATTTTCACTTAAAATAAAATGAGGCCCTGTATATAAGGACATATCCAAGTTTGAGAAGAAATGAAGTGGTGAATGTAAAAATACAGTCATGTGCTGCATAATGACGTTTCAGTCAGTGATGGACCGCATATACAATGGTGGTCTCATAAGGGCAGTACCATAGAGCCTAGATGTGTTGTAGGCTATACCTAGGTTTGTGTAAGTACTGTAGGGGAGGAAGAAATTTTCCTCTACCCTCCTGGGTTCTTCTGGTTGGTCTAAGAATTCAATTGACATGAGACAGATTAACAGGAGAAAAACAAACAAATGATTAATAACATGTATACGTGGGAGAAACCCAGGAAAACTGAGTAACTCACCAAAATGGTCAAAGTCCTCACCTTAAACACCATCCTCAGCTAAAGACAAAAGATGATGCTGGGGGTGGGGAGAGGCAAGGACTTCAAAGGGAAGGAAGGCAATTCACAGGTAGGGGGAAAAAAAGCAAACGTTTGGAAAACAACTGTTTGGCCACACAGAAACAGAATAACACAGAGGGAAGCCCAGCAAACAGGCTTTTCTAGGTTCCTCTCTGTCTCCCACCTAGTTCACGTTATGATAAAGTGATAGCTTGCTTCCTGAGACAGCTTTTTTTAATCTGAATTCTTTTAGGCAGTGAAGGGGGAGGTAACAAGAAAAACTTTCTGAGTTTTTTTTCCTTAATAATAGTCAGCCTAAAATAATCCTCATGTTAGAGACACATTTTGGGGTGGCAAATTTTGTTCCCCTTCAGTACACTCTATGAGGTTTGTATAATGATGAAATCGCCTAATGACACATTTCTCAGGACGTATAGGAAAAAGAGTGAATTTCTACCCTGTAATTTATTAATTATATATCTATTGTAATTTGGGCTTAAGAGGGAACCTTGGAATGCTATGAATGTTACAGAAAATGTCTAGAGGAGTATTAATTCAACCTCTTTTAAGCAGTCCTCTGAAATTATTAATTTTATTCTGAATATCCAAAGATATGATTCTCAATTTACCAGTGAGTTTGGGAATCATTCATGCTGTTCTTCTAGGATTTGGCTGCCAATATACAACCAGAGACCCTTTTATCCAAAAATATGGTCAACAGTGGGAGTAAGGGGACTTAGAGAACACAGTGGAAAGTGCTATTACTAAGTGAGAGAGTGACCAGTGAGGGTTTTTTTTGCCTCCCAGGATTAAGGCAGGAGAAAGATGACTTAGTCGTTGGTGCTTCTGATTTTGGGGAGATGGGAGTGGTGTTTAGTCCTGGGCTACCGGGTGGGTCTCATACAATAAAAATGGATGCCTGACCGTGTCTGTGAGAGAGCAAGGTGGTAAACAGGACAAAAGAGTTGATAAGAAACTTTGTAGCAAATTTATTTATTACCAAATTATTTCAAAACAGCCTTCAATATGCACAAAGGTGACTGTAACTGGAAATGTGGATAACAAGAACTATGGAAGTCCCGTAATCCCTTCTGAGATAGTTCCAGACACACAGCCGACTTCCCCGAGTGCTGATGGAACTCAGGTAACAGTGGTTGACTACTGAAATGTTATGGCATTTGGAAAGGACTTGGGTATTGCTGGGTTTATTAATCCTAGGCAAACTAGGAAGCACCCCGATAAGCTCATAGATCCCCAAGTGTGTAGGTAGTTAATAAAGATAATTTAAAAAATCGTAAATTGAAAAACTTTCTGCCAAACAAAGCTACGTTCTAACATTGTGTTGGGAATGATATTCTTTGTGACATGGGAGACCATGCGGAAAAGAAGGGCAACAAATTTCTTCAGCCTCTTCAGACCAGTGGCGTTTAATTTGCAAGAATGACTTCATGTGAATAAAGAGCTCACTATGTCAAGGATACACGTAGAAGACCCTTCCCTTCTGTGGGTAATGCAGTTTTTCTACAGTGTATACCTTGGTTCTCTTAGATAATGTGTGTTGTTCTTAGCTCTACTGCTGCTACCTATGTTCACCACTAGATGGCACTAATTCACATGCTCTTCATCTATCCCTCTTTCTGTCCATTCATCATCTGTCTAACTGTTTAACCATTATTGCCTTCACGCGCCAGGCACAATATTTAATGATGGAGATTAAAAGAAAAAAAAGGCCACTAAATAGAACTTCTCTACCATGCCTGCAGGCCCCTCTGTAGACTATTTGTTCTACAGAGAGACATTCAATAAATAAATTTGATATAAAGCTGTATTGATGGATAATATATCACTAGTTTTAATGGACACATATGAAGCTGTTCAAGATCTAGCTATTTGCTTCTGGGCAAACTATTTTACCTCTGGGTGCTAGAATGGGTGGGGCAGTTCTTTGTGGTATAAACTATCCTATGCATTGCAGGACATGTTAATATTCAGTAGTGTCTCCTCCAATGCATTGTGATCCCAGAAATCATCCCCCTCGCACTCACACACTCCCAGTTGAGAAGAGTAGGAGCTGGGGTGTCTCAGTGTTAAGGTTCTTTGACTCTTTCTGTGAAGTAATATAAAGAAACAAATGTCTAAGGGTAGTTCGAAATCTTACCATTTATACAATCCTTATTTCTCAAATTGCTAATCTATAAACAGAATTGGTATCTGCAAAGTTAACTTGGAAGTCATGTTGGATTTTCAGTGCCTCTGTTCTGCTTGTTTGGGTCAAAATAAAAGTTGAACTAAATTGAGGCTAATGAGAAGAGCTTATACCAAAGGTCTCTTTGTCTACCTTTTCATATTCCATTTACTAAGTCCTTCTTCTCCCATCACACATATGAGCATGCACACTCACACAAATGTTGTCTTAGAAAGGAATTTTCAGTTTCATATTTTTCAAGAGACTAATTTTTTTTCTTTAAGCTACCTTAGAAAATGGATTTTGAAGATTAATTTTCCACAGACACTAGAATACTTGAATGTGACATATTCGGTTCCCCAAGTCTGGCTCAACTCCAAGATAGTGCCAGATTTGTTTTGTATCCTTGACACTTTTTTCTCAGTCCATTTCAAGTCTAGTGATCCTCTTCCCTAGACAGGGCTCTCTCCCGGCCTGAGCAGGAAGAGGAATGTGGTGGGGATGCTGCAACCTCTGACCTTAACATCAGTCATTAGAAACAAAATGGGCACTGAAAAACTTTCAAATGGGAGTGGATCTTCACCACCTATAGTCCCTTTCTTTCTCATCTCCATCTTCGCAGTACGTCGGTTCTTGCTCTTACTTTTTTTAATCATTTGGGGCTGAGACCCTCTAAGGTTTATCCTCCCTATGTCTCCAAGGATCTTCCCATATCCATTGCCTCCTGGGCACTGAGATAACAGCTGGTGTGGCTTAAAGCAGTAGATGCACTTGGTTAGGATCACCCCAAGTTGACATTATTGTGCCAAGGAGTCTCACAGATTTGTCTTTCATCAGTGAATCTGCTCAAAGGACTCAAAGTTAAGAACATAAACTCCTGTGACTTAGTTCTATCATTTCCAAAAGTCTCATTGAAATGCATTGGATTTCCCAAGGAGATAAAATGAAAGTCACCACCATTTCTCTTATTAATAATTGCTTAACTCCAAGTAGCCATTCCATACTGAAGCAATGACCTTTAAGAGTTTTGGCCTTCCCCATTTGAGTATAAGCTTCCAGAGGTCGGCCTCTGACCTGAATGTCTTCCTCTCCCCCTTGGTGGTGGCCATGTACAGAGTAGGTGCTCACTTAAATATGGGTTAAAGAGAATGGCCTCCTCTACTTCTCCTGTAGTCATGTGCTCCCCACTCCTTTACATGTTGGCCCCCTACTTTCGCAGAGCAAGAGATACCCCATAAAACATGTGGGCTATCTCAGCTACCTGCTGGAGTAGACTATCTATTCCTTTGTCTCCTGCCAGGTTTCCATCTGGCAGCCTGAGCTGTGGCAGCACTGCCACCCTGGGCAACTTTTACTAAGTCCTTCTTCTCCCATCACACATATGAGCATGCACACTCACACAAATGTTGTCTTAGAAAGGTGGCAAGAGAAGTTCATGCCACCACCCACCATAGTCTAGGGTGATTTCTCTTTGGGCTCTTCAGTTTGTGGCCCCTGAGTCCTATAGTCACTGCCTACTCTTCTACCTACAATTTACTTATATAATCTTGCTGTGACTCAGTTTCTTCATCTGTAAAATAGAGATAATAAGAGCACCTACCTCACAGAGTTGTTGGGAAGATTAAATCAGAAAATTGTAAGACTCTTAGAATATAGTCCCTGACACATAGTAAGCACTCCATAAATGTTAGTTGTTTTTGTTGTCACTATTATTATGATGAGGATTACAGGAGGAAATAATGAAGGGAGAAGGGGTATCTTGAGTTGACCAAGGATCAAGATGTCATTTTAGGAAATGAGACTTACAATCTGGCTTTTTCCTCGCATTTTTAGGCAGCCTCTGGAGAAATCTCTTACCTGTTTCTGTCAAAGCTTCCAGATACTATGGGTACAGAGTCTCTAAACTATAAATTTCAAATTAAGGAGCATTTTGAAATTATTAAAATCACCCACAGAGTTTCAGTTACTGTTCAGGGACCCTCAGAAGAAGTGAAAACTTTACCACGTGGGCTGAGTCACAAGTCCCGGGTCCCAAATTGCTTTTTCCTTCAGTAAGAAAAAAATTTAAAACCTAGACAGAGGGGTAGAAACCCACAAAAAAGTTCCATTCCTGAAGGTTTTCTGTTTCTTCTTTTTCATTTAGGCAACAAAATGGAATATCTTCAAACGAAAACCGAAACAAACTACCAACTTTGAAAACCCAATCTATGCAGAGGTAATTTTTAACACTTTTTCTTAGCACCAGCGTTCTTTCTTAGAAATAACTTGCCTCACTAAATTGAACATGCACTCAGATTATTCTGAGCAAACTGGCAAAGATGCGTCTTCTTCACACACGACTGTTTCTAGTCGTATTGGGGGAATAAATGGCTGATTCATGTTTTGTTGTGGTCTTAGATGGACAGTGACCAGAAGGAAAGTACTGCTGTGGCCCCACCTCCATCACCTTCTCTCCCTGCTGAAATCCCTCCCAAAAGAGGCTCAACTCCAGCCTACACTGCAACGGAAGACACTTTTAAAGACACTGCCAACCTTGTTAGAGAAGACTCTGAGGTATAGCTATGCCAGCTATTTAGGGAATAATTAGAAACACACTTTTGCACATATATTTTTTACGACCAGATGAAAAAAGTTAACATTCAGTACTTTATAAAAAAAATATATTTTCCCTGTTCACCTGTAGCTGGAAGTGTCTGTGGAAACTATACCTTGTGTGTCTTTTTTTTTTACTTATGCCATCTCATATTTTTACAAATAATTATCACAATGTACTATATGTATATCTTTGCACTGAAGCTATCTGAAGGTAAGGCTATAAATATATTGTACATTTGTAAATTTTGGAAAGATTATCACATCATTAAATTTGCTAATAAAAGAATCTGCTGAATTGGTCGGTGATCATTACAGTAAATGATCCAATGAGAAAAGGAATTAACGAGGGGCCTTTAGCCGTGTCTAACGAAGAGGCACCACTCATGTTTCCTATAGAATTTCCCAGGAAAGGAATTCAGGCCCCACTCTTGGGTCCATGTTTAGACATCAGCACTTAATTAAGGTTCACTATGACATGTAACCCGATTAATAGGCATATTGATAGGAGCACTGTGTGCTGTATAGACTTCTGGACTTGACTGTAGATGCCTCAGATAATGCAGAAGGTAGAAAAAGCAATTCAACCTCACCCTTCTACATGTTTGTGTTGTCTAAATAGAGCATTCTGCTTCCTGTGTGTTATCTCACTAGCTGTCAAGTCAACATTGTTATTTGCAATGTCTGTGAGAACACACCATGTCATTAAGTGCAAGTGTCTTGCAAAGAGTTTGTATTTAATCGAATGAACTCTTTTGCTTGATGGGCCACAGGGCAACTTATGTCCTTGCCTGGTATCTCAGGTGGTCACCTATCCTAGAAACTGGAGCTCGGTAGCTGAATTACTAAAACCAAATCTGTGTCTTCATAATGTAAGGTGCACAACAAACACTGGTTAAGCAAAGCCTCAATTGGGTTTTTGTTTCTGTGTGAAAATATCATTATAATGACTATTTATTTCCTAAGTCAAACATGAATAGAAAGGGAAACCATTCTTATTGAGCCTTTTTTAGGTCTTTTGGCTAAATCTGTACATTTGTATCAGAACGTCCTGTAGAGCCTAGCTCTTTTCTTGAATAGTTGGTATAGTCTCCACGGGAACCATGCGGGAATATACAATTCCATACTAAGCAGCATTCCTGTCTCTCTGTGCTAATATTGCACATTTTTAAAACAATGAATGAATGGATGGATGGATGAATGAAACCTGTACTACTGATTATTTTATTCCTGAGTTCTCAAAATATTTGTTGCTCGTATTTTGAGTGCTTATTGTAATTACTTTGAAATGTACTTTGATTAGAAAAGCAAACGGAAATGATGCTGCTGAAAAATTTCTAATAAATGTGTATTTTATCAGACTTCCGTGTGTTTCTGAAGCCCGGGTCATGAATCAGTTGTATGTTACTGTGCTGAGCTTGGGGCTTGGAATACTAGGCAATCTGGGAACCAAGGATGCCCAGGGTTCGGGGAAGTGGGAAGGAATTTACAGCACACTCAGCCCTGATGGGCCGGCGGGGTGATCTCAGAGAGAAGAGTAACCTCCTTTAGGTTCCCACCTGAACTCTGGGTGGGCAGCTCCCTTAATTGCCTTTCAATGTCAATTTCCACTTCCCCTTTTCCTTCCTTACACCCTAGGCCCTCAGCCAGATTCCCCATTTTGGATCTAATTGTGTTCCAGAGCTTAGCTTAAGAAGCCACTGCTGAGGGACCGTGGAGCTGCTCATGTGGAGACAGAAGACAGTGAGGATGGCCACAGCTGGAGAGGGTTTTGTTCAGAACCAGGATTTGAGCTTCACTGGGGTGTATTCTGATGTCCTGACTCTGGGATATGTGAGCTGTATCAGGCAACATAAAGTGTGAATACCAGGAGTGAAAGGGAGCCAGGATAAGCTGTGCTTGGGAATGCTTGTACTTTCCACCTGTGATATTTGTCTTGGGCCTTAAGCTCAATAGGGGAGTTTCTTGTATGAGAATTAGTTTCCTGCTTAGCTTCATTTCTGAGTCTGCCCCAGAAAGGAATCAGAAAGTCTGCTGCTGTGTCCCCTCCTCTCCTGTGTACGGGGACGCTTGGGAACTGGAGGGTGAGAGTCACACGTCACCCTCCTGGTAGGCTCTCCCAGCCCCGGTTCTGTCCCTGCCTCGCTCTCTACAGCCTGAGCAGCTGTTCGGAAGTTCTGCCAGGTGGAAGAACACCCGAAAGACAGGGTGCTATTTACAGGACTGAAAAGCTGATGATGCTCATCATTTCATCACGTGAAGCAGGAACAGTTTTACTAGCAGAGCATCTTTATACTGCACAATACACAATCACAACCCAGGCAGATGCGCCCATAGCAAGCTGTCAAATCACAGTGTTGTCTGTTTCCAGGGTTTCCTGTTGATCTTTTTAACTATTGATTTATTTATGCACTCTGTGGTCTACCAGCACTCAGTTGCAGACAAATGGACGCAGAGACCATGGGTTTTAGGAAAATATGTGAGAGAAGGGCTTTCAATTGAGAATTCCATCCATTAACTTGTTTTTTTCCTCTGAATTGGGAAAAGACCACTATTATTTGCTTTTTGAGGTGGAATATCTCAGGCTAGCTCAAAGATGATCAAGAATTAGTTAGGCCCTAGGGTCAGGGAGCATTCTGAGGAAGTTGGTTAGAGATGCACAGGCTTTCCCAGGCGTCCTAGAAAGAGCCCTGTGTCTTGCTACAGTTTGCTTGTCCTGAATTGCAATTCTTCTGCTATTCCCAAATAAACCTGTCTTTTTGAGCTTGCCTCAGTTTACCTCTTTATTTAGGTCGACAAAGGCAATTACCCAACCAATTACTTTCATGATAGGGACTAGGCCGTCCTCCTGCTGTTAATCTCTGAGCCTCAGCTGCTGCTTCTATAAAATAGGGAGATTGGCTGTGAGAGTCCAGTGTGAAAATGTATGTAAAGAGTGTGTGCAGCCCAATGCCTGGCTCAGAGTAAGCCCTCAATCAGTAGTGGCCACATTATCATTGTTTATTAAGTGGAGGGGCAAGGAGGAGGTTTTTAAAAAAAGGAAATGTATTTTTAAAAGCTTCTTGGGTGATTTTAATGTGCAGCCAGGCTTAGAACTACAAATCTAAGTAGAAGTGGCTAATCTTTAATTTTTTTTTTAGTTAAGGATGTTATGGGATGTTCAAGATTTTGTCCAAAAGATAGAAGAAGAATCACATATCTTTGGAAGAATGCATGTACCTTGTCTGTAATGAGGCTAGAGTAGAGATGATAAAATGCTGGGTCTCATTAGATTGTCCTTTAAGGGTGATAGGAAAGCAATAAATACCCCTGAATATGAAAGATGGGAAACAAAGGTGGAGAAAGGTAAAGTACATATTCAGGTCACAGCGCGGGGCACAGAGCCACATTTCTTGTTCCAACAAGCCAGGGGTAGGGCCTTCCACAAAATTCCCAGTGTCTAGCACCCAGACCTTGGCTGACAAAGAGCAAGTTGATGTAGGAATTTATTCCTCTTATCTTTTCCCATGTTTCCAGACTCAACTCCACGAGACTTTTCTTTCGTTACGTTTGTTAGTTTCCCTTCGCCCCATTGTGGCTGTAACTTCCTCAGGATGCCTTTCAAGGGTCGGGGGAATAAGAGACTTTGGCAAGTCCTGGGACTTCCTGACACTAAAGAGACATTTACTGTGAGACAGGTAGGATGCAGTCTATTTCCAAGAGTGCAATTGTATATTTATTGCTTCTATGTCTTCATTTGTTGAGCTTTTCTGTTTTTATTTTTGGGCAACTTCTAAGAATAAAGCATTTGAGAGCAATACTTCCATTTTAGAAGACAAGTAATCTCGAGCTGTTCTTGGCGCAGTGCTTTGCTGATATTTTCCAAATCTTAAAGGGACCAGATACATTTGGTGGAGGGCAGTGGAGGCTTCACTAGCAGCACAGAAAATGGTTACCCACAGTATGGTGGTAGTTGCCTAGGCTTTGGGCGGGGGAGTCCATGTATCTGCCTTTGGCCTCGTGTAAATGGCTGACAGACTCCTGTCACACCAGCAAGTAGCGCTTCTCCTGGAGAGAGCGGAGCTCTAACCGGCCACGTGACCTTGGGTAAGTCATTTCACCTCCCTGCAGATTAGCAGCTTTATCTGGAAAGTGAAGGGGCTGGAAAAGGTTATCTCTAAGTTCTCCTTTAGCTTTCAAGTGCTGTGGTTCAATGATTTATCTCTACTTCAGTCTTCATCTGGAATTTCATTTCAAACTCCAGGCAGCTGTTTCAGTAAGTTCTAAGCTTGTTATAGCAACTTCAAAGAAGGCAGATTCAATTATAGCATCTTAATTTTTATCCTCAAATGCTGTCCTCTCTAGGTAAGTATCAGAGAGACGCATTTTAGGAAATCCTTTTTTTGAAGTATCTGAAAGGCTGCCTGTCAATTTCAGGGCTGAAAGTTGCTACGCCGGGATGGTTTATAGATCCAAGGCCACAGGAGACTTTCACGGGGCCCCAGCCCACACTGAGTTTCCTGAGGCACATGAAGGGCCCCTAGTCAGAGAGTGAGGCTGGCTGGAGGAGCAGGCAGTCACCTGTGGAGAACAAATGGCCTCCTGCAGACTTGTGATGACATGCTAGGCCCATGAATGGTCTCTGAGTTAAAGAACAAATGAACCCAGAGGTAAAGTACATGAATCAGGACTTTCCATTCTTTGAAAGTTAAACTTGAATTTATTTTTTATTTTTTGTGAGGAAGATCAGCCCTCAGCTAACATCTGCCAATCCTCCTTTTTTTTTTTTTTTTTTTGCTAGGGAAGACTGGCCCTGGGCTAACATCCATGCCCATCTTCCTCCACTTTATATGGGACACCGCCAGAGCATGGCTTGACAAGCGGTGTGTTGGTGTGTGCCTGGGATCCGAACCGGCGAACCCCGGGCAGCCACAGCGGAGCGCACGCACTTAACTGCTTGCACCACCGGGCTGGCCCTATTTTTTATTTTTTAATTGTGGTAAAATAGACATAACATAAAATTTTAAATTTTAATTTTTAATCATCAGTCTGGTATCTGGGGCCTTTTTTTGTTTTTGTTTTTCCATGATGGCCTTATAAGGCTGCCTGTCATGGGTTTGAAAATCACTGAGGCACAGTATTTCCTTCTAATATCTGACTGTGTGAGAGCCCATGAAAAGATGGCAGGAAACACAGCTCAACTCAGCCCCGCCCAGCAGGAAATGCTGTAGTCAGCTATCATTGCCACGTGAGTTACTTCTCGGAATGGGTCAAGGCTCTGGTGTTTAGAGTGTGAAGACACCAATGTGAAGAGTTGAAGCAAATGGCCACCAAGTCCTGGTTTAGGAGTCAGCTTTGATGTATTAGAGAGTGAACAAGAGTTGGAGCCTAATTAGCTGGCTGACCTTACCCAAGCTGTTGAGTTTCTCTAAACTTCAGCTCCTTATCTAAAAAAAATGGAGATCATAAACTCCATAGGGGTCTCGTGAGGATAATACTTATTCATTCACTCAACAGATATTGAATGAGCATCTACTAGGTACCAGGGAATAGTAACAGCTAACCTTTACCGAGTACTTGATGTGAAGTACCTCATTGAATCCTCCTGGAAGCCTTATATGGGAAGTACTGTTTTTACCATTTTACAGATCAGAAAACTGAGATAATAGACAGGAAGATGCTTTGTAAATTATAAAGCATAATACAACATGCTTTGGCACAAGATCATGACCTAGGAAAAATTTGCCTTTACTTCCCCCATTTTAATTCTGTGGATTCTCAGTGACCTATACTGTCTCACAAAAACAACAACAATAGCAGGTATTTACTGAATGTTTCCTATGCACCAACACCTCTTCTAAGCACTTTCAGGTATTAACTCATTTAATCCTTGAAACAAACCTATGACATAGATTATTATCATCCCCATTTTACAGATGAGCAAACTGAGGTGAGAGAGATTAAATAACTTGCACAAAGTGTTGGATCCAGGACCCTAATTTGGTCTGCACTCTGCACCATTATGCCACACTGAGTTCCAACATAGGTTGTCCTACCGAACCCACCAGACTGAACTCCCTCTCCACCCCTGTTCTACCCTGCCCTTCGTGCCCAACAGCTTCCTAGTCTTAAAATCTTTCCTAACTCCTATCAAAACTTCCTGTACAAAGGAAGCCTTTGGTGACTTGTATTCTACTGAGGCAGATAAATCAACTCTGGCCCTTGTGCGTTACCATGTTACCTTCAGTTAACACTAATGTGATTTAACAAGATCCCTTGGAGGAGAGGGCTTTGGTCACACGAGGGACCTCCTTGTGCTCTTCGGGTGCTCCTTCCCCAGCTGGGTGCTGGCTTCTCCCCCTGTGAAGGGCCAAGCCAGCCC